CTTTTTCTTACGAATAATAACTTTATCTTTAGATTGCAAGTGTTTTGTTCTGATTTTTCTCAATCCATCATCCTCCACCAGCTTGTAACTATCCTCTGGAGGATACAAGCGACTCAACAAGTCTGGTAGTTTATTCAACAAACCAGGAATATGGACCACCTTAAAATCAAAGTCAAGAAGTGTCTCAATCCAGCCAATTATCATGGGATTAGCAATTTTTTGTGTGTGAAGATAAGTGAGTGCTTTATGATCAGTAAAAATGGTGAACTGTCGGCCCCATAGAAATGGACGGAATTTATCAAGCGCCAAAAAGACTGCATACAATTCTCTTTTGGTGGTGCTCCATCGCCGTTGGGATGGGCTCAGGGAAGTTGACACAAAACTAATATACTTATCACGCCCTTGATCGTCGCGCTGAAAAAGCAGGCAGGCTACTCCATAAAGGGAAGCATCTGTGGCCACATACATTTCACGTGACATATCTGCGTAATGAAGAATTAAATCCTGATGCAGTATGTCCTTTAATGCTTTAAAGCTTCTTGTCTGCTCATCTGTCCATAGCTCAGCTACATTGTTGGCATGACTTAATCGTGAAATAGGTTCAGCCACCTTCGAGATCATGGGAATATAGTCTCTGAAGTAATTAATCAAACCCATAAATTGCTGAATTTGTTTCGCAGTTTTAGGAATAGGCCATTTATCAACGTTTGTCAACTTTCGCTTATCAACCTTGGTGCCTGTCTCATTGACGACAAGACCAAGCAATCGCACTGAATGTTGAAACCAGACACATTTATCAGAGTTTAGAATCAACTTCGCCGATGTCAATCTATCAATCACTATTTTTACATCCTTAACATGCTGCTCAAATGTTTCGCTAGCCACAATACAATCATCAACAAAATTCTGCACACAGTCAATTTTATCAAACAAAGTTGCCATGACATGTTGAAATTGTGATGTAAGCATCTTCAAGCCAAAGCAGCCTTTAATGAAGCTATATTGTTGCCCATCTAAATGAGTGAATGTTAATTTATGAACATCTTCAGGTGCAACTTTGAAACGATGGTAGGCATTCGATAAATCCAATGTGGTGAAAAATTTCTTTCCACTCAAATTCTGGAATATCGTTTGGATTTTAGGAATTGGATAGTTGAATGTGGGAGGTAGGATCTGATTCAATAATCGCACATCTAGACAAACTCGGTGACTCACAATCTCTCCAGCTTTGTTTCTTTTAGGCACAAGCAACATAGGACTGTTGAAGGAAGTATTGGTCTTGGACTTGACAATCGTGCCTGTCTCAAGCCATTCTTTTACTTGTTTATCAAGTGTTGGTCGTAGAGCATGGGGAATAGGATATTGACGTCTATAAGCTGTGGCGCCTTCTTTTGTGGGTAATCTAATTAGAGATTCTGATAAAGGACAAGAGGACTCGACTGGGATTTTCTTATTTTCATCCAGTGAGGCCTGAATTGACTGAATAAATTCTGCTCGCTGTATTTCCGTACCAGCTGGCGAATTATCCGGTTCAAACTTTTTCTCTTTATCGATATTTAGATTCTCATACACAGCGGCATAGTCTTTAGCGTTATCTGAATGAATATATTCTCCTTCGATATCGTATGCAACATTAATCAATCCGATGTTCATTTTTGTTAAGATATCTCTTCCAAGAAGAATATCAAAATTAAATTCTGTATTAAACTCTAACACCTCGGGTGCATGCTTAAACGTAATTCCATTCACATATTTAAAATTTAAAGGATCAGTTTTTCCCAATCGCTTAGTACCACTATTCTTTGACAAGAAAGTGAAGGAACCATTTGATGAATTTATTTTATTTATATTTAAATTTTCATTCAAACATTGTAAACTAATGAAAGTGCGTGCACTGCCAGTGTCAATCATTCCAAGTAGTTTGTGGTTCTCTACAATAATAGGAGTGGTTAGATTAAATGCATCATTGGCTTTAACCCTTCTCTCAATTTTGTCAAGTAGGTACTTACAGTCGAAAGACATGTCTTCGAGTTCCAAGTCGACACTGTCTTGGATCGCCTTGAGCACTTGCTCAGACTTCTCCTTGGCAGGGACCTGCGAGACCATCAGGACTGGCTCACTGTCCTTACAGACGTGGCCACAGAAGTAGTTTTCTCCACACCGCCTGCAGGGGTTGCGCTTGGTGGGGGCAGCTACTTTGGCCTTGTTGTTGGCCAGGGTGAAGCATTTGCTCGACTCATGTGTAGTATTCTTACCATGGTGCGAGCAGAAGAAGGAACGCTCCGGCTTACTGATTCGGTGCTGCTGGTTGTTGCTGGAGTGCACCTTCTTGCGAGGGTACGCCTCCATTCTCTTCTTCTCCATTCTCTTCTCAGTGTGCATGTTGGCACCAGGAATGAGCTGGGTAGCTTCGGCATACATGCGATTGTCGTCGCCAAGGATGTCTCTGCCAATCTGCGTCAACTGCTCCACAGTCCAATCTCTTTTGGTCTCGCCATTGAAGTCCAATCTGGTCATGGTGAGCCGCAAGAGTGTCTGTACTTGCCTAGTCAAGGAAGCGAGGAAGCGGTCGGCAACACGAGCATCGTTTTTGGGGAGGCCGGCATCATACACAGCCTGAAGGAACTTCTTGGAGTAATCTCCAATCGACTCAGAAGGAAGCATTACCATGGTAAATACCTCTTTTACCGAACGGGATGTCACCAAGCGCGATCCATGTCTTGCTGTAAAGCAGATCTTGGCCGCGTTCCAATCTACACACTTCTTCAAATCCATCTCTACCCATCCATCGTCACTATGAGGCAAGCAGAGCGGCAAAAATCTCTTCCAAACTAGTTCAATGTCCTGAAGGGACGACTCAATAACCTTTTGGAAGGTGCGAAGGAAGTGGTCTACTGAGTGAAAGACCTCTTCATTCGGGAAGGATCTAATCACATCGTCTGCCAACTGGAACTTAGGAAGATCTCTTCTATTAAGAGTCAACCCTCCAGTGCGACTGCTCTTCTCTACAACTTTCACAGAAGGCGAAAGGTACTGACTGCATGCTATTTCTATATCTATCATTTCTTTGACGCGTCTGACCTTATTAAGGGCTAATTCAGCTGCTTGCTCATCGTTCATAGCGTGAGCAGCGCTGACAGCCTCTACATGCTGTTGAAGTTCTAGTCTAAGTTTCTCTGACAAAGACAAGACTGTTGTAGCAGCATTCGCTACCAAGGGACGAAGGGGAGAGGGAGCAACAAATTGTCCAGGGGTGGAGCTGGCAAAGGAGATGTTGTCACTCAGACTGGCGATGAGGTCCTCCTCAGTCATGACGGACATGGCATCCTCATCATGAGCAGGGATGATGGCGGCGGGATAGTTCTCAGCAGAGGGGTTCATGGTAGTTCACGAAAAAAAATGTTGTGGTGGTTGAAGTTGAAGAAGTTTTTAAGAGGAAGAATTGAAGATTTGAAATTAGGAACGAAGATTCGTGAGAACTTGTGTAGGTTTTGTTTATTGAGAAAGATTTTGTATCAAAGTTTGACCAGGTTCCTACACTGAACTACTACTGCTATTTATATTGTTTTGGATTGGGAAAATTATATGACTGGGGTCAGGTAATCGATCCTATCTGAGCCTTAATCAGAGCAACGTGATCTTGGGATAATTAATGTATGATTAATTATATAAATGTGTGTAGTCCCAATGAAGTATTAACATCGAAAGTAAATGTGTTTATGAGTTATAATTATGCTTATAATAATTCACTGATGTATCCCATATTATGGTGATATCATCATATGAAATATAATCACTATCATGCATGCTAAACCTGTGTGTTAAATAATAAAGTAATCGGTAGACACCTTTGATTGGAATAGCTGAGGCCTTATATTATTTCCTTCAGACTTATTCTCAATTACAGCAGTAGTCAATACTCATTTACAACAGTCCTCTTTTATATCTTTTCTAAACCTACTCAGCCATTATAAATGCCTGTTTCGGTTTCTATTCTACTTTTGTTAAGCTATGTGCTTTCTAATTCTTTTGTGAGCAAAAGGAAATCACTTCGGTCGTCGTTCTCAAAAGAGAATTCTGTATAATCGTCATCCTGATTGGCTGACAAGAATTCGGACACAGCAAGATATTATTTAGATGGCCATAAAATCTGAAGAGTTAACTGTCACTGCAAAAGTCCGCAGATATTGGTTTCTAAAATCCCTCCAAATGTCATACTAAAATATTCAATTTTTTTTAATTTTAATTTTTATTGTTGTTTGTATGTTGTAATTTCAGATCGCTCTTTTTTGGCTGTAAAATTACACCACCATCACTTTCTCTGGCTATGAAATTACAACATTGCTTTTATTTTCTTATGTTTTACACTTCTTTAATATAATTGTAAATTACACTAAAAAATATTAATATGAAAATTAATATAATATTGAATAAGATATAGATATTCTTAAAGTTTTTTTTCTTCTTTAAAATGAATAATTTATGTATTAACAGTATTTTTTATATGATGTAAGTATAAATGGAAGAGCAAATATTTACTCAATGTATTCAAAGTGAAAATATATCACGAAGAAAAAGCAGAGATTGTTATTTCATTTTTACTGCGGCAATATTTTCGCATGGTTTCTCTCTTTCATATAAAGGGCTATTTTATTTAAAAAAAATCACATGCTGTGAGAGGTGAGAATTCCTTTCACAGAATTTTGGGTGTAATATACAAGTCGTAATAAATCCAAATATAGGGTTTGCATAAAAAATACTATGGAAAGAAAAGATGTTATTTTAATAATGCGCGCAGAATACATCTTGGAAATTGACTAAGCAATGTATGAATGGTGTTGTGATAAAATGCGCAGTATATGTCTTGAAGAAAAACTTGGCAAAGTGGAAGCATGACATGGAGCAGTATTCTATCTATTTATAATTTATTTTTCACTATATAAAGACCATGATTAAAAAATCTCAAAAACCATATCTTTTTATTAATTTATAACATCACTATGTCTAACAATCGAACAAGAAACGATTATATTATCTGCATGTGCACTCGGTGCACAGTGTCTAATCCATCTGGAAAGTGTCAAAGAAAGCAAAATGCAAAACGACATTACAAACAATATGGTGCACCAGTTTTGGCAGCCAGTGCAATGGGTAAATAATATAATTAAAAAAATGTTATTCTTGTGAATTTAATATAAATTATTCAATTAAATAGATATGCGAAATGAAAATGTTGATCGTATGGAAATAGACTATAATTCTGATGTTGATGTTGATTTTAATGTCAATGAAGAAGGTAAGAGAAAAAAAAACAAAGCGGAAAAAAAAAGTTGACGTCTAATAGTTTTTTATTATTATAGATTATGCTATTACTCTCAATCCATTAATCGACAATGAATATACTCAGCCAATTCACGTATCTTTACTCCAAGAGGATGCGATTTTTTTTTCAGAAGACGCAGGCCCGCAGTCATTTGTTATTGATGGCGATGATATTGAGGAGGGCGGAACAAGCTTTGGTTTCGAGAAAGACGAGGCCTTTGAGGATCCTGCATTGAGCTCGATGAAAATGCAAGGTATGCATTTTTACAAACCCTAAAACTCTTTCATTATAACCCTTGATTTGATATCTAACCGAAATGTTTGTATTTGTAGCTCATCAGTATCCTTTGAACAATATGTCTGTCTATATCCGTTTTATGGCTATCTTCATTGTTATCTTTCATTTGGTGTTTCTGGTGGATAATGATGGATCGATCCTCATCGAATTTTGCAATATCCTTCTCTCTCTTTTTGATCTTACTGGTGCTCTTCCCTTGACAATTGACAGCTTGAAACACATCACAGGTTTCAACACAGCAACAGGCGGAATTACGGTGTATGTGACATGCTCAAAATGTCATACAATTTATCCTCCAAACACAAGCACAAAAAATTGCACATTCAAATTATTCACTCATTCAAATACCTGCAACAACGCCCTCTTTAAATCTACAAGTGGCAATCGTTCTTCTCCAGTGATGGTGTATCCGTACAGTTCTCTCAAACACGCTTTACAACAACATTTCTTAACACCGAATTTCGAATACCGAATCAACCTTTGGAGAAATCGTCAAACACTTGCAGAAACAAAAATGGACATATACGACGGCGCAATGTGGAACGAAATCAAAGACAATAATGGCAAACGATTTGTTGATGACGCCCGATCTCTAATGTTGACTCTAAACATCGATTGGTTCCAACCTTTTGATGGACGAACTCATTCCAGTGGTGCCATTTATCTGTCAATTAACAATCTCTCTCAAAGTGAACGTCTAAAGTCAGAAAACATTATTCTTGTTGGTATGATGCCAGGACCAAAAGAAGCGAGCACCGATAGTATGAACAATTACTTGAAGCCGCTTGTTGACGAATTGCTTGAACTGTACAATGGTGTGAAGATGTCCGATAATAGCAATGAAAATATAACTGTCCGTGCCGCATTAATGTGTGTTGCGTGTGATATTCCTGCTGCAAGAAAGACATCTGGATTCACAGGACATGCAAGCATATGTGCATGCCACAAGTGCCAACGTCAGTTTACCATGATGCCTGAGACCACCCAGATAGACTTCTCTGGATTTGAATATTCCACATGGATCAAACGTACAAAGGCCGGAAATCTGGATTATGCCAATAAGTGGAAGGAAGCCAAAAATGCAGCTGAGCATACCCGACTTGAAAGAAGCAATGGCACTCGATGGTCTCAACTTCATTTGCTTACATACTTTGATCCTGTTCGGTGTACAATCATAGACCCTATGCACAATCTCTTTCTTGGAACTGCCAAGTGCATGGTGCAGATTTGGAAAGAGCTAGAGTACTTTGACAACCAAACTCTGTTGGCCATGCAAGATCTGGCAAATGGTGTTGTTGTTCCACCTGACTATGCACGTATCAACAAAAAGATAGCTGACGGATTTTCTTTCATGAAAGCTGACGAGTGGAAATTGTGGTGCCTTATTTACTCTCTTTTTATTCTGAAGCGCATTCTTCCAGTGAAGCATCTTTCCAACTGGATGTTTTTTGTGAATGCTTGCCGTTTACTCACAAAACCCTCTGTTACTCCTGACGACATATCCAGTGCCCACGCCCATCTCCAATCGTTCTGTAAAGGGTTTGAAAAGCTGTATAAAGAATTCCCTGTCACTCCAAACATGCATTTACATCTCCATCTGGGCAAGTGTATTAACGATTTCGGCCCGATTTATGCTTTCTGGTTGTTCAGCTTTGAAAGATATAATGGGTTGCTTAAGAATCTCGACACAAATCAAAAGGGTGAATTCGAAGTAACTATGATGAAGCGTTTCTTGGAAAAGGCGTACGTTGGCAACTACATCCGATCTTTTGAAGAGAAATTCCCTGCAAGCACAGTTAATTTTCTACATAGCATCACTCGCAGTCAAGTTATTTTAGAGCAACCTTCTTCAATGAGCAGCTTGTTTATATTGTCCACATTTATCGAATACTCTATGAATCCTCGAAAATCAGTTATGGGATGTGAACCTTTGCCATCAGATGTGCTGTCATTCAAGGTCGAGCCGAAAATTGTCATGTGCAAAGAGCATTACGAGTGTTTATATCAATATTATAAGGACGCGTACAACAGTCACAATATTTTTGGTCACTACTCAGATTGCCGCGCTGGCCAGATTTTTGTTAATAATCGTATTATAAAAGTCAAGCAGATATCCCTTCTTGGCCAACAGTATTTTTCTGGTTCTTACTTTCAAGCCCTTTTCGTCGAAAAGAAAAGTGAAGACATTTCCGCATTTCCTGGCCGCATTTTATATCTATTTCAACACACATTGAACTTTGGTAACATTGATGTCATTCATACTTTTGCCTTTGTTGAATGGTATGCGAGTTACTCGTCAGGAAACGTCCAACCACTGAAAAATGAAAAAATTGAATTGTGGCAAGAACCATCCAGTTTGCTAACTTATGAGAACATCATTCCTGTCCACCGATTGTACTCACCAGTTGCTGTAGCAAAATATAGGCCTACAATAACAAGTGACTTTAAACGTCTAGTAATACCTTTACCTAAAAAAATTGAATATTAGCATATAATAATAAAGATCACTATAAATCCAGTATTTTATTCTTTCAAATAATTTTTTTATTGCAAAAGGGCTTTTTTATTAGTCTTAATTCTTTGCCCAAGAAGGCAGTTTTTTCATCTTTGCATCGGTAAGCTTCTTTTCTCTTCTTCCCAAGATCTTTCTGTCAAAAGAGCATGTCTGGCTACCTTTTGGAATATTCTGATAAATAGCATCAAGTTCTTCTACGAAATTGTCACCCTATGTATTCATATAAGTAACATTAATTATTACTAAAAAATTGTACCTTTTCACTTCTCCAACTTGGACGAAATCGCCCAAAGACTCGATCAGCAGAAGATGAGTTGTCTGCAACTTCGCAATCAGTCTCCAGGTCAGACATGTAGTCAGCATGAAGAAAGTCATCAAGACCCTCTCCATACGTTTTGACAAAGTATTCCCTATTTGTTTCTAAGGCTAAAGCTATTTTGTTTCGTGTCTGTACATTTTTATCTTTTATTATTATTATCTTTGTGATAAGGAATATGCACTTATTACCTGAACACGTCTTTGGGAAAGACATCCAACTCGGTTCGTTTCTGCAGTTTGATCGTCAGTCTTCTTTCTTTTCAACTTTTGGCTTGAAATATAACGCAAAATCTTTCTTCTGATTTTGCCTGGTGTATTGAGTTTGCCCTCAGCCTGATTACGAAGGTAATCTACAACAGACTTGATAATACGCCTGTTTGCCTCAAAATATGCACTTTGCGTTTTATCATATTTCTCATACAACTGTTCTTCTTGTATGTACGATCGCAATAATTGCTAAAAGAATTCAACAATGAGTAATTCATTTAACTACAAAACTAGCTTGACTACTTACATCCAAGACTGGATAGCGTTCAGGTGAGAGAGCTTGTTCAACAGCCTTGCTTGCTTCTGCTTCTATATCTTCAGAAGTAATAGTTGTTTTGCCACTACGCAAAAACGTATTGACTTCTGAGATTTTTTTGTAAACCTCGTCAATGGTATGGCCATCACCTGATGAAGCCTGAACTGTGTTCAAGCAAGGTCTTTTTGATGATAAATCTGCATCAGAATTATCGATCCCCTGAGATCTTTTTCGCATCAAAGCAAAAATCTCGCCAGCATTCCTTGATAAGTGATCATAATGGTTATGATAAGTAAAAATATATTATTGCAGAAAAAGAAACAGCATATTATTACGTTTGCTCAGCAGAATCAATGTTGCTGCCATTATCATTGACAGTAGTAGTGGTGGTAGTTGTGGTAGCTCTGGCAGCCTTGTTAGCTTTTTTAGAAGTGTATTTTCTTGGCATGATAAACAATAAAGTATAGTAGCTTTTAAAACATATTTTTCTTATTTATACCAAGTTTGATTTGGGCTTGACGTTTGACTTTTTTTTTCTCGGGGAACACAAGGAGAGCTTTATGTTTTTATTCAACTGAATAAAAATAAATATGTTTTATATCATAATAGTAATATATTTATGCTTTGATATAGAGTAGTTATTGATTTTAATATTCTTATATGTCTGCTAATACTACTGATACTTTTAATATGTCAATCTTTGTTAAATAGATTGAACACAATAAGCTGTTATTTGTCACCGTAAAAGCCAAAGCTTATTTTTACTTTGTTTTAATAAATACACCCACATCAAAAAAAAATTAATTTTCTTTTAAAAATTTATATTTAACGGAACAACTGCGCCCCTTCTTTTCTTTTACTTCACTTTCTTCTCTTTCGGTTTTATCTTTTTGGTCACTTTAAATACTCTGGTAAGTTTACTTTAAAAAACTGAACGTTTACTAACCCATTTGTATTTATATAATTTTCTTTTATTACATATCCTACACGTCTTTTATGAAAAAAATACACTGTTAGCAAGTATCTGAGAGGTTCAGGTAATTTTTTTTCCAAACACAATATGAGTAGCTTGTTGACTTGTTATCTTTTTAAATTTCACAATGCTAGTTTTGATAAAGTAAGCACACTTCTTTATTCTTTGTATAATACATTTAATTATATGTCCACAGTTCAGTCAAAGGTAATAGCAATTATTTTGCAACATTCAAGTATCTCGTTAATCATTTTTTTTATTGAAGTACCATATAATTTTATCCCAAATTATATCTGACTACCTATCGTATAAACTCGTGTCTATAATATGTAAGTATGATACATATTTTAATGATTTGACATATGCTAACAACCGCATTTTTATTCTATACTTTTTTTATCGATTTATTTAATAATTAGTAATCAAAACATCATTATTACTTTTTGACAATTCTATCGCGGATATTTCAAAATGTCTTAACATGTAAGTATCCATGCATATATCTATAAATCAATAGAAAATATTAATAAATTCATTTTTTATTTTAAATGCTTAAAATATAGCAGTCACAAAAAAGTCTAAGGAAGTCTAAAGGAAATGTCGATAATATCATCTTCAGTCAAAGAAGTATAAAATCAAAGATAATCGCGATGAATACATGAAACCAATAAGGTGGGAAAGTATAGTATAAACCGCGTCATCAAGATCTCTCAAGCTATCCAAACATGTATATTTAAAGAAGTATTAGTAGTGAACGTTAAATAGTTAAATTGTTTTTCCAACCATTCAAAAATCAATAAAAATCAATTCTTCCATGATATTCTATTTCTAAAGCGTCATCTTTTGATGATGTCAACAAGCTTTCTAAAGCTTTTAATGTTGCATATCAATAAAATAAAAACGTATCGACATATATTGGACATATTTTGGACATATTTTGGTAGAATTAGCTGGAGTTAAATAAATATTTCAAGCATAAGAACACTTTTTAGAGGTGGTGGTTTTAAATAATAATCCATATTTAGCAGGATTTAAGCACAATTCTTCATAATGGATAAATTTATAGCCGAAATACTAAAGAATTACAGCATTTTAAAAGCATACGGTTGTTATTCTGTCCATTAATATTGGTCATATATTAGAATCTAAATGCTTATCATTTGGTATATCAGCAGTAATATATTGGAATCTAATATTATACATATATTATACATTAATCCTATCTTTTGGATATATTTTAGTTTAAGAGTCTAAAATCCGAAGTCTCTTGCAGTGTTATATACTCATATAAAAAATATGCATATAAATACAGTTTTATTTCTTAAAAGTTGTACATATTTTATTTTTATGTTCTAATAAAGCATAATATATATTCCATTAAAAAGTTATATTTAATATCTGGGATCTTGTTATTATGAGCAGTAATTCCACCTTTAAATCTATCAAAAATACCAGTGAAAATACAAACTTTAAACTTTGGGCTCATTTGCTTTCATTCTCTTGTGAGATATTCAGAATTGATTTTAGCTTAGTTTCTCAATATAAAGGAAAGTAGTTACTATGGGAGTGTTATTTATTAAAGAGAGTCAAATGATATTGTTTATATCTGCTACTATTAAAATACATGTTGTATAATGGTTGGTCGACACTGTATACGTGTGTAATTCATATATGTCTAATGTGTAGCAGTTCCGGAGATTGCTAACTTGTCAGGATTATTAGCAAGAAGAAATCAGTGTTTGGTTGTTGAGTCTGTTCCTCACTCACTTATTATATGTATACCACAACTATGACATAAAAATCGACAAGTTATAATAAGATATATATTTTTTCTGTTCATCTCGCTATTAATAACGTACAGTATTTATTAATGTATGCTTAGTGTAAAAAGTAAAAGAAGGTAAGAAACAATATTCTTTTTCAGTTTTGATCATTCTGAGCAGAATTTACTAGTACGAGTCTATTATCTGGTCAAATATTTTTTGGTAGCCAAATAAAAAGGATTGTCTCCAATACGCACCAAGAAGGCAACCACATATTTAGAAACAATAGGTTTTATAAGCAACATCGAGACAGTGTGGCTGTGCTTATGGAATAGCAATATTTTTTGAGATTCAAGTTTTCCACTCGGCTAATAATATTCTATGTCCCAAAGGAAAAGTTCCTAAATCTCCACGACAAGATTAAGCATACACTACACATAGCTCTACCTTGTCAATAATTATCCTCTTTAATTAGAAAATCCGCAATAATAATGCCAGTCTTAAACAAAACATTGATACAAATCCGTTATTTCTATTGAGATTTATCTGTGATATTTTATATATGAAAAATAGAAAATAGAAAATTTAATAAATATAGATATATAGAAATACTTTGAAACTATATACGAGTTGCCTCAATTTATAAATAAAGTGATAATTTTTATAAGAAAACACAATATTCTCTGGTCACTATGTATTTAGTTTCCTAAGAATTTATTCTTTTACTATATTTTGATACTAGAGCATTAGAACTTCCTACTAAATTAACTCAATATAATTATGTCATGCGTTATCTAAGAGTTTAATATAGTTATATCAATACTCTTTGAGGTATTATATATATAGTACTAGCTGTAATAGCCATTTATTTAATTGCTTAATTATATATATATAATATATTTATGCGCTGAAAATATAATAGCTACTAAGCTATCTCAATATGAATATATTTTTATATGTGTTAAGTCCGACAATAATACATTTGGGTCACTTCAGTACCATTACAACTACCATTAAAAATAGCAGCTTGGAATCTAAAGTGTGTGCTTAAACATACTTTATAGGTTATAATCACTCATACGAAAGCCTAAAACGGCTTCCCAAAATGACACTTTCATAAACCATTCGGTGAACTTCCCCAAACTTTGTCTGGTAGCAACTAAAAAAAAATCTTGTGAAATACGGAAGCCCTCAGAATAGGTTTGTCTCAAGACAATATATTGTTTCTGGTGGGGATTTTGAGATTTTGAGCTTTCAAGCTAGAAGAGTCTGTCTGTTCATGATGAATACGTAAGTAAAGTGGACGATAAGGGAATATTAGGCAGACACAATAATCCACAATGGTCATTTGACAGGACCTGCATCAGCTACAGCATACAAATGAAGATGTTTTTCCCGCCCACTATCTCCCATTATGCCTTTAATCCCATTAGATAAGAGCGTCGAATATCAAGACATCCTTAGGAAGAGATAATGAATTAAAGGTACATAGAAAGAAATATAATATTAAAGAAATAGAAAAGTGTGGCCTAGAAAGCCTGAACCTCATTTTCAGGATTTTTCCATTTAGATAAGCTGTATATTATGACTTTTTCAGCAGAAATTATAACCAATTACTATATATGCCTAAATGCTGAAAACAAATATCAAGCTTTTAGTACTTTTTTTGAAGTTTTTTCTTTATCATTTGTGTTCGTTAGAATTTTATATAATTTTTTAATAGCATTTTTTTTATCTTATACCCAAGTATATAATTCACAAAATATTTAGCCAATGTAATGAAATAATAGAACCATAACTTCATTAGTTAAAAATTAAGAAAAGTTAGAAAAGAGTCTGCAAATATCCATGTTTATTTTTATTCTAATTTTGTTTCAAAAGGGATTCTCACCAGTATTTAATCCAGAGAAATGAGAAATAAATAAATAAGGAGAAGAGCAGTTTTTCAAGAAGAAATTTTCGTTTCAAAAAACAAACAAAAAGTACAATGATACGAAAACCACAGAGATTTATATATAATATATATCATAAACTTTGCCCATATTCTCTTTTCTGAAATAGATTATTAATGCGATTGTAATCGATACTATCGATATTATCTACCCTTAATTTCTTGATACAAGAGCTTATAATTCTATTGAGGGATACCTTTTTTTGTTATCTTAGCAGTTCAATAATGGGATTTAAAATTAAAAGTAGTTTTAGTATAATGATTTATTAGGATCGTGTAGATTTTTTTTTTAAAAAAAGATATATGTATATATATTATTTATTCTAGAACATAAATGTGTAAGGGCTCTATTAGTAAGTATGGATCAAATAAAATAAAAGTGCTTTATGGTTTATGCACCAAACAATGGCTCACAAACCTTGGACACATCTCTAAATTATCCCTTATTCTGCATAGGGGCATAAAAAATAGGCTAAAAAACGGTACATTGTGTGATAAAGTGGCATTGTGGTGCATAGACTTGCTTCACAGAGCAGACTGCAAGGGTTATCCACCTTCGTGAGTACTGAAGTGCGTAGTCCTGATACATAATATATCTGTATACTCTTTAGATAAAAGGTTAATTAAAAATAAACCAATTTTGGGTAGTAGAGCTATATATATAGTCGTAGAAAATTCAATGCTTTCTTTAGCTTTTATATGTATATAGACAAGACTTGATTTAAGCAAGTACGCTTCTTCAGATTTTCTCAAATTACATCTAGCATTATAAGAGTAAATAAATTCAAGCTTATATAGCTTCAAGAGGAGTAACCATGCTTAAATCTCGTGCTATAAAGGCGTACCAGACAATAATCCCTCACGTGGTGAATAATGGTGTTTGTAGTACTGAAACTACATATGGGAATATACAGGCTGCAGAGAAGAATAAGGTTTTTCTTTTTGGTGTATAGAAACCCAGTGTTAGTCTATTTAGGCTAGAAAAAACTACTTTTATCATGTATAGGATGCCTTGTTTTGGCATTAGGCTGGCCAAGATCTATCAGGGTTCAGGGCATCTAGGCCACATAGTTTCACACACACATACACACACTTTCTAGGAGTAGGAAAAGGCCTTAGATAGAGTGTTTTCTAAAGTTGATATCAAAATATAGCTAGGAGTTGCTTTGGATTAGTCAACTCGTGCTAAAACTCTAAAGAATAAGAAATAATTTACACCCGCCCCTAAGGCAAATCCGTAGGCTCACAACAACTGTTCTCACACAGTGGCTTGTTGCAGCTGAAAGTAAAGGGGAGGGGTAAAAAGAAATCTTCCCTCCCCCTGTTAATTACAACACCGACGATTACTATTTTCACATATAGTTTAGCATATTTCTCACAGCTAAAAAATGATTGATATTTCTATTTTATATAAATAAATTCCAAAAACATTATTCCTACAACTTGTCTTTCACAACTCATCAAGATGGAATCAGCTCGTCAACCTCAGCCATTGTCATTCATCATGGAACCTAGTGGTCCAACACAGGCTCTTGTTCCTAAACCCCCAACCACAGTCCAGGCTGAATTCACTCGACGCAAGAACTGGTCACAAAGCATCTTAGATGAGCTCCGAGATGTAGTTCATGTACTGTCTCCCAAATTCAAAATCCTTTATTGCTCTCCAGCCTCAAGTGAATTTCTTGGATACCAGCCCACCGAGCTTGTCAATCATCTCTTCACAGAGTATCTTCATGTTGATGATGCTGACACATTCTCCCGGGAATTCCGCAATGCCAGTGCCGAAAACAAGCCATTCAAAGCCTATTACAGATTGTTGAGAAAAGACGGAAAATACACTAGCCTGGAAACACGAGGCCATTTCTTCAAAGGATGTTTCTTTGGTCTTGCTCGATGCGTCCCTGCCCAGTCTACTCGCATGATGGACACATTCCTGGACCTCAAGATGGAAAATGAGATACTCAAGCGTAAGCTTGTCAACATGAAGCAGAAGCAACAGCAGCAGAATCTTGAGTCAGAAAAGAGCTCTCCTATCACTAGTAGCAGCGAAGACAGATCAGAGACCGCCGATATGGATGATGATGAATTTGATGGCGACTTTGACGAAGAAGAGTTCCTTCCTAATGCTGCACATGTGTACACACCTGGTGTCAACACTTCATACGATATGCTTGAGAGTGTGTCTCTATTCACTGGTCTGCGATACGACCTGGGAGAGCGATCCCGGGGTATCTCCCTTGGTCTTGTTGGTGAATTGACGACTGTAGCACAGCTACCCCCTTCGATGCCATCAACTATCAATAGTATAGAGAGAGTAACAGTCCACGATGAAGATGAAGAAACTAACGAGCAACAGAAGAGAGTCAAGAAGGTACTTTTCTTTATACTGATGTATGTTCAGGTGCTTGATATTAATCTGCAAACTGGTCTAGAAACGTATCGAGGTTGAAGCCCCAAAGATCTGTACTGACTGTGGAACAACTTCTGCACCCGAATGGAGAAAAGGTCCTAAAGGCCCAAAGACGTATGTATTGAGCTGTTGATTCTTACTATAAAACTATCTATATATATTTGCTGACCGAGAAACTTTAGACTATGCAATGCATGCGGATTACGTTGGGCAAAGACAAGCAAAAGACCAGATGGGTCAGACATATAAGTACATTATAAAGTACACACGTATAGTTGGATACATACATATGCATATATACGTATACATATAAATTGCATATGTGTATACATAGCTATTCAAGAAAATAAATAAGCTTGCAAACCACCATTTTATTATTATTATTATAATTTTGAAGTCAAAGTCAAAATCGTAAAATTTTAGGTACCCTAAACCCATAGTGTATAATCGCTATCGCGAAATTGAAATATAAGAGAATTCCAGTTTAACGATGTAAATCTATATTTTGAGCTGTAAATATAAAATGATTGAAGCTCAACATTTTTTATTGAGATTGCTGACATTTGCATAATTTGTCCCACATGAGTAAAATGTCAGAATTATTATTATTATTATTTTTATCAGTTGTAGATTGATCGAAAGTTTTTTTATTTCTTTTTTCAATATAAAAATATACATGTATAAAAATTCATATAATATTAGATGGGCTCTATTTTACGGGTGCGAATTATCGAAATTATTAGATATATTTTTTGACAGATCAATTTATTGTACGAATAAATGCATTATTGTTTATAAACGCGAAAAACATCTAGAGTGGAATAGTAACACTATCAATAAACATGACTTTAAACGCGTAAAATCTATAGGGTGTCCTTACTAAGAATAATTCGAAGCCCACGGATCAAAGTGGCAAGTGATATAATACAAAAACTCTCCTTTCCGTTAGATTTTTCTTTAACGCCAAAATAATCAATTGAATCATCGTATTATAATAATATGTTTATGAACCGAACCATCGGCTAAAACCCTTGTATTTCCTATTTTTAGCCAAGTACACCAAGTATTCTATTTCTTATTTTGCACCAAAAAAGAAGAAAAAGAAAACCATATTGATCGTATCGCCGCCTATTTCTGTTTTTGTTTTCAATAATCTTTGGAGACACGAGCATTTCACAAGCCAAATCATGAAGAATCCGATACATTTTTCCACCTAAAAAAGACGAAACATCGTAATTTTATCACACAAGTAGGCCCCTACCATAGAGTAATAGTACAAAATAATAGGGAAAAATAATTTTAAAGAAATGATAATAATATTAATTAGTTATGCAGCTTCACTCATCCTATTCGTGAAATATCCTGAGAAGTCAAAGCACTGCACTGACCATCAGAAACTCGGATTTTATTATAATTTTTCGAGCTATCTTTATATATATATAAAGAAGGGGGGTGCCCAATAGGGATAAAAGTAGCATGCTCTACTAAATATCGATAATATGCTTTATCCGGTTACATTCGACTAGATGTTGACCCCGATATTTGATAAGATACTCGCCGTCTTCTTTAAATGTCACCGTCTTATTTACAGAGCAGCCCTAATAAATCATATAATGAAGTCAACAACTAAAGAGAGCAAACTATAATTTCTCGAGTATTACCTTGCTGCTGTTCGAACATTTATAATATATACTTTTATGACCTGACTTTCGATGAACTGTATTTCCGTTGTTTTTCCATAGGTACTCATCGTTGTACGGGAACTCGCGCGTCTCAATAATCATAGAAATGTTTTGCATCTCGCGCCTTCTTCTTTTAGGCCGAGCAGAATTAACAAGGTCCATATTAATTTGATAAGGGGTTGGAGGTATTGGAATCTTTGCAGGCGTCGTAATTTCTATCGATTTTTTTGGCAAGACTATATTTCCGGATTGTGTTTCTGAATCTAATCTCGAGAAATAATCACCGTTTCCAAAATCAAGACATTCATAGTTATTTGTCTTTTCATTTGAATCGATATTCTCGGTCGAATTCCTTTCCTCGATATCTGTACATCTTGAATCGAGATTATTCTTTGAAGAGCTACAAAAAAGAGTGAACAGATAAATAAATAAATACAATTAAACCACGTATTGTCTAGTTTAGGCTCAAGTAATCACATATTTATGTAATAAGTACAATTAAATTGTACGGAGGTAAATGAAACAAAAAGAGTACTTTACCTAGATGAACTAGAGACCTTATCTTGGTCAGATATAGCAAGCGAGGCATGATAGGGAGTAAGTACAGGCCCGGTAGTAAGATTGTAATTATTCTGCCGTTCTTGTTGTGTTGGGTCAAATACAATTTGGGAAATACGCTGATGAGAAGTCGCACTAATCGGTGGAAGCATAATTGAGCTTGATATCGAGAACGTCGACAAGAGGTTGTTGATAGAACGAGTACTGTCTCTTCGTGCGGGTGACGTATTAGAGTCTGGGCCTCGAGGCTGAATCCTACTTAATGGCCAACTTTCACGAGTGGGAGGGTCCGCAGCACGGCCACCGTGTAGAGGATAGGGTGTAGGATGGTTGAAACTATTTCTTTTCCTGATAATGTTTGATTCGGTGAGATGCGAGTCCGCGGAATTGTTGTAAACGGAATACGGTTGGTAGGACGAGACTCTCAAATGTGCGGATGGAATATTAACTCCATTTGAAGGTTGTTCATTTGCAGAGCCCTTTTCACTTGGTATTCTCGCTGGGGCCGATGTTCCGAGTATTTCAATTGACGGTGGGGTGTTTGTACGAGCTTCAAGCAAATTGAAGTCAGTTTCGTTATTTTGATCGACTGATGTGGTTGTCTGACCAGTGCTAGCTCTCCAGGAGCGTACAGGAGCAGAGGTCTGATTAACATCGATCTCGGTTTTATTGCGTGTCAGGATATAGTCTATTTCTTTTTGCCTGAGCTTGGCCTCTTCTGCTCGACGCCTGTCTTCTTCAACTTTACTAGATAATATAAGCTCAAGAAGCTCTGGTCGCTCTCCATACTCTTGGACCACCTTTTCAAAATTAAAGAACTCCACAGGTTCTTCCGTTTGCTTTAGCATTCGAGTTTCTGTAATTTGAGAAGCGTTTGAATGTTTGGATGTGAAGGACGAATAGTTCGGTGAATTAGTTGAATTTGCTATACAAACATAAGATTGTGAGTCACTTGAAGCATCATTATTTTTCTTTTTCTCACTATCTTTGGTGTACCTAATGAAAAAGAATATGCTTGGGGGGAGAATGCTTTTTCTGGAGTTTGATTAAAATAGGTATCGTTTGCACGTTGTCCCGGTGATATGGGTGAGGGTGGTTGATGTCGATGTGAGTTATTTGATTGAAAAATAGAGCGGGTATTTGTTTCCATGCTTATTTTTTTATTTAAGCAAGAACTATTTGTTCAAAGATGCTCTTTATTAAAGGCAAAATAGAAGTAAAGAAGATAGATAGAGATAGAGAGAGAGAGAGAGAGAGAGAGAGAGAGAGAAAGGAAAAAAGAAAGAAAGGTTATAAGAAAAGAACACAATTGACCTTGTTTGAACAAAACAGGTACGTTTATGAGATTGCATTTATTCTCCAGTCACATAAATGAAATACTAATCACAACTCCCAATAAAGGCATAGGATCTGTACCAGCTCTTTAAACTTAGGAGACGAAGATGGTTTGTCAAGGTCTCAGACACAAACCAGGGTAAGCATCACATGATGGGCTTGCTCCAAGCATTCGTCTCCACAAATCACTATACCCCGCGCTCCGTATTCTTCCCTGTCCTCCCGAAAATTAGCCCGCTATACTTATTGTATTTTTATTTGTTTCCCGATCCCAGTGTTTTCCACCGTACCTAAGCCTATTGACAATGCCCAAGCCCTTAGCAAGACCATCGCCATACACATATATATACAAACATACGTCTTTGCGTTTGAATATATAAATAAATAAAATTTATTGTATATATAGTCGCAAATAATCATTATTATTAATATAATAATTGTCTTTTCTGATCTATATAATATTATCATAGTCGTTTGAAACAATAGTGCGTATTTAGTAATTTATTTATTTTACCCCAGATTTAAGAAGTATTTATATTACGATTATTAAAAAGTAAATAAAAAAGTAAAAGTAAAAGCAAGAGTAAGAGCAAAATAATAATTAGATAATCTGTATAATAAATAGGTACATATATAGTGCGGTGAATTCAGAAAATATTAATTTACCTTTTAGAAATACCATGGAAAAATATACTCAAACTGGTGTGTGTGTAAGAGACCTTCGTTCAGTCAGTATATTTTGGCCGTAGGTATTAACGGACTCCAAAATATATAATTATCCAGCGCTGGCATCTTCCCACGCCTGTACTTGTATTTTTGTGATTATATGCTCAATAATACCTACTATGTCTGTGAGCACAGTCCATCCTCTACAAGAATATATATTATGGTAATAAACAGTAGCAAAAAAGAGCATAAGTCTGTAAGTTATATGATACAAACAATATGAACTCGCTATCATCTGTGTTTAGTGAACCATTGTAGACATATTACTGTGTTAGTGTTACCCCACACTACCTTTTTTATGTTTTTTATTTTATTCAATAGTTGGCTCAAATATATGTACACTTAATAGGTCTAATAGCATGCCTAATACTTTTTGTATAGTTTTTTTTTTTAGTTATAGCCTTTAACTATACTTCTATATACTTTAACAAGAGAAAACTTAATACAATTGACTAAACAAAACATAATATATATTATTTACAAAATCTTTTTTTTTCCTATAGTTATCAGAAATTTTAATAATAATCGCCTTTTCTTCGACAAAAAAAGAAAAATTTCCGAGACTAAGGGAAGATATAAGGAGCATATATAGATAAACAATAACTATAATAGATAGAAAATAGTATAGATCGTAAGCTTCAAAGTCCTTGTAAAAGTTTTATTTATATTGACAAAAGAGAGCTAAAAAAAACACCTCTTTGGTTCTTCTGCTATTCACTAAAAACTACCACTTGTACAATACAAAAAATATCTATAGTTCTAGTCTGGTAATATTCTGTAATACTATCTTTTGGTCACTATGGGAATTGTCTGGAAGGTAATACTGGTAAGCACCTAAATTATGTATCTAAAAAAGAATACATGTGAAATCGTGTAGAATCATGTAAAATTATGTAAAAAAACCCCAGTTTTTTTTCACCGTGTATACGATTTAAATATTAGGCAGGGTTTACAATGCTAATAGCCAAGATATCAGAGAATGAGCAATAACAGCAAGAGTTTGGAAGATAATAATAATAATAAGTTATCAGGGCGGGACTTTCACGAGGCGGAGTAACATCTTCCCGGGGTTTACTGTGGACCCTTTTGTCCCTACTTTTACTCTCATTCCTTCCACTGACTCAGAAATCCAGGTATTCCTCATCGATTTTTATATTCAATGACTTAATAATATATTCAGTCCAATAAAATCAATATAAAATTTCTCATGCACAAAATGAGCCTCTTTTTACCAATGGTCACCCTCCTTTGTGACCAGCCTTGTGTCTTGCACACGAATACACTGTTATTATCATTAAAAAAGGGAAGCAATGGAAATTGAAATAGTAGTAATATTACTATTTTACAGGCTTAACTAGGCTCGCTAACCAACTGCTTTGCTGCCAAACATATATTAATTTATTTACGATATTTGGCTGTGTGCTGTTACAGTATAGATAAAACTGCATTTTTAGGTTAACTTTTAATACTGTCCTGTACTTTGCTTAATAAAACAGTCAAAACCGGAGTAGCCATTTCTTATATTTGTATTTTAAGCCATATTCTTTCTTGAGAATGAAGTAACTTGTGTCCCAGTTAATATGTACTTTAGAGTTTTTTTTCTTTTAAGAAATATAAATATCTTTATTTTAATTTAATCTTGACTACAGGCTTATATCTTTATCCTACAGCTTGTTAGACAAATAAAAAAAGCCAGGATCTTGACTGATTTAATAAAGAGATATACAATATATTTTTTTGGAATTAATAAAATATAGTTGTAATATATAGTTTGTATACAATCAGGATGAACTGATTTTATTATTGTTATCTATAGCACATTTGACACAGGATCATAATAATGTCTGGATCAAGGCATTCCAATTCCAAAAAAAAAATGCCCCGAATAATTACATAATATTAATATATAGATTTATTAAGCTTTGGGTTTTAACGGATACTAAAGTGCATGCTTGTGTATACATATAAATAAGAGCTACGATACAGCAAGTGATTAAACTACTCTAAGCTACTAGCAGGGATTTCACAACAATAATCATAATCTTTTTGTATAATTAACACTCTTTTGCTCGAACATTAATATTTCATTTTGGTACTAGATCGGTTTTAGGTTCTAGAGTGTTAAGTTGCTAAGTAAATGGTTGATATATGCGTTCTATGCCATGTAGCCTTTACACTATTCTTTAGGGAATCTAAATATTATTTCTCGTACATGTCACTTAACATACAATATCCCTTTTAAACCAACCTGTCTTTAAAAATCATAAACTTCAAATGATTATATCAAGTTACTCAGTTTCAGTATTTGATGCCAAGACCCACCCACATGCTTAGATTGATAAATTTACTTATTATTCTGTTTAAAGTATTGTATAGACTTTGATACTGTAGTGTAATAATCAACATAGTTTGCCCTCTCTCTTATATATATAAGACACCATGCTATTTGAAATATTTCTATGATATGCAAGCTATTAAAGTGTATAGAAGCTCACAGATTGATTCTGGCAATCTTATAGAAAAATGAAGGTTTACACTCTTGTTAATTGATAACATAAAGCAGTTACATATATATATGTATTCCTTAAAGCTATGACCTGTGTGATTTATTAAAGTCTAGTAATCCAGTCTTTTGGATCTTTCCTGTTAAAACCTAAAAACAAGTTTTGTGACGCGCATATTTTATTCTTACCCAGTAATTTATATAATAGAAACCTGAGCTCTAATTGCTTCTTGCAAAAAAACGGATCTTTCCTGTTTCTGCGATTACTACAGCTGTTAGCCTTTTGAAATCAATCACTTTTTCAAAATAATCGTAATTAAGTAGGTATTCCAAAAATATAGAATTGTAAGATTGGTTACCTATTACACAAAAAGAAGTCCAACTAAAATATTGATATATGGATAAAGACTGCACTTCCAATCTTGTGAGTCAACACCAAATACGCTACGACCATACTTATGTATTATATGATATGAAATTTACATGTTTTATTGATGTACATCGCAGAGAATATACAGGTATTTGTTTCAAAAATTATAACAAAGGATGTCACCACCCTTTAAAAAAGAGAGAAATCCTTAGTTCTGGATGGAAGCCTCGGTGTTGTAGTATTCCTCAACCTGCTCCTCAGCATGCTTCTTGGCCTTCTGCTTGTCAAGGTAATCAAGACCCTTGGTCTCGATGCTGTATTTATAACACCTTATCAGTATTTATTCTCCCACAGACGTTTTAAAGCCAAATATACTTACAGCTTGTCAAGGGCACCAGCGGCAAAACCAGCAAGGAGCTGCTTGGCCATGGAGTGCTCAGCGGGACGACTATTATAAATAATGAGACACAATATTCTTCTTTAGACAAAAACAATAAACTTACCCCTCCTTCTCGCAGTGCTCGTTGTAAGCCTTGACGGCCTGGTAGGCAGCTATAAGCAAATAGAACATGAATGAGATTTTGTAAAAACGCGTTTGTTTATAGCATATTGATCGCCCAGCACAAGGTTTCGGATATTTACCAGCACCGGCAATAAGTTCGTGGGTGAAGGAGCCCTCGTGCTCGCTTTCCTGCTTGTTGACCTCTTCGTGTTGGGATGAGAAGCTATCGAAAAGACCCCTGGAAGAATAAAAATTGTTTAATACATTTGTCTTGTAGAGTATAAATTGGGTTGGACCGGGCTGGGCTGGGCTGGGCTAAATGATGGATGGTTGATGATTGATACTTACATTGTGATTTAAGAAGAATAAAGATAAAGAAAGAGTATCTGGCTGACACAAGACAAAAAATATATTGAGTCTTTTATAGCTTCAAAGGGTTTACGTGACACACACAAAGGCACAACCTTTGCCAAGCAAACCGTCCACATTAAACTACAATTTCTTTTTCGTCAAAGAAGCGTGATTGTATGCACCACATTCTGAGTTTAACGTAAATTGTCCAATGGACGAGCTAAGATTTCTTGTGTACCTGAATGCGCCGCTTCCGGGCTAAAATTAACTCAGGTACAAAAGCCTTCTTTTGGTATAGACCGAGTGTTCTACCGTACTCAGTCAAAGCTGATTGGGTATTAGGACCGGCCGCCACTCGAAGGTATCGATTTAAAGCGTATTTTATAGTTTTTATGTACATTAGTTCTGTACATCATTGTGGCTAAGCTGGTCATATACAATATATATCAAAGGAATACTTTTTTTTTCTCATACAAGAGTTTCAAAATCAATTCCAAAACGTTCAAGGACAAAAAATCGTACCAAAGCATTTTGAGACAACTACGATATTATTAGCCATATATTACATACGCGTTTTGCAAACACGAAAACCTTTATCTTGCAACAAAAATATCCAATGCTTAACAGTAATAAGCGTTTATAATGCTATCGGAATTATATATATATTCCGTGAATAGTCCAGCCTATTTTTTATCTATTTATTTATCTATTTATCCAGATATCCAGACTGAACCTTCTTTATTAACATATCTTGGTTAAGATTGCAATGTTCTTTACACTAGTATTAAAGTAATGATATCAAAGAGACACTTTGAAAATACTCATAGTGATACATAACAGCAACAGCATATTTGATTTTGTAAAATATAGAGTGGCTCAAGGTAGCACCGAGAATCTCACTATGAACGGATTTCCTTTTTTAACTAGAATAGCGATGGAACCCTGTCAATCAACGTACTTGAGAGTTCATACGAATCATTTTCTTTCGATGGACTATATGATCTTCGGGTGTATTGGTACTATTATTATTATTAAGTAGATTTCCTTTGTGATTCTGATATTAAAGATAAAGGTAAGTAAGAACTAAACACCCAAAAATAAAGAAGAGAATGAAGAAAAAGCGACGCGGAGTATACACTGTGTGCGAATGTCTATACTTTCGCCTGTTTATTCCTATTAGGCTCTGAGGTTACATGCAATTGAATCATTCCGGAGCAGCGGACTGCCTTTTCTTGTGATCAAATAGACACTTGATTCTACAGAATTATAGTATGTGCTTGTACTTGAGCCGTTCAACAACACACTTTCAAAATGTATGGGGATTTAACTCTTGGAAAAGAAGTTAGATGTTTTGGCAAGTTTCGTAAGTCCTTTCTGGTTAAATAGCTTTACCATGATAAGAGTGTTCTAAGTTCATACTGATACATTGGTATTTATACCGAAATAAAAGCTTTGATATGTTTTTAGAGCAGACGAAAAAATCCATTTTTGGGTGAAAGACAAAGAGTGGGCTATTTGCTTGATTACAGAAACGGATAAATGGCTAAACACCATCTTATGAGCCCCACACAACTTTAATTCGAATGGTTATAGACCTTTGGCACAATGCACGATAATAGCTGTAAATGTTATTTTTATAGTACTTCTTGACTGTTTATCTCTCTGATTTACTCTATCTTTATTTTTAACAGGGCCAATACTTTATAGAACATTAGCCAAACTATGCTTTACACATGACATTTTTATTAATGTACAATCCTGGACTAATACCATACAATCTATTGCAGCTAAGCCTTACCACATAAGTACATACATATTTAATAAACGACGCTGTATATTCAAAATTTCAATTATTATTGGCATAGGATTGTTGCAAGGCGCATAACTTATCAACTGTTTTCGCAATGCCGGATTTTTAATTTATGCCGTTTCTTAATCCACTTTAGTAGGGTCATATATAGCCAATGGAATCATTAGGAATAGTGTAGAGGGCTTTAAAAATATCACAACGCCCAGCGAGCTACCTCGACAGGTCCACATAGAATGAACCAAAAATTGAGAACAAATGATGTAGATAAATATGATACAATCCAATCTCTAGCCACCTTACGAGGACAACATTTTCAGGATGGGAAACTACCTTTTTTTTGCCGTACTAATTTAGTGGGACTACTTGTCCGAGGTCCGATGTCTTTCCTCCAATCCTTCATAGTAAAACGATATATCCTGAAATTCTTAATTCAATATTTAAATATAAAACTTTCTTTTCTATTGTATACTCATATCATAAGAGCCAGTAATCAATTGTATTAAAGCATATTATCCTTCTCGTAGATAACAAAGAGACGTCTGTGCTCATTGCAGATTAGCAATCAAAAGTTATTCTGTTAATAAGTACTTTATAGAAATCACTTCAATACGAATCCTATCAATAAAAATACCCGTTTTTTTTTCTCAATGGAAAGGAGTATTTTTGCCCAAGACCTCTTCCTGTCTCATCAGTTGAAGGTTACAGTGGTATAACAATAGTAATTGCAAAAACCCAGGTGTTTTTACTTGTAACTAGAGATAATAAACCAACTTGAGTATACTTTAAATGTGCCATAAGAAAATGGTACGCCATTTCCTGTTGGGATATGATGTCTTGAAGTAACATGTTAGGTAACTACTTTATTATTCTCTATATATCAGTTGAGCCAGTGCAGGTAATATATGACTTTAAGTATAGCTTTACATATTTAAGAGGATGTTTTTACACATAGCCAAAGCTATTATCCTGCTTTATATTAAAGTATCTTTATTATGATAAGTATGAATAATTAGGGACCAGATATAATTATTCGATTCTTCCCGCACCACAAATTGTAACTTTTTTTGCCGGCATTGAATGACTCTATCTGGTCCCTAAGGATCTATTCTTATTATAATAATTAATACTAGTCAGGATACAAAATATTCACGAAGATTTTCTTTTATGCTTTGCAAAAAAAAAGTGGATGATAATTACTTACCAGTTTGTGGTGTCAAACTCTGGGAATATAAGTTGGTGAAGGAAAGAGAAAGACATGGTACGCATAAGAAGGCCAATAAATAGGAAACTATTCAACAATATTGCGCCACAGTCTGATGAAAACAGCTCCTTATGATATTCTGCGTAATTGGGTATTGATATAGTGCATATGTGTCTAACGATTATTTCTTTATTGTCAAGTCTAAATTCAAGGTTATTAATTGAATACACAGGATTTGTTTTTTTTTGTATGAGACAACATTTAATTATTAAGTTAATAAAAAATCGGTCGTACTTCCTAAAAGAAGGAGAGGTAGATGTATGGGGAGAGATTGATGAACACACAAAGCGTGGAGACGATGTAGTAAGCTAATACGTACAAAGAGAAGAGGAAACGACAAAATTATAGAGAGGAAGGAAGCAGGATTAACAAAAGAAGAAGAAAAAGAGAAGATATAATACAGGTGAAAGTAGAAAGTAGATGGAGCACAAGAGTGAGAGAGTTAGTCTAGGATATGAGAGGACTAAAAAAAACTGAAGCGATTTGTTCACAGAAACAACTACATTGGCAGGAACAAAAGGCACATCGTCAAAAATTGTGCGCCAGTACGCTTTCCAAACTGCGGCAAGCACACCATCCGAACCATGATAGGAGTCAATATGAGGAGGGGAGGGAGGGAGGTCGAGAGCATAAAAGGCACGAAGGATTGTGGATGGCCGGGCTTTCAGGACACACCGTTTTGCCCTGAAGAATTAGAGAAAGACACTGGGCCACGGACATGTAGTCGCAATTTATTAGTCCGGTTAGATAGAAATGTCGTGTCCCACCAGGAAACGTCGTTCCCGTAAGATTGCTGTTGAACAATCGCTGTCTTCTGAAGAAGAAAAGCCATCATCACCTTCGTCCGATCAATACTATGAAGTAATCAAATCAACCATTTGTTTTTTGAAGTCTATGTTTTTTTTAAATAAAAAGTCGGGTTCCATGTAAACATACAATTATTACTTATTAGGGGGTTTCACCAGTTCTGGATGCTTGACCGTTGGATGTATCGGTGGTTTAATACAAAAAATCCTCACAAAATGAAAATTGAGCACCCAAGCATCCAGAGCTGGTGAAACCCCCATAATATGTGTTGGCTCATCTTAGATGTCTAATACAGCCTTACCGCGTTTTATGTTATGCCTAATACTTGGCAAAATATGCTTTAAAGATCAAGAGTGGCTTACAAGCTGTTGTATGTTTCCTTTTACCGAATATAAAGACACCAATAAAGGCATGTGCTCACAAGAGCCAAAACTAAAGTTTATTTGACTAGATCCAAAAAGAGCAACTATTTGCATAATCTGAAGGTCCTTTCTTTCTTTCTTTATGTATTTATTATACGTATGAATCCTAATATATTACAAAACTTAATATAGATACAAATATTTAGTTAAATAATAGTGAACCTAGTAATAGTAACAATAATAAAATGGAATATAGAAATATAGACGGATTTTGAGTAACGTACCACTAAGCAAAATTAACAGCACAAAAGCAAGAACTACCTTATTTTCCAGTAAAAACAGTAGTCATTCCTTTGGTATCTCCCACACAACCGAAGGGGAATTGATATTTGGGTTTATCTCCAGAATTAACGCTTTTAGTCTAACTTTTTATAGGCATCTTTGAATACACATTTGGTACAGTGAGAAATAATTAAGAAAAAAAAAAGTACCAGCTGACACTACTATAGTACTATTGTTTTCATTCAGTAATTCCTACTCCAAAAATTTGATACTTTACCTTATATTTTTATAGAAGCATTACACATATCGATATCTGAACTTTTAAATGGGTAAAGGGACTTTATTAAATATTTATTGTATTTCAATATCTTATTTCTCAAGAGAGGTAACCAGACAAGTAATCGATGAAAGCCCAAACAATAATAAGTAGTAAGTAGTAAGTGGTAAATAGTAAGTAGTAAATAGTGGAGTAATACGAGTGATAGTCACTGATGAGAGATAAAAAAATAAATAAAAGATCATATAAACTTTCGCTTATTCATTAACCAGCCCCAAGGTACTTGAGGATTAGGACAATAAAGAATAACAGAAAAAAAAATGATAAGAAAGAGGGTAGTAGCATCAAGCTGGGAGAGGTAAAAATAAAATAAAATGAAGATAAAACCTAGTTAAGAAAGGATTCTTGGCGTTTTAGGCAAACTCATGCTTGTCAGAGGTGACTTCTTTGCTAGAGGTTTCAACAGCCAAGTCCTCACCCTCAGGTCGACCACCAACCAAAGTAATAGGAACCGCCTTGTCAATCAAGTTATCGACATTCTCTACTGTCACCTCAGGAACTGTCCAGCAGACAATGTAAGTAAGAGCAAGGCCAGCGACATTGAGAGCAAAGACAATGATAAGTTCGGTCATGAAAGGGGTGTGGATGGCATCAACCTGGGAAGCAATGGCATTTGCAGCATTCTGGATGGTTTTGTAGAAACCACCATAACGTGCAGCACGCTCAATATCGTTTGTCATTGTGCCGAGTAGCCAGTAAATAAAACCTTGGTAGATAGCATCCGCAAAGCCAAAGAGAGCATATAAGAAGCATATAGGGCCATAACCATCATCGAATACATCCATGGGGGCAAATCCGGGAGCCTTGACAGAAGTACGGTTAAACTTCTTTTGGACAAAGATAGCACCAACCCAAATTGCAACAATGAAGACGAGAACAAAAGTATTGCCAATAAAAGCACGAGCTCTACGGCCACCTAGACGAGTGGAGTCGAGAAGAAGACCAAAGACACCAGCACCGATAATCTGGAAGAGCCAATAGACCAAGTTGTTAAGACCGCGGGCACGAAGAACAAAGAATCCTCCACCATTGTAGACCTGGAACTGATAGGTGTAAAACCAATTTGATCCAGCAAAAAGAGGAATGAGGACAATCATGCGCCAGTCGAGGAAAAGGCGGAAAACCTCAATGGCTTCACGACGCCAGTTTGAGAACTTGTGGAGAGATACAGGTGACCCATCGTTACGGATAACCTTGTGAGCAGGCAAAAGAAGAACGGCAGTACAGGCACCGACGGCCATGATGACCATAAAAGCAATGTATGTGGAAGTTTTGACACTGCTTGCAGCGTTGTTCCAGTCGTTAGCCAAGGGAATGGCAGCACCAAGAGTTGCACCCCTATTATAGAAATATGTGGTCAGTGTGTGTAAAAAATAATAATATTATGTGACGCACTGTGGATCCTCAGTTATTAATTACTTACAAGTTAAAGATCATCCAGAAAATGGAGAATGATTTTCCCTTTTCAGCTTCTGAAGGATAGGACATCATAATACCGGCCTGGGCAGTCCACAAAAAACCTGCACCAATACCAAGAATAGCACCGGCTGCAATAACAAAAGCATCGTTAAATGGGATATAAGAACCGACGTAGAGGACGTATGCAAGAGCAGCGGGAATGATAACACGGATACCAAACATGTTGTAGCTAGATAGAAAAGAAGAAATAAAGAATGAGTTAAACGCGCCGACCAGAGAATCAAGTTGATATAAAAAACTTACACAGGAGCACCGACAAGAGAGCATACAGTAAAGGTAACAGCAAGAGCAGTATTGGCATCGTTGGCAACATCGGTAGAAGATTTACCACCACCACCCATGCCGTTCAGGGCATTGAACATTCCCGGGCAGCAAAAGCAGATGAAGCCGACCAAGAAGACTTGGAAGTAAGGACTGTTGTAGCGAAAAGGCAGTTTGGAGGCTAGGCCACCAGAAGGAGATAAGGCAGTTCCCATTGTTGAGTAGGTAAGAGAAAGAGATGCTGTACTCAAACAAATCGAACAGGGTCGCCTATATATATATTATACCTAAAAAAAATTCGACAGCTGGTTGAGCCTGAGATATCGGTGGGACAGGATGCGAAAGATCAGGTTGTCCAGGGTCCTTTGGGTAATTAAGAGCGAGGAAGAGATTGGTACTTCTTAGTTAGATTGTCCTACGTTGTTCGTGCTGTTCCGGAACAGTGATTTGGTGTTCTACCCTGGTTTGATCTCCCACGAACACACTGTATATCTGGCATGGATATACTGAGCTGATTACGTGAGATATATTGTGTGAGAATAGGCCCTTTATCTTTCCCTCCCTTCTTGTACTCACAACGTGATATATTTTGTGAGTCGTGATAGTTGACCTTTTTTTCTTCAAGTGGTGTGTACGGGTCCTTCCCTGGAAGAAATATCAGGGGTAGGACCCTTTTATCGCTTGTACACGCATATGGTTTGTGATTTGGAATATTTAATTGGCAAGGTGACTTATTTTCTTTCCTGGAAAAAGTACACTTCTTGTGCCCTTATTCCCTTGAGCACAAAATGTGAACCCTGAAGAGGGTAGTTCTGGAACGAATTCCGGCTGACCTAATATCATACATGCGCCAATTTTTTATTTGATTTCGAAAGGAATAATGTGTGTATACAGAGTTTAGGGAAAAGAAATAAATAATAACAGTAATAACAGTAATAACAGTAATAACAATTATAATAATGAGAGTTGAAAACAAAAAAAAGAGGTAAATGAAGGGTTATTATTATTGCTATTGCTATTACTATGCTTGAAAATCCCCCCCTTTTTTTTTAAAAAAAAATTAATCAGATCATAAACTTCAATTCAAGATGTCTATCATCTATCGTCTCTCGTTCTTCTTGTACTTGATAAATGCTACCAAGTTGGTCAAAGCTTCATCAGCTCTAGAACGCAAATCAAAGTTCTTTCGGCGATCAATGGACTTGACCTAATAGATCAATTTTCGTTAGAATTGTTGTAATTTTTTTTGTTGATTGGTTCCTTTTTCTTTACTTACAATTGCGCGGTAAGCAGGTAAGATAGATTCTAGTTCCTTGATCATGTTTCCCTTGACAAAGATAGGCTCATCATAATCGAATGCGCAGTCATTGTAAACATCGTACATAAAGTTGAGCACCTCAACTGCTAGTTCTGGGGGAGTTTGCTTTGTAGGGATGTTTCGCAAGATGTCTGTTACATAGATAGCAATGTTCTACCATGATTACAAAATAAAAGTAAGCTAATGATAACACACTAGATATTTCGCACTCAAATGATAATGAAACTCCTCGTGCTCGTGAAACTTACCTTATTAAATTCGATGTTTCCCTGGCGAGTAGCAATGGCACCTAAGCAGCCGATAATCTTGACACGAATAGATACAACAGGAATAAGAGTACATGTGCGGCACAATACTTCATTATCATTAGGACCAAGAGGCTGTATACAATAATCAACATCAGAATCAGAAAAAAAAACAGATTATCAAGTTTGAATTGAATAAACTTACAGTATTGTTCCCAAGACCTCTAGCCAAAGACCAGAGACATCCTACGATTGCCTCCAAATTATCAGCCAATATATCGTCAGCTCCACCATTTGCAGGTGTCAAATCATAGAGAAGTTTAATGAGCCAAGTCCAAGTTTGCTGAGCATCTGATATGTGCTCCTTAAACCAGAATTTTGATGGTACATCGTTCATAGCCAATAAAAAGTTGTTAAGGCATTCTAGTGACCGCAGATGGGTCAGGGCTAATCCTTGTGATACCGTTGGTACGATGGATTCTTGAGGGAAGGACAGGGGAGTTGGTGTAGCCAAACGGATCAGGTGGGGGAAGATTTGATAAGTAAAAGCATGCATGACAGGGTTCGATCGAATCAAAGCATCCTCGCTTGCAGATGATGTGCCTCCAGTAAGAGCAGATACTTCACCCAAGATATCCTCAGTATCCTCATCCTCTTCTTCAATAGGTTCACCCTCATCATCACCCATAGTTTCATCAGCTTCCTCCCAGCCATCCTCTACAAGTAAAAGCAACGAATAAGGGTCCATGAGATTAAACTATGTACCACAATTGATTTTATAGTACCTTCAGTATCATCTTGAGTACAAATGTCAGCCAAAAGTTCGAGTGACAGCTGCAATGTAGTAAGGCGTTCCTCAACACTTTGAACATATCTCTGCATTTATATAATTTGTTAGCATATACAAGAGTCCAATATACTTAAATATATACCTCCTCTGCGTTAACAGGCTGCTTGGGTGCAGGTGTAATCTCACCAGTCTCTTCATGTTTAGTAATTTTCTATATAATCCAAAATTAGCCATATTTCAATGGCACTAAGCTTTTTTTTTTGTACATACACCACTGTTAGCAGCAACTAAAGATTGTTCAGCGGCAACCTGAAGGTCGTAGTCAAGAGACGAAATCAAGACAGGCAAGACCATCTTGTTCAATTCAACCAAAGGATCCTGATCATCATCCCACGAGCTTGACATGCGCATAACCTCACGTAAATTCATCAAAATGGCTGGTTTTTATGTCAGAATTTCATTTCTTTTTCTTCTGATTATTATATACACAGCACTTACCACATGCAAGAACACGGACAAGTGTGTCCTCTGGACGAGTGAATTTTGTAAGAATGCCAACAAGAGTGCTAATATACTCAGGATGATTCTGGAATTCAATGTAGATGTCCTTGTTTTCGTCGGTCAAGGTAGTCAAGCATTGTCCTAATTATATTATAGATAAATAAAGATGTATTGATGACTTTTTCGTTTTTATATTTACCAGCAGCAACAACAACACGAGTAGGGCATTGATCAGCAGCTGACAAGAATGAAATCAAAAAGGTAATAATATTAAGACGGTTGATAGCCTTGATGTACTTATCAGAGGCCTCACTTTTTTTTTTAAAAAAAAAACGCAAATACACCAATTAATATTCAATTTTCCAAATAGACTTTTTTTAACACTAATAGTAATAATACATACATGATACTCCAGACAATATAAATGAAGTTCTCTGCTACATCCCAAACTGTGCGACGTTTATCTTGGTCATCATGATCGGCAAAGGGAGCATTTTTCAAAACGAGATCAATGGTTTGGGAGATCTATTTCGAGAAAAATATATTCCATATAAGCATTGTTTTACATATCCTTATATCCACTCATTTACGTTACCGTGGGCAACAAAGCAGACAAAGGTGTCAGAATATCGCGTGCATAATAATCGTTGGCAACGACTGGATCCACAGAAACAAGGTTTCTATTCGATTTATTAAATACCTACAATATCTCTTTCTCTCTCTTTCTCAGATAATTATTTTAAAACCATACCTCAATGTACCAAGAGTTTCTTCCTTGACATCCTGATTGCTGTCAGTCAGACGTTCGATGAGTTTAGGAATAATACCCTTGGACAACAAAAGTTTGCGAGTGGCAGCTCCGGCCATGACAAGGTTCGAAATGCAAGCAGCAGACCAGGCACGTTCAGTTGGATCAGGTGAAGAGAGCTAAAGTGGAATTGAGTTGGTTAACTTCCTCTTTACTGCAAGTTAGGATCTTTCATATATATATATATATATATATATATTAACCTTTTCAATAACAGGCATGACCTGCTCAGGCTTAGGAACATCCTCGGAAATTCCCTGGCTGACACCGGCAGCAATGCGAGCACCGAGAGGGTTCACTCTGTTTTTCGTGATCTTGCGTCTTTGAGGTTGCTTTCCCATTTCCGAGATGTATCAAAAAATGATCAGGTACAGAATTACTCAAAAAATTTAAACACTCGTTTTCCTTACTACATCCAGCTGCTTTACAAAAAAAGTAGTGGCTTTGCATGACTGCAAAATTTACAAGGTGCGATAGTTATATGAAATCTTGTAGAGATAATTACAAAAAATATGATACACATATTCTTCAATGGCTGATACAAGGGAGTTATACTGATATTAATGGCTCAATATCCAGAAGCTATATAGAGAATCAACTTGCTGATAAGAGATTTTCATTTAATGTTTATTGCTTAAATTTACTTTTAGTAGCTTTGTGAATATATTGGGAATAATATATGTAACAATCTACAGCGTATAGCATTGTATTTGGATTATATTTTATAAAATAGCTTTCTTTTTTTCAAGGCTGTAATATTTTATATTGTATCATAATATATATATATATATATATAAATATATATACTAACTGGCAAATATTGTCTTATATAAATATAAACAGCTTCATAGATCTCTTTCGGTCATTTTATTTAAAGTACCAGTCAGATTGACGGTGCTATAAAATCCAAGTAGCTTAAAAATATTTTTGCAGATTTAAGATTATAAAATTAAAAAAGAGGCCAGAAAAGTATAATGACTAGTGGCAAATATACTCGGAATGAGGACAAACTTACAATAACTATTTAGATATTATAATACCGATATATAACAAGCTTTGATTTGCCACCCAAGACCATCTTTCTCGATCCACTTTAATTCCTACCTAAATAAATAATTGATAGAAGATTGTATGTATAAACTAAATGCTTTATATTGCTTCGTTTAATTCATTCAAATATTAGATTCATTGTACCCTACATATTTTATTGTCATATGCTATGCTGTGTTATATAGAAATTGCACACAAGCATGTGTAGCTATCTTATTTATTTATCTATTAATAAAATTATAATTTGATTTTCTCATGATTTGAAATAAAACTCTTTTATAAACACTACACAAAATGTACAGGTGTTTATTATTTTTTTTTCTTTCTTAAATCCGACCTACCGGAATTAACCACTATAATGACTGTAAGAAAATAAACCAAAAACAATATTACACAGCAACTAAAATAACATCACTGGAATTCACTCTGTCTAAAGGAAAGTATAGCTTATTTCAATTTATTGGTATTATAACTTTAGTAACATGGTTTTATGAAAAGGCTAATTTTTTTAAAATAATAATAATAATCCCTTTTACCTAAATAACAAACAATATAATGTCTAAATATGTTTTCAAATGTATTAAAAGAGGTGCTTAGACGAAATTTGTAAGTTGATCCAAGTATACTGCTTTGTCAGATATCATCCTGTCAATGTAAACCTTTGATTGATTCCCCCCTTTTTTTTCAGTGTAAGAGCACGTTTATTTTAAAGTAGCGAAAATGGCTTTTCTAAATACAACAGTATTCCCAGGCACAAACTACCAATTATAACCATCAGAAAAGTGGGTTCAGCAAATCGAGAGCCCGTTGAAGAATGCGAGTGAGGGGTAGAATGCAAGTAAGGTTTGGCCGTGGTACTTGACTGGGTAGCATGAGCGTTATGCTGGAGAGAATTCACCATGCGACGAAAATCTCCAGCAGCGGATGATTCTGTTTCGTTGGTTTTAATAATCGTATATCCGATTTGTTCCATGATTCGAAGTAATTTTGGTCCAAGTGGACTATCTCCTCCTCCTTTGAGAACCATATCAGTCATAGTAACTCCACGGTCTTGCATATAACGCATCAAGAAGTCAGGTGTATCTGTGTAAGAGTTGTAATCGACGTGTGAAATAGAGGACCCACGTTGAAAAGGTACTAGGCTGGTCTCTAAAATGACAAAGTCATCGTATACTCCTTGAGGACCAACCAATCCTATACCCAATGTTCCTGGTAAAACTGACAGACGACTCATGTCAAAAGCCGGACCAAACTCCGGAGATCCTATCAATCCTTCGGTGGAATTTACTTCTATTTTATTGAATTGTCGTGTCAAATCGGATGTTGGGAATAGATTATATTCACTTTCTGGGTTAAGAATCACCATGTATTTATCTAAAACATTCTCAAGGAATTTTGTCTCAATAACAGCATTGTTCTGAGGATCAATTATGACGAGTGTTTCATCAGCCAAGAGAAGACTGGGATCAGGGACAAGGGCATCGATAGATGGAATATGTTTGCTCCAGTTAGAATAGAATCCCAAACCATGCATAAATTCGTGCTAAGCGAGAAAAAGGTGTGTAAGTTTGAAGTGGATATTATGTTATTATAATTCGTATTTTAACCTGCCATTATGACAAATATGAAGTCTGCTTGATTCATGTCAATGGGATTGTCATCACCCTAGAGGAACCAAAATCCATATTAGAGCTTTCTGGCTATCTTTTTGTTCCTTTTGTTTTGAAGTGTAATACTTGACTTACCTCAAACCAAAAAGGCGCATCTGCATTAAACACGCTTAATATATCAGAGTGAGAATATTCTGGACTAATTGGCATATCAAGCTGTTTTACTAGTGATTGAGGATGAAGGCGTACCATTCCGTCTTCATTTAGTAAGGGGATCAGTCTTGCAGGGGAAGATCCGCCTAAAACATAGGCATAATATAGATACAATTTGATAGTATTAAGTTAGGTTTCTTCTACGAGTAGATAACATATAGTGTGAATATAACTATAAAGAAAAACTTAGAGTATATTTGCCTAGAGTCATTAGATCGTTTTTACATTCTCCCCCGCTCTCGCAGAATGAAAGAAATGTTGCATTGACTCTCACAGGTTCACGAAAGAAAATGGCGCTAGATATAAGACTTCCTGCCTGATCAAATGCCTTCTTGGCTTTGGCACATGTTTCTGACGATACATGAAGGCATTGCAGATCGATTTCAAAAGGGGCTGATTTTGTACTTTGTGGTAATGGATCAGACGTCAGTTGAAGGTAGGATAACCTTCGATATGTATCGAGAGGTGATTCTAGTTTTTGTACGGGGCATGGGACCCAGGAGATAACGCGAGGTTTAATAGGATCTTTTATTTCTAGGCAATCCATAGGAGTGTGAGCATATGTAATTTGGAGAATGGCTGCTAATAAAAGCACACATTTCGGCAATTTATAAACATTCATTGAAAAATAAAGGGTAAAAAGGCACCAGAAACAATACAAGCTTTGAATAATAAGACATCTCTAAAGATAAAAAGAAATATTTATAGATATAGAGTCGGTTCAAATGCATATATAAGAGAATGTAAGTCTTTCGATGACGCTATAGCCAAAATAATACAATATAATCTATGCTTCATAGGTCAAACGTGGATTGTGTCTTTATTGATTTTTTTTAATAGGTTTCTTAATTTTTTTGTGCCATTTGCAGGGTTTTAAAATGATGAAAAGAAAATAGAAAAAAAAAACATATGAATAATAAAGGGAAAGAGAAATAATTAAAAATACACAGACGACAAAGTACAAAGGAAACATAATAGTAATAGAATAGGGAGGAACACGATATGACAAAAGAAAGAAGAAAAATAAATATATATAAAAAAAAGTAGCAATAAAAGAGTAGGATACTTCACCAATCGCTAATAAAGAAACCGTCGCGCTTTGGAGGTTCTTCTTGGGATTGGCGTCCTGTTACGTCTGTTGTTGGGTCGGGCTCATTTGAGTAATTTATTCCTGCTGGGGTTTCATCGGCAAGCTTAGGAGTGCTAGTCGAATTGTTGTTACCGGGCGAGTTTCCGGGAACAGATTGCCCAATATTCACGTTCGTAAGTCGTTTGCTATAGTTCCGGGTATCTGCAAGTGGACGATGGAGAACAATTCCATCAGAATCACTTGGTGAAGGAGCCTCAATCGACTGGGAGTATGAGCTTTCACACTCAAGTTCACTCATTTTGAACATAAGAGAGTCATCATCATCGAGTAAACTTGCCCTATCCCCATGTCTACTTCCACTACCCTCTACAATTGATCCTCTTGGTCGTGGGTCGCTCAGACTTGTCTGGCTTTGGTTTCGATGAATTTCAGCAGATATACCTAGGTCATCTGGACTGTAACGACGACGAACGCTGGTATATTGAGGAGAATTTGTAGGTGGGGTCGAGCGTCTTCGGGTACTTGTCCTGTTATCGTCACCTACAGTAGGCAGGCGACGAAGTTCGACATGATGCCGGTCTTTAGGATAGCTAGAAAAAGCATGTTGCTCAGGGCTAGTACGTAGTCCATGGCTGCCGGTTTGGTCTGCACTATATTGATGAGACGAATGATAACGTCTATGCTGCCTGGAGCTGTTTGAGTTTGAAGCAGTCAATATAGTATTTTGGCCACGTGGAATGTGAACAGGAGAAAGAGGGGCTTGCTCGGCGTGTAGCGGAGAGGGAACCACAGGCATATAGGTACGACTAGATGATGAAGTGGACGAGCCAAGAGAGGCTCCCACAACAGGCTGAGCTCCCTCATGCCTATCCGTACTTTCAGGAGCTACAAAACTAGAGGACAGTGACTCTGACAGATTGTTATGGGTCTCTCGAAGATTGCGGAAATGAGATAATGCTTTCTATTGAAGAGATGAGCAGGGATGCATTATTTTGACACGACAATCTACTTGCCTTTGACCTAACAATAGATCCACTTCCAAAAGCACTTGTACTCAGACTGTCACTTGTCTCTGACATGGGAGACATAGTAGAGCTCTCAGCCATTTGACTAGAACTCGACGCTTGTCCTTGAAGAATCTTGAGATCTTGCTTGATACCAACGAATCGCATAAACTCTTCTAAATCTGCGTCTCCAGCCGTATCCTATAAAGGGGGGTTGGGGCTAGTTAAAGGGTGTCCTGCCACTAAAGAAAAACGGCTTACCAAATGAACCGAGCTATGATCACTTGTTCGTGACCATCGTCGCATCATACTCATGCCACCTGTATCGCCTCTATTTGGACTGCTTCTGTCCTTGTATTTCTCAAAACTAGACGAGAACTCGATCCTTCTAGTCCTTTCGCTTGGAGAAGGATTGGGTCTCGGTGACGAGTCTTCAGAAGATAAGAATAATAAATAATAAGAAAAAGACCAAAAAAAAACATAAAAGAAAAACTTACACATCAATTCAGCTTGAGGTGAGGACGACAAAGAAGGCGATTTGAAGGGTGAAATATGAGATGCCGACACTCGTCGAGAGGTGCTTGTACTCGGTTGCATAACGTCAACTGGGATTTGTTGACCACTGCGGGCCAATATACTTTCTCGACCAAATGGTGACGAAGATAGGGGATTGCGCATCACCAGGCTTGAACGACGGTCTCGAGGTGGAGTGATTGATTGCGGGTCTGTAACAGGTGAGCTTGATCGCTGGCTAAAGGAGACATCTGAGCGCGGCTCGAGGGGGTGTCTAGCAATAGACTTTTTTTAGAAAGTTAGTAAACAAAGAACCCAATGAGAAATATCACCAAAAGGAAATACTATTAGGCTGAAAATTCTTTACCCTCGGTCTGGTCGACCCGTCACGACCCCTTCCTTGAGCCTCTGAACCAAATCCAGACTGCACGTCTGTAAAGAGATCCTGCTCTTGGCGATGCTTTGCCATGGTGGGAGTAAAATAATTCTCTTCAATCTCAGCCTGGGGTTCATTCTTTGATTCATTTGCATGTTCAAGTTGAAAATCGCAGCTCTTTCGATAGACTAGTTGCAATTTGAGCGTACTAATTTGTTTTTTTTTATCTTTAGTTTATCATTTCATTATTTTGTACTTTACTTACCCAAGAGGTGTAATTATATCAGAAAAATCATAGGCTTTGGTCTGATTTCTAGAATCTCCATCCATAATAGGTTGATCTTAAAGGAAGCTTTAGTTTAGCTATACATTGAGAGGCTGGACATGTTCTTTTATACCTAATGATATTTCATTGGACTGACAGCTTGTTGAGGACGATAGACGATATTTAAGTGATAGCCCAGGACTAGGATTGTCCTTGAGACGTTGACAAAGTTTATGGCCAGGAAGCAGCCGGACTAGGGAATGAAGAGAACGGAAAAAAATTATGGAGCGTTTGTAAAGGTTTGGAAGGTCAACGGGGGTATCCGGTGGAGGATGCCTGAGAAAATAATGCATAAGAAAGCAATGAAATAAAAGAAAAATGAAAAGTGGGATTTCAGAAAATTTCATAGTCAAGCAAAGAAAGAGACTTACTTTAGTGCGAGCACCCATGTCTCTATCAATACTCGCTGGACACCATCTGGATGCTCATGGCTTGAATCTAGTCCAACTCGATTGCGCTGAAGGTTTTCATCCACTGCTACAAGAGAATAGTCTTGTCTGATATCAGTAGTATCAAGAAAGATATCGAGTACCATTGGCGGAGGTTCTTCTTCTCCATTACGCACAGACAATCTGCGCCAATGCTTGAGTTCTTCTCGTAAGGTCTCTACATCTTCGGTCACAACATTGAACTACAAAACAAAAGTTGGTTAAAATATTCATCTCTATTTCTCTCTCTCTTTTTCTTTCTCTCTTTCTTTCTCTATCACTCTCACTCTTTTGGCCTCTTTTCATATATATATCCAAAAACCACTAAGCTTACTTGCCCATTTGTTTATTTTTCTTTGACTGGCTTTGCGTTCTGTAATAAATCGTTCCTGCTCCAGGTCGAGACGTGCTTGGACGATGACCTGGGCTGTCTTTGTGTAAAAGTTCTGTGGCAGGGGGTGAGTTGAGAGCGAGATGACAGGAGAGTTACCTGGATAATGTGCTCTAGCTTCGAGTTTCTGGTGCCAGAGGAAATGGACGTGGTTGGGATAGCGGGAGGGCGAGACTGCATGGGAGGGATATTTGTTGGGTCGTTTTGGGTGTGATGTGCAATAGGTGCATGGTAAGCACACTGCCGATGTGTGCAGTGCTGGCTGTGATGGCGATGGTGGGATGAAGCCGATGATGCAGAGGTACCAAGAATTGATGGCGTAGGTGAGAGTGACGAAGTGGATGATTGAAGGCTGCTCTTGGATAAGCTTGTAGGTGCTTCAGTAGGAGCCGGGCGGGAATGATTCGAGGGATGAGGCAGCATGCACTAGGCGGATAAGACCAAGGAATACAACACTTTTATAAGCAATATAGAAAGTCACTCGTAAAGAGTGAAACGGATAAATGATGCTGCGGCTCTGTATCTTGCCAGAAGGATTCAAGATTATATATATATATATGTATGTATATATGTATATATGAATATACTATAAATGAAATCTAATATATATTGCACTTCTTGTAAAACAACAAGTCTATCCACTTGTTTGTATTTAGACGAGGACCTGAAGCAACAAAATGCCCAAATAGAAACGAGAAAATAAGAAGAAAATTGAGCCTTTAAAAGCCTTTCTCATCTAACCCCCCAAACCCCAAATTGAACTCCCCCCCTTCCTCCTACTCCTCTTTTACTCACTCTCGTTCTCGCTCTCACTCATTCACTCTCGCCCTCAGCTTCCTCTTGATAAGTGCGTGACTGTGTATAACGCATGAAGCTCATGCAATTCCGATCATCAATTCCAAGCTGTTTTGGTTTGCAGCAATAGCAATGTGACTTGCGAATAGGACGAATGGAAGACTGATTTATTGAGAAAACTATTTTTCCTAATATGGCAAGCCGTAACTAACTTTTTTTCTACTTTTTTACTCTACAGTGACAGACTTTGCAAGGTTACGAGGAAAGTCAACGTCAACACCGTGCAAGATTGCTAGATGATACGACAAGAGCTGAAGAGGAATAATATTAATAAGTCCCTGAAGACAATCGACAGCTAGTGGGACTTGTATTGTCTTGTAATCGTTGATAAGGTTGGCGTCACCAGTGTTGCAGATAATGATAGGCTGTCCTTTGCGAGCAGTGACCTGTTGGAGTGCGCTCTGTACCTTGGGATATAGCGAGTCCTTGGTCATAATCAATATAACTGGCATGTTCTCGTCTACCAATGCCAAAGGACCGTGCTTGAGTTCACCAGCCAGAATACCTTCGCTGTGCATATACGAAATTTCTTTGATCTTAAGTGCACCTTCAAGACAGGTAGCATTTTGGTAACCACGGCCCATAATTAACAAACTCTTTTCACTAGATAACGTCTTGGATGCTAACTGTTGAAGACTGCTATCTGAAGCAAGCACGGTTTTAATCTGATCAGGCAACCTAAATAAACCTTCAATGATTTCCTCACGACGAGCTGCCATGGATGATCGATCTTCAGCCAGTTGGAGTGCCATCATAATCAAAGCAATATACTGTGAAGTATATGCTTTAGTAGAAGCAACACCAATCTCAGGACCCGCGTTGATGTGGACGCCGCAGTGACTCTCACGAGAAATGGAGGATCCGACTGTGTTCGTTACACCCACTGTCAAAGCACCACGCTCTAGACAGTATCGCATGGCTAGAATCGTATCTGCAGTCTCACCGGATTGCGAGACGAACACACAGACATCGTCACGGAAAACAGCTGTCTTACGATCAAGAAAATCAGAAGCCAAGTCCATCTGAGTAGGAATCTCCGTCAATTCCTCAAAGGCCGGGCGTGTCTAATTCAAAAAGAGTCAAGGAGTGTGATGAGTAAAGACTGCAAAAATAGCATAATTCCTCCAACGGATACGTGGATTAATGGAGTTAATCAAGATCTCTCTTTAAACCCATAAACTTACCGCCAGACAGCTGTGATAAGATGTTCCACAGGCAATAAATACAATACGTCTTGCACGACGAATAATAGGAAGAAAGCCGCGGAGGCCACCGAGCGTCACCTTGTGATTCTCAAAATTGACACGTCCACGCATAGTATTGACAACAGACTCAGGCTGTTCATAAATCTCTTTTTGCATAAAGTGATCAAAGGAGCCTTTCATAATCTCAGCTAGTTCAATTTCAAGGGTTTGAATGGAGCGAATGCTAGTTGCGCCTTCGTCTCTACGCAGACGGTGGATGTGAAGATTTCCTTCTGAAATATGAGCAATATCATTATCCTCAAGATATAGCACTCGCTTGGTATGCTCAATAATTGCAGCTGCGTCTGATGCGATAAAGAATTCAATGGGCTGGGGAAGGCCATCCTCAGTCAAAAAAGCCCTCGACTGGGTGCGGTTTAATGTAGGAGAGACTGATTGACCAACGGAGGCCAAGAAGTCAGAAGGTTCTTTGGCAGCCACTAAGTATATATATATATATAGTCAATACATGCAGCAGATATTAGATAGTAAAGTTAACTTACAAAAATCCTTGTCAGCACCAAACTCAACATCAACAAAGTCAACTTTGAGTTTATGAGCTGTCCTGACACCAATCAATAAAGGGGAGCCACGACGAGTAGCGACAATCTCATTAGGGAAATGAGAGCTTCTAAAGAGAAAGGAAAACGAACCCTCCTGTTTTTGTTGTTGTTGAAAAATATCTATATATTAACAAGACTATCATATCATTTTTTTAATATTACCAATTCCTTAATAACAGCCTTAATCAAAGATGTGAATGTCATGGGCGGTCCAGTGTGAGTGTCATATATATATTTTGTAAGTTTGGCCACACATTCTGTGTCGGTGTCACTCTCAAACACATAGTTTTTCTTAAGTAGAAGAGTTTTGATTTCCTTGAAGTTTGTAATGATTCCATTATGCACAAGAACAAACTCATTCTTGGGATCCGATCGATGAGGATGACAGTTGATCTGTGAAGGTTGTCCATGAGTGGCCCAACGGGTATGAGCCTAATATTAAGAGTGATTAATCATCAGCAACTGGTGTCAAACTTTAATAGACGTACAATTCCACAATGGCTGATGAAAGTCTTGTTAAAATCAATTTTTTGTTTGAAATTCAGCTGTTTGAGAGCAGCAACCTTGCCAGCTTGCTTAATAATATAGGTCTCATCATCGGTATCACCATCAACAGCCAGACCTAATTAGACTGGGTGAATAGACAATACGAATATTTTCTTGATTTGATCAATTGAAACTTGCCTGCAGAGTCATAACCTCTATATTCTTGTCTGGCCATTCCCTGGATAAGGGTATCAATGATGAAACGACGATCTCTTTCGACAAGAAAATTGAGATAACTGCAAGTATAATGCGTTAGAAATCACTAATTGACTATGTATCTCGAAGCTTATTATTCTACTTACCCAAAAATGCCACACATTTGAAGAAATTGGCTGAAACAAGAAAGAGAAAGAGAGGCTGTAATGAGTAGAATTAATGATCAAGTTCCCATTAATTTGAGGGCCTTTTTATAGTCACCTGAGTCTTATCTTCAACGCTTTGTTAAGTTTCTATTAACAAGTCTTTACCTTCTATTCCGAGGTTGACCTCTACATCTTTTTCTCTTTCTACCTCAAAGACAAAAAATATATATCAATAAACTCATTCCGAGGTCAGCCCTTTTTTACACGAACACTTGAAAGGGTGACCTTTTGGCTGGTTCCGAGGAGCATTTTTAGGGTACAAATCGTATTCCGCGGATAAAATAAAAATAGAAGTATTGATTTTAAGCGTGGATATCAAATAAGGCTTTCTCCCTCGAGAGGAACAGACTGCTTTCATTTTCTTCTCTTACATTTGCTCAATAAAGTATGCTGGTATATTAATATAAAATGGATAATGATCTATAATTATTCATGTATTCAACAAAACCGATATGTCTTATCTGTATTATGTCTTCATTTTTAATTGATCAATAATAGTGACAAGTAACCCCATTAATGGTAATTTATCGAGTAAAAATAGTTTTGACATTTATGGTTCTTAAATTAGTGCACTTTCCATAAAGACATTCACTATTGTACCATACCATCTGAAAATACAAATACTCTCACATCCGTATTGGCGAATGTCATGAATCTTGATGAGCTTATGTATTTAAGGGCACGAAAAATATAATTCAAGGTACCACAATTTTTTGTCCCATTGTCTAATCGAAGAATTGTACTGATCGCTTATCAAAATATAAGATTACAATTCTTATATCGTACCTACAATTATACCCAAAGCTGGTTTTTGAGTAGAATCCTTTGATTTTACCATTATTATATAATATAAATATAGAAGGTCAATATAGCTGCTCTTGTACTCTAGTTTTGTGATTTATACATTCTTATAGCTTATGATATAAATGCTTTAACATCTGAAAGGTGTCGTATTATTTGCTATCATAATTCAAAAAGAAAGGCACCTTTTCGTTACCCCATTTTTGTCTAACCATGTTTTTTTTTGCAATTAATGCAAGCTGCTTCACCTTCATCCCACACAATAAAGTAATCAGCTAAATCATTTAAAGAATGTAATGGTTTACCAAATGGCACCATGTAAATACCTAGCGATAACTAGGTCGGAATAATTTTAGTCTTATTCTTGTCAGATTTTATCTCACACGATGACCGTCTAGTATATACTCCCTTGGTCTTACAGTATTTGCCACTTGAATGGTACGAGTCCACCTATCAGGAATCATGTAATCATGCCTCAATTTGTTAAATATGTATCTGAAGTTCAAGACAGCAGCAAGATATCTGTTCCTCAACCAATTTGGATTGATACATTTGGAATGATTTATAAAAATATCAATACTTAAAAAATGAAGCCTTATTGCAATATTACCTTGGAATACCATATCAGGTTACGTTTAACCTTTGAGTGTGGGGATATATGCTAATAGCCCTGGATTCTCTTGAACTTGAAAAGATGACTTCAAACATAAAAAGATTGTGCTTCGATGTACAAAATCCAATAATAAAACAAACATCAAATGCATGTTTACGAAGTAAAAGTCTCATCCCTATACTATTTATTAACTTGTGGTATCAGGTGTAAAGTCCAGACTAGTTTCCCATGCCCAAGACACAAAACGGACAAAACCCTAGAAGATTACTTGCTAAACCTTTATTGACTTGTGATTGATTGATATAGGAGAGGCGAAGTTTGCATAATAAAGACTGCTTACTGGGTTGACTTTTGGGACTTATGTAAGAAAAAATAACCGAGGATGAGAGAACTTTTTTATTTGGACAAAGAATAAAGGAAAAAATGAATAATGCTATTATGTTGGCTTGAAGTCTAGTAAATGACTTTTATGGAAGAAAGAACAATTGGATGATGAGCTTTAAGATTAAAAAAATCATTATATTTACTACATTTATGCTTAACCATTTGCTAGCTAAATGCGTATCAGTAACATCTTGACTTGGATACAGCAAAATCCTCATATATGGAGTCTAATGAGTCTCTTCTTCCGGGATCTCCAAAAATACAAAGCTTCCGAATCTTGTCGTGCTGTTCTGGTGAAACGTTTTTGATATAGGGAGTGTCCTTTGACTTAATGATGCTATCTATACTATATGTGGGTTATTGGGTAGTGTCGTGAGTATGCTTTAAGATGAAGATGCCAATGATATCTTCTTGGATTTTCCTTCTGAACTTTATTACGCAGTTTTCTTGATTTCAAAAAGCCTTGCTCTCTAAGCTAACCAATATTTACCAAAGATATTCTCGCATATAGTCCTAGTGTCAATCTGTATGTTGGACGAGGGCTAATATTGACGATAAAGAAGACAATCGAAAGAAATACCTCTAAGCTGTTACAGGAGTTAAAAAATAAGGAAGAAGACAATAATTTCATGGTAAACACAATAAAATGATATTCTTGTTATGAAAACATTCACTATATTAGACCACTTGTAGCCAATGTCTTTTAATTTTACATAATAATTATATAACGTACTATCCAATATAAACGTATCCTGGCTTACGAATAAAATATCACGTCCGCAAGAGTGTAAATATTCTTTTTTTCCTATCAATTTAGCGTAAAAATATTATTATTTTTTGGCGAAAATTATCCTCCAGAACCAGCCTCAAAAAGCTGTTTTCCTTGTCGTAATGGTAGTTCCCTTGAAAAGGAAATTCATAAAAAACAAGACAAAAAGTGTTTATAACATACACACTCGACAAATGGCTATATATAATAGAATAGAGAGTTTATAGACCTTGTTCTTCCTAGTAATAGTTTACCTCATTTGAATATGTATGTAGTAAGCTGGTATTTTACCAAATATTCTCTGAATTTATCTTACATGTATTTAGATTTATGATTTTTGAGAATTTAATGCTGATTTACCAGATGTTATAAGACAGCTCTCGCATATACATATACATATATCCTTATTATTATTATTGTTATTATCACTTTAGAGAATTTTTTGCCCAAAGTAAAGCATTCTCTAAACAAAGATAGGTGTGTTATATATGAATATGATTTTGAATGTACTAAATTTTTGTGTCAAAAAAAAATAACGGTTTTTTCTCCAAATGATTTTTCATGAAATTGAATAATTTCTATTGTAATCAATAATGAATATAAAATATATATACTTAATTGAATGCTTTATTTGATCATATGCGAGATACATACTACAAATATAATTCACTATAGTTTACTTGGCCCCTTTAGAGTTTTTGCTCTATTTCCAAGACTTTATCCATTTTTTTCATCCCTTCTTTTTTTTTAAAAAAAAAGCGAGTAGTGACTGCGGGCTTGTTCTATCCTTTCAAACTTCTTTTCCATATCTCCTTTGTTTCTTACGCTTACAATGTCAGAACCAAAGGATAACATTGATGCATTCACACATGACATTGCAGTCGAGCTCTCTCGGGCATTGAACCTTCCAAACCCTAATGATCTTCTTGCCAAACGAGTTGTACAAATCGCAAGAAACGATAGACATTTCGAGAACTTTGCCTCTGGTAAGACAATCGTCGATTGCTGGATACTAAAATACTAATTATTATGTCATGCATACCATTGTTTATTGCTTTAGCTTGTCAGACATTTGGACGATTCAAACGCGAATTTCTCAATGATCTTTATAGCAAGATCACTCAGCACATTTCAGCAACAAAAGAGCGATCGGATATTACTTCACAAACTTATGGAGCAGCTCCAAAAATCGCAGAAACCAATAGCGGAGAGGTACTGATGTTAGGAAACAATCTTCCCGGAGGTCTGATGACTATTAACAAATCGACCAATTCAGATGAGGTAAAAATATATATGAGAATGACTGTTTTTATGCAATCTAATTACACATTTCAATAGCACCGTCCTATCTTCAAAGCACCTGCTCCACGAACATCGCTATTGGGTCTGGATGAACTTGCGCGCAAGAAACGAGCTGCAGAAGCCCAAAAAAAAGCTGAAAGCAATAGTCAATCTGAGAGTGAGAGTCATACAGAGAAGAAGGTTAAAGTAGACGCTACCTCTGAATGGGACGACGTAGGAACTACGGACGATGATGCCGGTAATACATATGCACACATCTATATACAAATAGGATTAAATTATATGTAATATACCTAATATACTTCCAATCTCAATCAGATCTCACTAAACAACCTAGTCGATATCGATCGCGCCGAATGGAAACCCCATCAAATCCGGGAGGACTCTCGGCTACCGCTCTATCCAGAATGGAGAATATGAAGCGTAAAGACCGAAATAAAGGTAATAAAATTTAGATATATGCGGATACAAAATATTTGTGGAAAATTAAACTTGATATCGTCTATTGTGGTATCAAGGTACTGTGTATGGCTCTTCTAAGGACAGAGATGATCGTGATTATCGTTCATCCGATAGAGGACGTACAAGTGATCGTGAAAGAGGTCGTACAAATGACCGAGAAAGAGGACGGACAAGCGATCGCGATCAGGATAGAGGCCGGACGTGGGATGATGATAGGAGTAGAACGAGAGAAAGCTGGGATAGAGGGAACAAGACTCCTTCTCAATTAGAGGGATCTATGACTCCTCGTCGTGGTGGATTAATCAAAAGAAGTCAATGGGCAAGTATGACTCCTAGCTCGGGATCAGAACCATTTACACCAAGAATGTCAACCGGAGGTATGACTCCTCGACGAGACAGTGGTATTGGAAGACAAACAGACCAAAAGTCAGAATGGGATTTTATGACGCCTGCTATTAAATCAAGTGCGTATGATGAGACTGCACTTGAATACCCTGAAGAATACCCTGGAGATGATGATGATCGTCAACGATGGGAAGAAGAACAGGCTCAATTGGACAGAGACTGGTATCATATGGAAGAGTCTGGCGTAAGTACACTATCAAGGAGTCAAATAGCTTGGAACTAATTGGGATGCAGGCTATGGATGAGACCCATAATCCATTTGCAGAGTATGAAAACCATGACAAAATTAAAGAAGAAGAGTTGGCACAAAAGCAACTCAAGAAACTATCAGCTCGTCAAGCACAATATAACCGAGATACAGATATGTGGGAAGCCAGTCGAATGTTGAGCAGTGGTGTGGCTCAAAGGAGAGAAGTTGATACAGATTTTGACGACGAAAATGAGGTAAGCTCTGTTTTTTTTAATATATATATATATATACATATATATTAGCGGTAAATACTCATAATTAAGCTTGATCTGGCTGAACTACTATTTATATATATTTCAGAATCGTGTCCATGTTCTGGTACATGATATCAAACCTCCTTTCCTAGACGGCCGTATGGTATTCACAAAACAGTTAGAAGCTGTCCAGCATGTCCGTGATCCTACATCGGATCTTGCGATTATCTCCCGCAAAGGAAGTCGACTGGTGAGAGAAAAGAGAGAACAATCAGAAAGAGCAAAAGCCACCAAGTTTGAGCTAGCCGGTACTACTCTTGGAAATGTAATGGGCGTTCGCAACAAAGAACAAGAAGGTATGTGTATTTGGATAATACGAGGGCAATATCATATTTGTTAACATTTGTTTGTAGCTGCCAAGCGAGCAGAAGAGGAGCAATCGAACCAAAGCGAATCAAAGTTTGCCTCTCATCTTAAATCTTCAGAGGCTGTTAGTGATTTTGCCAGAACGAAAACCATGAGAGAACAGCGCGAGTTTCTGCCAGTATTTGGTGTTCGCGAAGAGCTCTTGCAAGTGGTGAGAGATAATCAAGGTAATAAAACAAAACACATGAAAAACATAAATATATGAATCGTTAATTGTCTTATATAGTCGTAATTATTGTCGGTGAGACTGGTTCAGGAAAAACTACCCAATTGACCCAATATCTTCACGAAGATGGCTATACAAAATATGGAAAAGTCAGCTGTACTCAGCCTCGTCGTGTGGCAGCTATGTCAGTTGCTAAGCGTGTTGCTGAAGAAATGAATGTAAGTTTGTTAATGAATACTTAAAGCTCGCGTATATTTAAAAAGAAACATTATCAGGTTAAACTAGGCGACTTGGTGGGATATACAATTCGTTTTGAAGATCAAACATCTGAAAATACTCTTATTCGATGTAAGTCTACTAACTGTAAGTAAGAAGAAGATACTAAAATAATTTCTAGACATGACCGATGGTATCTTGTTGCGTGAATCAATGGGTGCGCCTGACTTAGACCAATATAGTGCCATTGTAATGGATGAAGCTCACGAACGTGCACTAAACACTGATGTACTGATGGGCATTTTAAAGAAAGGTAACTACAAAGAATAAAACCAGTATGATTTACTAAGATGTAATATATAGTTCTTGCCAGAAGAAGAGATCTCAAACTTATTGTGACCTCTGCCACCATGAATGCTAATCGAGTAAGTACACAAACGTATCTTGACTCGGACCTAATATTGTACTAGTTCTCCCAATTCTTTGGTAACGCTCCATGTTACTATATTCCTGGACGTACATTCCCTGTTGATACAATGTTTAGCAAAACACCGTGTGAAGACTACGTTGATAGTGCCGTCAAGCAGGCCCTTTCAATTCATCTGTCTCAGCCAGCGGGTGATATTCTGATTTTCATGACAGGTCAAGAAGATATTGAGATTACATGTCAAGTATTGGAAGGTATGGTTCAGATTTTAACCAATGAATTGAATCTACTTAAACTTTTATGTATATGTGAATTAGAACGTTTGGAACAACTCGACGACCCCCCTCCGTTGGCAATATTACCCATTTACTCTCAGTTACCCGCAGATTTGCAAGCTAAAATCTTCCAGAGAGCAGAAAACAATGCTCGAAAGGTTATTGTGGCCACAAATATTGCTGAAACTTCCTTGACTGGTATGTCGACTCTTGATAGTTCGCAATATTGTCTTACAGTGTGAATAGTTGATGGTATTATCTATGTAATCGACACTGGTTATTGCAAGCTTAAGGTCTATAACCCACGTATTGGTATGGATGCTTTGCAAATTACACCTATCAGTCAGGCCAATGCCAACCAGCGTAGTGGTCGTGCAGGAAGAACAGGACCAGGGTAACAAGACAATGAATTACTACTTTCTGATAACCTAAAACTCACGATTGTAATGAACAGTGTTGCCTATCGCCTTTACACAGAAGAAGCTTATCGATCAGAAATGTTTGTCAATACAATCCCTGAAATTCAACGAACCAACCTTGCGAGTGTTGTGTTGCAGTTGAAGTCTTTAGGGGTCCGCAACCTACTTGAATTCGACTTTATGGACCCTCCCCCCCAGGTACCAAAAAAAAATGCTATACATAAAATTTACACACGCAACTTTCTTTTAGGACAATATTTTGAACTCCATGTATCAACTGTGGGTATTAGGTGCTCTTGACAATACTGGAGAGTTGACTCCAGCCGGTAGCAAAATGAATGAATTCCCGTTGGATCCTTCTCTTGCTAAAATGCTCATTACAGCTGAAGATCAACAATGCACAGCCGAAGTATTGGTAGGAAAGAAAAATAATAGTGCAACCTTTTAAGTATTATTGACGCTTTACCCCTTTATTTGTTGATGAAAGACTATTGTATCTATGCTTTCCGTCCCTTCAGTGTTCTATAGACCCAAAGAACGCATGGAAGAGAGTGACGCTGCCCGTGAGAAATTCTTTGTACCAGAGAGTGATCATCTTACTCTTCTCCATGTATATACTCAATGGAAGACCAATAGGTAAAATTAAGTTTAATAGCTTGTACTGTATTTATAAGGAGGTTTCATCGACTTTAAATAGATATCGAGATGATTGGTGTACAAAGCATTTTGTTCATCCAAAAGCTATGAGAAAGGCTCGTGAAGTACGTTCTCAATTGATGGACATCATGAAGACTCTTAGAATGCCTTATATATCTTGTGGCACTGACTGGGACATAGTCCGGTAAGTGGCTATAGTTATAGTAAAATACTTGGAACATATATCTAATCCAGGGCACCAGTAAATGTATTTGCTCAGCTTATTTCCATCAAGCAGCACGGTTGAAGGGTATTGGAGAGTATATCAATTGTAGATCTGGAATGAAGTGCCATTTGCACCCCACTAGTGCTTTGTTTGGAGCAGGTTTTACGCCCGATTATGTGGTCTACCACGAGCTGGTATTGACTTCCAAGGAGTACATGCAATGTGTAACCTCAGTAGATCCTTTCTGGTTGGCAGAACTTGGTCCAATGTTCTTCTCGATTAGAGATCGTGACAAGAACTATGGACACAAGGTACCGTATAAATTGTTTTACATATTTGTCTACTTATATATTCATATATATATATATATTATAGGAGAAACGTTTAGCTAACGTGGCAACAGAGTCTCGTCTAAATATGGAAATGGACATGAAGCTTGGTAAATTCTATTAATCAGAAATGACATCCATCCCCAATAACTAATAAATTGCGTATGTAGCTCGTGAGAAGGAGGAGGAAGAAGAGGAACGACAGGCAATCATGCGCCAGAACACAGCCAAGGCAGCCCGTATTGCAACTCCAGGATTGCGAATGGGTACACCTGCCAGACGTAGAGGGCTGGGCCTTTGATAAAGAATTCTGATTGGCTGATTGCAACATGCTAAGCCATCGCTTTATAAGCAACCTCCGCAACGAATAAACACACCCCTCTTTGTATAATCACCAGCAATGTCTGCCACTACACAGTATTATGAGTTATATCGCCGTAGCAGGTAGATAAGGAGGAACTGATGAAGAAATGAGTGGCGCATTCAAGGACTGAATCATATATGTTCAATACAAAGCATTGGCATGGCGCTGACTGATTCACTTGATGAGTTGATTCAGAGTGGTCACATCAACCCTCAGCTTGCCATGCGCGTTCTTACGACGTTTGACAAGAGTATTTCTGATTCTCTTTCTCAGCTTGTGAGAAACAAGGCCAACGTCAAGGTGAATAATGAATAAGTCTTTAGTAGACCAGACATTGATGTAGGGGGTTGGTTCCTTAGGGTCATCTGCATACCTATCGCTTCTGCGATGAGGTCTGGACATTTATCATCGAGAACCCAAACTTCAAGTTTGACCAAGAGTCCGTATCTGCAGACAAGGTCAAAATAGTTGCCTGTAATGCCAAGCGCCCCGGCGAGCAATAAGGCATCACATACGTCATCCATTCCACTTCGTCCTATCATCCTACCCTCACTTTTCTCTTCGTACCCTCTCACTTGCCCTTGTCCCCGCTTTTCTCTTTCGTTTTTTCCTATTTTCCTGTTTGATATGTAGATAATTCTCACTCTTTTACTTTGTTATGTCAATAAAAAGGCATTGACAATGTTCCATAAGAAGCACAGAACAAACCAGTAAAGCCATCGCGCACCTATTTTACCACCATTTTTTATGCTTCTTTGAAAGGAGTTCCCCATTCCCTCTACCGCGACAGCAGTAACAGTCCGGACTGGATTCATTAGTGTGCGGCTCTTATTGCAGGAAGTATGACGACATTTTCCGGACTCTCTCCCTGCCGGACACTTTTTTATTTTGTAGCGATTTGCGAAATTCCTCCTTGAACTGTCCTCGCAAGACAGCAGAAAAAAAAAACAGCTTTTTATGATTCCCACTCTTTACAATCACACGCTGGCCTAGACTTTCTGCAATCATCATCGATCCCCTCTCTTTATATTACCGACGTTTTTTTACAGAGGCATTCATGAGTACGCACCACCCCTTCTTCTACATTGTCTGCCCTCACCCACTCATCCTTCTCTCTTAGCTGCTCAACGACGAGGCAGGAATGGCCAGCATGGCAGAAAGAAGCAAAAACAACAACGACGACGCTCTCATTCGACTTCAGAAGAAGGCAGCTCAGACAGCGGATCGATCACCCGATGCGTTTGTGGAGAAACTCGTGAGTTGTGTCCAGGCGTGCGATAAGCTCCTTTTGACTAACAAGACATGGCTTACAGACAACTCTGGCCTCATGGTTCAATGCGACAAATGCGAAGTCTGGCAGCATTGTGAATGTGTAGGATTGGAAGAACAAGACATTCCTGATCAATACTACTGTGAACAATGCAAACCTGAGAATCATTCAGTTGTAAGGCAGACGCATGGAAGGTAAGCCAAAACAGACAAAGGTTTTTTTTTTCTGGTCAACTCAAAACATATGAAGAACACGTCGGTCTTACAGGTCTGGCGGAAAAGCTGCAGTGGCTGCCGATAAAAAGGCGCCCAAAAAACGTATGACACTGAATAGCAGGGAGGCATCAATGCCGTTGGAAGATGTGCTAGCAGCGAGGAATGCGCTTGAGAGTGCGACTAAATTGTCCAGTCCGTCAGATTCCCCACTTGCCTCACCCATCGAACTCCCCGAGGAGCTTGAAGATGAGAGACGATCAGTGAAGCGGCGCCGAGACGATAAGGAGGCAGATAGCGACTGCATGGACGATGAAGTGATTGCGGCGGCAGACATTGCCCTGAAAGAATGCACGGAAAAAAAGAGTAAATAGTGAGATATTGTGCATTATCCATCTTTGGTTACTAATCATAATGCACTTTTTTCTTAGCTGAAAGCCCAACTGAGCTTGAGCGCCCATCTACAAACACACCATCTACAACTAAACCTATAAAAACCAAGCGATCAGCCAGCGTACGAAACAAGACAGAAGATTCAGCTGTGGCCGAAAAACCAAAAGGAGCGGAGAAGCGTGGAAAGAGAGAGCCGGCTAATAAGCGAGGAAATTCGACCACAAGTAAACGTGGACAAGCTACAAAACCGCGTTCAAGAACGTCAACTCCTCAGCCAAATGAGCCTATTCAGCCACCTGTTGACATTGGAGCATCTATTTTTCAACACTTTTCTCTGGAAGCACGCGCCGCCTCCCCTCCAGCGCGAATACGCGTTCCTTCTGCACGCATGAGCATCCTTGACATGAACAAACGAGCTAAACAAATCCTTGAATATATCAGCACCCTCCAGGTGGAAATGGCCAACAAAGATAATAGCAGTGTCAAAAAGGAGCATGTACACACTACAAGCAAGCCTTGGACACCAAAAACAAGCGACGAAGGAGGAGACTTATTATCCAGCATAGAAGTAACAGGAATTTCAATGGAAATTACTCGGGAAGATATTGTAGCAGGTGTGGACAGTAAACGAAAAAAGTTTCGACCAGATCCTATTTCCATTCCAACCCAAATCGACCCCGATTCTCCTTCTTCTTCTCTTAGCAGTGCTAGCACCCTTCCGCTTGATGAACCCCCACCATCACTTGCAGACATTGAAAAAAGTGTGGCTGAAGAAGCGATTGAGCGACAGGATGCGCTCATAGGCAACAAGACACAATCTTCACTTGAAATCATGGATGTTCTTACACGCGAACTGATTCGGTTTCAACGTCGTTTTGGATCAGGTAGCATGTCTCTACAGTCACGCTTGAATGGCAGTGGCAGTAGTATGCGAACGCGTGAAGAAGGGCGGTTAGTAGAGATTGAGGGTCGAACAACTCGGAGTAGAGACATGGCAATAAGTAACAATCTGCGGTCTCTCCAAGACAAGCGAGCCACATATCTCTCCTAAAGGCATTTCTTCCTCACCATTTCTATCTCATTACACATTCACCTTCCTATTCATTGTAAATACTCCATTTTGTACCCTTATAAAAACAACCTCATATCGGCTTGCTCTTTATCCGACGCGCTCTCTTATCACATTACTAAAGAATAAAATGAAAACCTCGACATTGCCCTGCTCTTCCAAACCACACACACATTTCATGAAATTGGTCTTCAGGACACGTTATTTTATGTATATATCTGATTTTATGTATGATTTTCCTGTTTACCCTACTGATTTCTTTTTCTACAGGTTCTACATTCTATTGGTCTGTTGGAAGTTGTGTGATGGACGTTTTTCTCTCTCTCTTTCTCTCTCTTTTACTGGGATCCAGGTGCCTGCATCTATAGGATCACACCTCAAGGTCAGTATATAATTATATATTTTTTATTATGTTTTACTTACGTTTTCGCTAAGTTCAGCGAAACGGGAGCCCACACGCTCGGAGTGCTTCAAGAACTTGTCGGCACACTTGTTGACACACTCTCCCTAGGGTACACAAGTTAATAAATCATATTTGCTTCCTGTTACTATATATATATTCTTACCTCCTTTCCAGTGAGAGTCTTTGTTGTAAAATCGTTAGCACAGTCATCGAAACAACGCTGAACAAGGTTGCTGTACAAACGAAGGAAATCCTTCATCTATAAAAGTCGTATTATATTTTGTAAGTAATGTTGTATTTCGCACTTGTGAGATGTTTGAGTTTTTCTTTACCTGCTTGTGCTCGATCATAGCAGCAATCTGGGCCTGCTCGGCCTGGTTGAAACGAGAAAAATCCATAGTGTAAAGTTTATAGGTAGACAACAACGAACACCCCTCTTTGGGTAAGATGTTTGTGTAGACCAACAAATGCAAGTCACTTATGATCTCATCCTCCTTTTAAGTCTCCGGGGTTAAACTTTGCTGTCAAAAGAATTCTGACTGGCTTTTTGCTTTTCTTGCAGACAATGAATCATCATATTTAGCTCAATTTCCTTTTAGCGGTGCATTGTATTATTTTTCTAGTCTTACAAGATCAAGTAATCAATAAGTTTCTCGTCTGTAAACTCCTCTTATTTAAAAAATGTAATACAGCATAGTAGGAAAAATAAAATAAAAAGAGATACCAAGGGAAGTTATCTCCTCTTTTCTTTCTCCTCTTGTTTGTTATATGGATAATGATGTATATCCAATATGTGGCGGGCATTAGGCTTAATTTATTTCCCAATATAGTTTTCTATACTTTATAATAGGATTTTTATTAAATGATATATCATAAAATTCTCTTGTACAATTAATAGATGTCTGCCGTCGTAATAGAAAGAATTATAGTATCTTAAAGATTTTTTTTTATAATAAATTGTATCGATCCACCTTCTCTAACAAGCTAATTACAATAGGTATCGATTCTTCTACCTTTCATAGGGGGTTTCACCAGTTCTGGATGCTTTACTGTTGGATGTAGCAGTAGTTTAACTCGAAAAATGATTGGCTGTCACGAATTTACAAAAAATGAAAACTGAGCATCCAAGCATCTAAAAAAAAAGTTAGCTATTCTAATGCCGCGATTTGGCCAAAATTACGAGAAATTGTACTTTACAGTCGATGGCGAAGTTCATATAAAAGCAAAGTCAAAAGTAAAATACAATCAACTTATGCAAGAGTAACCAACTTAATACCAAATTATAGAAGCTTCACTTACTTGTGGAAAATTTGGGCAGGGATAATATATTTATAGTACTCTAATCAAGCGTATTGTACAAATGAATTTTGACGTTATGAAAGAAAAAATATCAGCCAAGAGACATTAATGGTACTCAATAGCTTTTTTTTATATTGATTACTATTGGCTTATGTTTAAAGTATCACTACATCCAACAGTCAAGCATCCAGAACTGGTGAAACTTCCTATTATTTGCATTTTTCTTTCTTGTGAGCGGCCTGATAAAAGACGTTCAATTTTATTTATCTTAAAAACATACTCATAACTGTTTGAACACTAATTAGCATAAGTATATATATGTTAAAGTATAAGATCTAAAAAAAATATAATAGTTTGCGAAAAAAGTGTATGTGGACTGCTAGTCAAGTGCATTTTGAATGTTGCTCCAAAATATCACTCAAAATCAGCCCTTAAACCCCCCCCCCCAGAAGGCTCATAAAAAACTCTTATAAGACACTCTTCCCCCATCCTCCTTTTTTCTTTCATAATCTATAATTATCATTTATTATTATGGGATATGTGCTATATGCTTCTTATTTTATTTAATATATATATATATATGCCCTGAGATTATATATGCTAAATATAAAAATCCTCATAGAAAACACGAATGTGACATTTCAGTGTTTGATTCAATCGAGCATTTTATCTGCAAATAGATTTTGAAATCACGCGCTGTAAAGCTAGCTCAAAACTTGTTTATAACCTTGCCAAGACTTCTTTGTTCTCATGAATAACAGCAGGAAAAAAAGCTCGAGATTTACATTAAGTTGAGAAAAAAAACTTGAAGGCGAAGTAAATTATATATCATTAAGAATTGTTAAATACTCCCTGGATATCTACTTTTATAAAAAGTTTACCTATTTACTGTTTTTTTTTAATCTTGAACTTTTTCTTTCATATTGACTAAGATTTTCTTGACAATTTTTAGCCAAAACATTTTACCATGGTAATCTTTTACTAGGGGCATTTACGAACAACAAATATTTTTTTTTAATATTTTTATGTATTATTTATATTCTGTAAGTGAAAAGAATAACAATTCATGAACCTTTACTTAATATTGTTATGTATAGATTTTTTCTTTTTATATTTAATTTCAATTCTCCATTTGTTTGTCTATCTTTCTCTTTTTTCATATTACTATTACCAGTTTTTTCCTCATTACATTCATAGTTGCTTCAAAGAAATACTACATATCCAATCAATGCATGTACTATTAAAAGAAATGATGTATTAATGGTATACAAACTTACCGTAAACAATAGTATTTAGACGATACACTAAGCAAGAGCAAGATCCCAGATTTAAAAATCAAAAATCAATTTATTGATGCAATTTTTTTTTTGATTGAGCGCGTGAATTACACTTTATGCATTAATGGCTTAGAGAAATTCTTTAAAAAAAATGATATTTTTTAATGTTGTTTTGATTATTCAACTTTAATTTTCATAGTTATTTATAAAAAGCTTCGAGATAGGAACTTCTTGGATGTTTTCGAAGTCTAGATTAATTATTAGGAATGGCAAGAGATTAATTAGGGTATGTAAAGATGTACAAAAACACAAATGTTCTCCTTTGGATTTTCTCCCTAATAGTTCTTACATTTGACACCAATAAAACCCCTCTTTCTCGCTATCGGGTTTCTCTTGGCAGATGTAATGATGTATAATTTTTAACGTTGTTTAGAAAATAATAGTACATGTATACAAACATACATACACATATATATGCCTTTCCTTGCCAAAATTGAACATTCATTGCTGTGAATAAATTAAGTAAAATAAATGGCTTTGTTTCTGATATTGTGAAAAAAAAAACATAACCTATTAAAGACCTTGTTTGGGATGGCTTATGGACTGTTCTTTGTGGAAGGAGAGCAGGAAACCAAACACTGCAATTCCATTGTAAGTCACTTTGTCCCGACCAACAGCTCGATACCGTGTGTTGTGATTGGCTAGCCTTCTGTTCTCCAATTCAAGGTAAGGAAAGTGAGAAACAAGGTGGCACAGGGTACCAGCAAAAAAAAAGTAGTTTTCTCTCTTTCTCTCTTTCACTCTTATATTTATTGTAGCTTTTGTGTTTGTTTCCTCCCGCTTTATTCATTGCAATTGAATAAGAAATTGGACGGAAATACGATTCAACTTTCTATAAGCTTCAGCGATCCTTCCATCTCGCCCAAGAAGCTTTTATTCACAAATGCCAAGCTCACCACAGACAAAAACGGTTCGCTTGACTGTGATTGCAGCAGATGGTCTGGTGAAAAAGGACTTATTCTTTAAGTTGCCCGATCCATTTGGTAAGTACTCAATCTCTTATTCACACCACTCATCCTTCTCGTGTCCTGCTTCATAGCTGTGGTGACCGTAGACAGCGAACAAACCCACACGACGACCGTTATGAAGAAAACGTTGAATCCATATTGGAATGAGAGTTTTGATTTGTATGTATTATCATATCAAGGCAACTTGTGGGGTTTAATTAAAAAAGGATAGACAAGTGACGAACCAGAGTGTGATTGCAGTCCAGGTGTTTGACCAAAAGAAATTCAAGAAGAAGGACCAAGGCTTCTTGGGTGTCATTAACGTGCAGGTTGGAAATGTATTTGATATCGATGTTGGTGGTGACGGTAAGTTATTTCATTCTCAATTTCTCTGTATCTGTATCTGCCTCCTTCTCTATTGTATTTGAGGCAGATAAAATGGATAGACGGCTGTTTTACTAATACAGCCATCCTAAGAAATGCTTAACCTGGATCTGAAAAAATCCAATGCAAACGAGACAGTCCACGGAAAACTCATTCTTAACCTCTCAACAAATGTCAATGCACCTATTCGCAATGGCACCAATACCCTCGCTCCCGGAACAACTTCTCAGGCCACTACCTCTGGGCAGACATCTCAAGAAAACTCGCAACCACCAGTTGTGACCGATTATCCGGCCTCTGGACCTGCTGTGTCTGCAAACACAGATGACCTTCCACAAGGGTAATAGAGCACAGACAATATACTTATACAACATGTGTTTATATCACTAAAAATATTTTAGATGGGAGAGACGTGTGGATCATCTCGGAAGGCCTTATTATGTGGATCACAACACACGCACCACCACATGGAAACGACCTTCGTGCGTATAAATTTATTTAGTTTTTTCTTTCTTTTAGAAATCTAATTTGGATACTATCTTTAGAGCTGGAACTGCACAAGAGCAACAGACAATCACTGATCTAGAAAGACGTCGACATAATGCACGCGGACTTCCCGAAGAACGCTCTGCGGCAGGAAATAGTTCAACCTCGCTTGACACTCGTTCACAACTTCCAAGCTCTGCTACACCAGCAGCTACCAGTAATACCTCTCTCACGCCCCAAACCAACCTTGGTGTACAAAACAATATGACAACTGCAGGAACTGGCCCATTACCACCAGGATGGGGTAAATGTTGCCTATAGTACTTGATAATTAGTTAGTAATATATAAATGCGTTCGAATGTGTGCTAAGCTATGAAAACATATGAATAGAAATGCGTACAACGCCCGAAGGTCGCCCATATTTTGTAGATCACAACACGCGCACCACGACTTGGGTAGACCCTAGACGACAGCAGTACATTAGCACCATTGGTCCTGGAGCACATCTCCAGGTTCAGGTACAACCTGTATCACAACTTGGGCCTCTTCCTTCTGGCTGGGAAATGCGCCTGACAAATACTGGTCGCGTCTATTTTGTCGACCATAACACAAAGACTACCACTTGGGATGGTAAGTGAACAATCAATAACATACACTACACAATTGACCATTATTTTTTATATATCTTATGTACAGATCCTCGTCTTCCAAGTAGTTTGGACCAAAATGTACCTCAGTACAAGAGAGATTTCCGTCGAAAACTCATCTATTTCAGATCCCAGCCAGCATTGCGCCCTGTTCCTGGCCAGTGTCATATCAAAGTTCGTCGCGATCACATCTTCGAAGATGCTTATGCTGAGGTTATGCGACAATCACCAGCAGATCTGAAGAAACGTCTGATGATTAAATTTGAGGGCGAAGATGGTTTGGATTATGGTGGTCTTTCAAGGTAACTTATCTTGTGCTAAATTTACACTTATCGTACTAATAACCACACTACAGAGAGTTCTTCTTCTTACTTTCGCACGAAATGTTTAATCCATTTTACTGGTGAGTGAAACAACTATAATAGGATTTTTTTCTCAAAAAGACGTATATTCTTACTAACATTTGATTGCGTTAGTTTGTTTGAGTACTCTGCTCATGACAACTATACACTTCAGATTAACCCTCACTCGGGTATTAATCCTGAGCATCTCAACTACTTCAGATTCATTGGTCGTGTAGTTGGTCTTTCAATCTTCCACCGTCGCTTCCTTGATGCGTTCTTTATTGTTTCATTCTACAAGATGATTTTGAACAAACGTGTGGCGGTAGTTGACATGGAAAGTGTCGACGCTGAATTTCATCGTAGTTTAAAGTGGATCCTGTAAGTCATTTTGTTTTACATACAACAAACACAACCTTTAAGAATACTATTAATAATAATAAAACTAACTTTTACCAATTAGAGATAACGATATAACCGATGTATTAGATCTCACTTTCTCCACAGATGATGATCGTTTTGGTGAATTAGTTACTGTTGATCTGAAGCCTGATGGCCAGAACATTGAAGTCACAGAAGAAAACAAGAAGGAATATGTAGAGTAAGTGTATTGATTTGATATTATACCACTAGTCTTTAACATTATCCACTATCAAGTTTGATCACTGAATGGCGTATCTCCAAGCGTGTTGAGGAACAGTTCAAGGCGTTTAAGGATGGTTTTAACCAGTTGATCCCTCAAGATCTTATCAATGTGTTTGACGAACGAGAACTTGAACTTTTAATCGGAGGTATTGCCGAGATTGACGTTGACGACTGGAAGAAGCACACCGATTATAGAGGATACACTGAGCAAGATGACGTGATTCAGTGGTTCTGGAAGGTAATTTCTGAACTTACGTGATGTATTTATAAGTTTCCAAACAACGTAAATAGCTCATCAAAACAATAATAGTGCGTGAGCTCCTGGGACAGTGAAAAGAAATCGCGTTTACTTCAGTTTACCACTGGTACTTCTCGTATTCCAGTCAACGGCTTTAAGGATTTACAGGGAAGTGATGGCCCCAGAAGATTCACAATTGAAAAGGCTGGCGAAGTTACTATGCTGCCAAAGGCACACACTTGGTAAGATTTAATTTGGGGTTTAACCATATTTTATTATTATTATTATTTATTGATATTTGTTTATTTTTATTCAGCTTCAACCGTATTGATATGCCACCTTATAAGACATATGAATCTCTTGTGGCTAAGTTAACCCTTGCTGTAGAAGAAACAATGGGCTTTGGCCAAGAGTAGTTCCTCGATATACGCAATTGATAATTTCTCCCCTTCCCCGTTTTCCTTATTTTTTTTTCCAACATTTCAATACACCATTTCTCGTTTTATATTTAAAGTAATCCTTTTTCCCTTTATGTTTGAGAAAAAAGAAAGTAAGAGTATGTACAAATAGAACGAACTTTGCTAGATAATCGCACCGTAATCCCAGATGTGAATTTCTCCATTGTCTGAGGCGCTTACTACTTTTGCATCTCCAAGTGCGATAGCAGTAACGGCCGAAGTATGACCTTGAAGAGAGTACATGGGATTTCCCTTTTCGATATCCCATATCTTTATAATACCATCGTGAGAACCACTAACGAGGCGTTGCTTATCATAAGCAAGCGTCCACACGCCATGGGCATGGCCAAGAAGAGTCCCGAGGCAATTGCCAGTCTCTATTGACCATATCTTGATACTAGTGTCGAGGGAACCAGATATAATCACAGGGACAGAAGTAGTGCTTGAAGTGCTTGGAGCTTGAAAGCTTGTGCCTGTGTGTGTTTTCTGAATTTGAAGATTGGCTGTATAGTCTTCGAAGCGGTGAATTAAGCCTGGCATGCTTGGTACTGCGACCTGTACAGGTGCCAGATGACCCTGCAAAACACGGGTGCAGGTACGCTTTTCGAGATCCCAGATACGTATGGTTGTGTCGTCGCTAGTAGAGACCAAAGATGTACTATTGTTGTAAATCTTGACATGATTTACTAAATGTGTGTGGCCTGTTAATGTATAGCATTTCCCTGTCTGAAAATTCCAGATTTTTATAGTGGCGTCAGCTGAGCCACTGGCAAGGATGCGAGCATCAAAATGCAAATGGACAACGCCGTTAGTGTGGCCTTCAAGTGTACGAATACATTGTCCAGTGCGATAATTCCAAATACGTAGTGTATTGTCCATAGACCCTGTTACAAGTTTTGTATCGTCGAACTGTAGTGTACGTACACAGCGAGTATGTCCTTTAAGGGTTTCTAGTAGTGCGCCTGTCTCAAGGTTCCAAACGATTATTGTTTTGTCATAAGATCCGGTGATAAGCATATTCTGATATTCGCAAAACTGAAGGCACATAACACCGTCCATGTGTCCTTTAAGCACTCGGTGAACATATTTGTTTTTGCGCCAATGTCGTTCAACTACAAGTCTTTCACTATAGATATCCTTCCACAGCTTTCTGTCTGTACGCTTGTTCGGCAAGTCTTCTGTAGAGTCTTCTCGCACTCGTTTTTCAGGTGATCGAATAAGTTTGGGTTTCTGGAGTAGAGCTAGTCTCCAGCCACATTTTGTGCATTTGCGATCGATGTGTTGCTCACACATACGGTGCCAGAGAATATCGTCATCGGCAATCTCTCTCCAGCGCTTATTGACTTGAGCAGCCTTACAGAGGGATTGGGCGTCGAGGTAAGTGAAAATTTTTATCGAAATTTCTATTGGTAAAATAACCGTAAAATCTATACGTAAGAGAGGTTGCAGGGCGGAGGCAAGATAGGAAAGCTGAGATGTGCAGCACGTCGACAAAAGTCCTTTGAGGATAAGGATTCTTTGCTGGGCTGGTGCTGCATCGAAAACTGACCAGAGATTGTTGATAGGTGTCTGGTCCCTCAAGGGCAATTGCTCTAGTTCCTGTCAAATCAATATGAGAGATAGTTTAGGATCGCCCGTCAGTAGTAAATCCACGTGGGTCTTACACTCTTAAGAAAGTCCGAATGGACCTTCTTTTGTTTGACAAAATCCGGATGGTGCCGAGAGCAAAAAGTCTTTGAATTGCTCATTCTAAGAAAGCGTTTAGGGAAGAAAGCGTTTAAAAGGGGCCTTGTTAAAAATCAGGCTGATATTTAAGCAGGTCTTCAATGGCGCAATCTTCCTCGGAATCAAGGCAACCATTAACACACTTCATTGGCTATCGTTGATTGGCTAGCACGCGAGAGAACACCCAAATCCGGAGAAGGCTGGCTCCACAGCACTTTCACACTCAAAAACAAGAGAAATAATTATATATGTATATTAAGCCCCCCTGTCCACTCATTGATTTTACAAGGAGGAAATTGAAGTTGTCTTTTTGATGCAGTGTCTGGAACTGTTTTTTTAGTTTTATATATATTGTACAAGACACGCTACATAAACACTTGAGAGATAATCTAAGCAGACAACATGATACCAACGCCAAACTTGCTCTGGCCCTATTTAAATATTTTATGAAATGCATATGTCAGTCAATGCAAAAATTAAATAAAAATATGTTTTTGTATTACCTTCATATGATCCAAATCACCACTGACAAGGAAAGAGAATCCGGGTGCCATCTTCTCCTCCAATACAGCTGATACTCTTCCGGTGGTGTCGATTTGACCTCTAAAGGTGGCCTGTCTAAAATCAAACTTGCCGCCGACTGTTGCAACAGCTTCTCTTCGCTGACCCTGAACCATCATGTTAAGCTCAACACCAAAATCAACCTTCTCGTTGATACGCTGGTAGTAGCTTGCTTGTATTGCGCCCATGCCCTGGAGCTGTGCAGTTGCAATAAAATCAGAGCCGGTGTACTTGGCTACCAGTGACATGGCGGTCTCCTCCATATCAGCTGTAGGTCTCTGCAAAACAACTTCAGATCCGACTGCCAAGTTACTAGTGACTGACTGAAGGTAAGAAGCCATATAGAGACCAGTGAACTCCATAGGGTTAGGGTTCATGGCTTTGAGGTTCAAGGAGAAATCAGAACCGGTGTAATCGTTTTCGACTTGGAGCATCGAGTGGCCAGGCATGTTGGTGAGCTTCAAGTGCGTGGATCGGTTAAGTATTTTTTTGATCATATTATCCCATGAAAAAAAAATCGCAACCAAATCCTACTCATTCAGCTTACCTGAGCAACAATCTTGGTGGCCATGCGGGGAGACCACATCTGACGGATAACTGCATTGAGGTTGGTATCGTTATCCATAGTTCCTTGTACCATAGTCTATTCAAGAATATATCAATATTGTTCTTTATCACTCTCAAAGCAACCCAATTGACTTACTCTCTCGGTCATATAACCAGACATAAAATTGTACATTGGTGGCATCACTTGGGAGCCGAGCGAGAACTGATGCTGAACATGAAAGTTTCCAGACAACTCCTTAACAATGTTGGCCTGTGCTCCATCGAAGAGGTAGTTGGTGGTGAATGTGTCTAATAACCGCGTATCGGTCAAAAGGCTTCGGAATCTAAAAAGCTAAACTGTATAGCCAGCAACTTTCTTACCCTTCACTTCTCTGTGGAGGCGCTCAAAGCTGCCAGGGTTGGGAAGACCGAGACGGGCCTTTTGGTAGTTGAACCAATGGGGCCAATGGAGAGGATTCCAAGGCGATCCAGCAGGTTGCTGGTCTTTGAGCGTAAATGCCGTTGTCGTCAAAGGCGAATAGAGACGAGCTGGGGGTGCGGTTGCGGCTTCTGTGGCAGACATGTCTATCTATTAGCTGAGGAGTCGACGCAAGGGAGAAGTACAGTGAAGTTGACAAAGTGGGTCCAAGTTCGGCTCAAATACACAGATTCTAACGTAGAACCAAAGTCCTCGAGGGTGGGGCATACCGAAAAAAATAAATAAGTGACCATTTTTGTTAAAAGTGACATCACGATTTTAATCTGACAGGTCCCAAATTAACTCTTGTTTTTTCACTAGTCTTCTTTACTTTTTTTATCTATAAAATGTTCGGCTTGCCATTACGAGCATTACGTAGTGTTTCCCACTACTCTACTGTGGCTCCTAAACAACTCTTTCCTACCAAGACAATCAAGTCTTTGTTGGCTGATAATCAGCCTAAAGATACAGAAGTATTGCTGAGGGGTTGGGTGAGGTCTGTGCGCAAACAGAAACAAGTTTGTTTTGCTATGGTTAATGATGGCAGTACACTCAAGGGCATTCAAGCCATTCTTAACGAGGACGATGCCAAGAAGTGAGTATTTTACCCATCGAGTTTGTATAAGCTTATCAGTTGCTTTCAGATTGAGTACCGGTGCCTGTGTTGAGCTCAAGGGGTTACTCTCGGATAGTCCGGGGCAGGAGCAAGCCAAGGAGCTCCAGGTTGACGCAGTCCGAGTTCTCGGAGAGTGCGATAATGTAAACAGGGATCAAATAATCCAACCGCAGTTTCTTATTTCTTCTTCTTTTTCTTCGTTCCACAGTCATATCCACTTCAAAAGAAGCGTCACTCTCTAGAGTTCATGCGTAACTTAGGTCACTTGCGCGCACGTGCAAACACCGGAAGTGCTGTTCTCCGGGTGCGACATGCAGCCAGCGAGGGTCTTCATCAGTTCTTTGCGGTGCGTTTTAGTTGGCTCTAACTCTGCCGATCCATTCACTCATCAGTCCATCACAACAAGCACAGAGTCAGGAATTTATTCTTACCAATACACCCATCTTAACATCCGGTGACTGTGAAGGTGGTGGAGAGGTATTCAAGGTTACTCCAGGGTCTGCTACACCTTCCACCCAAGACGAGTTTTTTAAGAAACCCGTCTATCTCACTGTATCTGGCCAACTACATGCTGAGATCATGGCTTCTGCCTTCTCGCGAGTCTATACGTTTGGTCCTGTTTTCCGTGCAGAAGAATCTGTCACCTCGCGTCATCTGGCAGAGTTTTGGATGTTAGAAGCAGAGATGTCATTTATAGACCAAATTGATCAGCTTCTTGATGTGACTGAAGCAAGTATTCAGCACACAACTAGACATGTCCTTGATACTTGTGCAGAAGATTTAGCATTTTTTAACCAATGGACCGATAAGACACTCCTGGACCGCTTACACAAGAGTATCGAAAAGCCTTTTGCACGAATGACTTATACCGAAGCAATTGATGTCCTACAGCGTGTCCAAGACAAGGAAAAACGTTTCGAGTTCCCTACTGTATGGGGGTCTAGTCTACAGTCAGAACACGAGCGCTACTTGGCTTCAGAGTACTGCGGACGCCCTGTTTTTGTAACAGATTATCCTGCCAATCTTAAGCCATTCTACATGAGAACCAACAATGATGGAAAGACAGTAGGATGCTTTGATCTCTTGATTCCTGGTGTGGGAGAGCTTGTTGGTGGTTCGATGCGTGAGGAAAGGCTTGATGTTTTGACTCAAAAGATGGAATTGGCTGGGATGAATGTGGAGGAATACGGGTGGTATCTGGATCTCCGTAAATACGGTAGTGCTCCTCACGGGGGTTATGGTATTGGATTTGAGCGCCTGCTTTTGTGGCTTACTGGCCTCGAGAATGTTAGAGAAGTAGTACCAGTTCCTCGCTGGGTGGGACATTGCAAATATTAGAAATTATAGAGTAAGCAATTACCAATACATTCCTTGCTTTTTTTTTTTTCTTTTGAAAAAAAATATTGTAGAATGATTTGTAAGCACACTCAACAAAAGAATAATAATAATATTTTTAAATCTAGATCATTGATACTTTATGTAAATCTTTATACTATGAATCTAATATAAGGTCAAGAGTATTAATGCGATATTTGCACTATCAGCTATATATTTATTTAAAAAAAAAAAAAAAAAAATAGTCATTTTATAGAATGGTTTGGATTACATGGTCTCTGGTCTAAAAATCATATAGATAATGCATCAAGAAGTCTGGGTTGAAAATATATTATCCGAAAATGACTCTTAAAATTCTAAAAGCACGTTTTTTTTTCCTGTGTTTTCTTTACCTTTTCATTCACAATGGCAGAATCAACCTCATCTATCAAAACCAACCTCACTCACTCTGGACTTCTCCCACTCGACGCACAAGGAAAGCCTATCAAACCATGTTGTGCCTGTCCCGAAACCAAAAAGCCTCGCGACCAGTGTATTTTTGATAAAGGAGAGGAGAATTGTCAAGAGTTGATCAAAGCACACCTTGAGTGTATGCGAAAGTTAGGATTCAAGGTTTAAACTCTTACTCGAATTGAGCTTAAGTCAAATAAACCCTAGAATTATCGATTTATTATACATGTGCAGGCTTAAAATTATTTGCTTTGCTTCTCATTTATTTGCTTTGTTTAGTGATAAAGATTTATAATATAAAAATAAACGAATTACTATTCTAAGGGATAAAAAAAATAAAGGCTTGTATATCAATAAAAGATATTTATGCAAGAGCAATGGAAGCCAAAATAGCAGCAGCACCGAAAATAAGGCTACCAGTAGTGGCTAAAGAAGAGGCACCGCTTGATGAGCCATTGGATCCTTTAGCTTGAGGAGCAGAGCTTGACTGGGAAGCAGTGGCACTAGAAGAAGAACCATCAGCGTTGATACACTTGCTGCTGTTAAAGCCCTCGGTGTTGCTTGTCAAAACAACGTCTGTGCACTACAGATAAAATATAAAATATGAGCATTTGTGGGTTTATATTTAATACAATTAAATAAAACCTACCTGGTACAATGCACCATCACCTCCATTAAATGTGACTTGAAGAGTAGCCAAGGTTCCATTTGTAGCACCGGAAACATCGGTCAAGTTTACGGGAATGCAGGCAGCCAAAGGGAAGGAGTTCTGGCCACTAGCTACAGTTACGAGATTTGAGCTAGTGAAATCAGCACTAGTTGGGTTGCTGTTGATCAAGATATTGACTTGGTATGTATAAGAAGGATGCTCGGCATTAATCTCGACAAAGCCATCTTTCAGAAGGAATGAAGAACGGTTGGCTGAGGGTGTGTCATATCCACCACAGGGAGCATTGGCCTCGATGCTCTCACTAAATCCGCGTGTAGGAGGATAAGTGAGAGAGAAGTGTGCGGATGCTGTTTGGGCAACAGAAAGAATTGCAACAGCTACTACAGCAAAACCAAGGCGAGTCATTTTGATGTTTAAAATCGTGAGAGAAAGAGACAGAAAGTTGAAGCCAAGGCATATCTTATTTATACACCCAGGTAACCTTTTTTTTCCCTTTGACCTAGCCAATATTGCGAGGTTTTTGCTTGTGGTGGGAGATTGATTGGTCGCTTGTTTTTGACGGCCGTCCTTTAATTTATCACCGACACTTCAAGGTCTTGCCTCATTCTGAAATTTTGTTTCTTAATTTTCTATATAAAAAAAAGAATACTGTGGGTCTATAAAACATTTATTATTATTATTTCACTTTCTATATTAAAGTGTTGAACGAATGAAAGAAATATCTTAAAGAACGACCTGACTGTTATTAAGTTTAATATATAATCGATGTAATTACATTACTTGTTTATCAAAAAAGCTACGAGATTTTTTTTTCTTTTACATTTAATGTCTTGTTTATCAAGATATTCCTACAGAATCTGTGTATCAGATTCTTGTCATACTCACACGCGATGACTTTCTTTGGGGAATAACCTTTGTTCTTCATTGAATGTAATACACGGGAAGGATATTGTATTTTTGTGTGACTTATGGTTGCAAAAGGACTATATGATATAATTGGAGTACTATTAACTGCAGTTAGGTTTAGACCGACACATCATGAGAATCTAGGATAGTTTTATTCCGAAAAAGTCTATTTGGATCTTGTACTTCAATTCCTGTGTATCTCCCATTTTGAGGTATACATATAAGCCGCGACTCATTTAGGACTATTCCCAAACAAACATTTCTTGTCATAAAAAATATATCAACCATAGACAGTTTAATAAGCTTAATAGTCATTAGGCATTTGACAGGATTTTTCTCGGCTATTTGGCTTTGAAAATCTCAAGAAAGTATATCAAGATAGCATATTGACTTAACACGCAAAAGTCTGTAAAAAATAGACTCAATTGAAGAATTCATGGATCGAGCCGAAGCGCTCCCAAAATTCGGCGAGACCATCAAATTAAAATAAAGAAGAAATCATTCACTCATCTTCCATCACCCGTAATGGTCAGCGTATGATTAAAGTACAACAATATATTTTCTTTTCTTTTTAAAAGCATATCTTCGACTTTAAATAAAAGATGTTTACTAGCAATTATTCCTCTATTTATGTTTTCGGGTCTATGCACTGAAAATTTAATCTTAAACCCTTAAACCCTGAAAACTCTTTCAAAGATCTCCTACTAAAATTACCTCTTTTCTTCTTTTTCTTTTCTTACCACATTATATAGCACCAAAATAATACTACCTTTAGATACGATTCATAACATTAGTATTATTGACTTTGATTATATATATATATATATAATCGCTGTTCTCTCAATTATAGAGTTTATAATCCAAGAATTCTTATAGAGCGGTATATTAACTCCAGGTTCAAAAAAAGTTTAGTTAAAACGCCCAAGCATTGTTTGTGAAACAAGGTTATATATATATATATATATATCCTGAATACCACCCATAGAAAGATTTATGCTTCACCCGCATATATGACAGGGATAATACACCCCTCTTCAACTCCTTTATGAGACTTTACTACCCTGATATTCAGGGTCTTTAATCAGAAAGAGTTCAATTTTACAACAACATGGCAGTAAATATTAAATCTGCAGAAACAGTAATGTTTTATAATATTAGAAAAAAAAATCAACTGATTTAATAATTGTATTTGACTTGATGAGAGAAATGATAAGTTTGGGAATATATGTACATAGATATGAATAGGATAGGCGGAAGGGTAATTATAGGAGGTAAGGGTAGATTATTAAGAAATAGAACATCGTTATGTTGTCAAGGATCCGTAAATGTTAATTAAGAGCAATGGTCGTCTCTGAAACCACCGAGAGATCGGAATCGTCCAAATGCCATTTCTCCAACAAAGATTCCAACGATGACTACAATAAAGTAGCCGCCATTTCCAGTCATGACAACCAGCATTAAAAGATAGTTGATGAATGAAGCGAATGCTGTGAGGAAGCTGCGAACGGTATCGGTATGCCAGACAAAAGGAGGAACGACAGGCATTGTAAGGCGAGAGGGGTATACTGGACGTTTGATGGAATAGCTAACTGATGCTCGAGACAATTCAGACTGGCCAGATTCTTCATTACCACAGTCCTTTGGCTACATAGTTAATATGTGAGTAGTTTGTTTTATGTTAAAAAAGAAAGAAAGAAATACAAGTCTTACATGAGCATTGTGTTTTGCAGTAAGATCAAACGGTGCCTCGCTCAGGCCACGATCGTTTTCGTGTACTTTGTTGAAACGCATAGATATCCAAGCAACGAAATAGGTTTCGATGGCCATCATTCCACGCGATAAAATAGCGAATACGAATAGACCAATGCATGTACCGATGTATGCTGATTCAGATTTAGGCATCCAGCTGTCAAAAAAGATGGCGTCTCCAGAAGAAGACCAGTGAAATGTGCCCATAGACATGCTCATCATTGAATCCATGCTTGTGTCTGTAGAAGAAGTAGAATCAGAAGAGGTGTGGGAGTGGTCGCTCATGTCCATTTTGAATGATTTCTTGGAAAATAGGGAGGTGCAGATTAAAAGAATGAGAAAAAATTATGATCTCAACCAATGTGCGCCCTGGGCTCCTTTTGTAGTCTTTAGGGGTGGAGATAGAATTATACCAGATACTTGTCTTCTGGAGAGCGAAAATCGCGCAAATAAACGTCATCAAGAGGACTTTAAAGAGTTCTGTCAGCAATTTAGAGTAGCGAGTTGAGTGTTGCACTTATCTTGAACTTTTTATTTCTGTGGCACCAATCATATACAAGATTGCAGCAAAAATATCTCAAACATATCAATTCTTTTTGTTGACAATCCAATTGTTTCCTGTTATCAGATCTGATAAATATTTCAACTTTATTTTCTGAGCTATCGAAATACAGACTTGGTTCAGATCACATACACACTATATATCTATAAAACAAAGCAAAACAAGAAGCTTACCAGAATACAAAATGAGCACAGAATCATGAGATTCTCAAGGTGGGTTGATCAAAACTATAAGTATAAGCATGAAACAGTTTTCCTTTTATTTCTTGTGTGTGTATATATATTTTTTAGGTTTTTTGCAACCTTATTGTCACACACACTTCTCATATTGTACATTGTAAAAAATAATAATATTGACACGCTGTATACGGAAGTTTGGTGAGATTGGCCCACAAAAAAAAACAAATTGACTCATCTAAAGCTATATTAGTTCGGTTATAAGCGGCAAGCCTTTGAGATGTAGAAAGCAATTCGGGTCTGGCGCCATTTAACTTGTCTCGGGATCAAAGAGTATCAAAGTCAATATATGAGATCAACCAGATTTAGAGATAATTTTGCTGTCCAATTAATACTTGACAAAAAATAAAATAAATAAAAAATACAATATTTATTGAAAATGTTGATCCAGTCGTAAATATAGATGTTTCGGCTGTAACTTGATATATCTCTGCAACTACATTTCCTGTCCACAATACTATCCTATAGGCAATACATACTAAGCACAATTCATAGCCTCTTATTTTCCAAAAACTACCTTATATACAGTGTTTCTGAAAAGCAAAATCGCACAGGCCCAATGATGATTTTCGCGCCAAATGCAAATCAATGTTGTACTGGTTTAAAAATACGTGAGTTCTAAAAATAAATATCGCCACTTTGGAAAATCAGATGTCACAATTGCAGGAAGTTCTGTTGATGAGGAGCGATATAGTATTGAACCGCTGTGCTTTTATAAACAATAAAACATTTGGTTAAGGTACCTCAAGAAGTTAACAGTGAAATTAAATTTATTACACAGAGATATAACGAGGTTAAATATGCTGATGATATTGGAATGAGAGCAAGATCTATAAAACTTGACAAAATGCTATACACAGATCAGGATAGAGTGATGTTCTTCAAACTATTTAATTTTTTTATAAGTACTTCTGATGCTGAAAAAAAACCACTTTGGAATACATATGTGTGCAACATATACTTTGGCTAAACAGTACAAGAACAAGCTTAGTATAATCTTTGAAAAAGAAATATCGAAAGACTGGTCACCCAAGAATTCTTAATGAGGAGAATAAAAAAAAACATATTTGATTGTATCGATGACAGCCCAGCCGTCCTGGAATAGGTCATAAAAAGAAACTTATAGACATATACAAAACTTAAGAAGTCCAAGAGTATTGTGCCTAACTTTGTTCTGTTTTTTTAAAAAGAGAAAAAATACTCGGTTTCAATTGATAGATAAGAATAGTAGAAAAAATCTCCAAGAACATCTGGAAAGGTTTCAAAAAGGGAACAAACTCGAAATAAGATTTACGAAACAACATTTATCTCGAGTAACATGTCTTTAATATTAACATAAAATGTATCATATCATGGTCAATAAGAAACTCACCTGCAGTACTTGGTATATACAACATTCTTGATGCTAATTTGACTAAAGCTTTGATCAAATCTAGCGCAAAACTTCTTCACTTGGCAACTAATAAGAAGAGCAAACTAAATTATAGTATTAGGTGTACGAGCAAAAGAGCAGTAACAGGGTACTAAATTATTAAAGGTCGTTGTGGATGAAATAGACCAGTATTGCCATATTGTAGGGTATTATCTAATTATTGATCAAGTTTCTCTTTATACCTCTGAAGATATAACAAAATGTATTGTTTCTATAAACTGTAGTTGTGTATATCTGCCTTTGTTTTTCCCTGAGCTTAATCTGATTAAACAATTGTGTTTAGTTTTTAAGAGCAAAATGAAACACAGTACAATTTTGGGAAAGATAATGTTAAAGATGAGAATCAGTGAATCTTATACTAGTTTAAATGGGCGAATTCAAAGGAGTTCATTAGAAATCCTCATAAATACTTGAACAAGTCCCGTAAACAAAGACTGAAAAGAAAAACTTGAAATAACGCTATTTATTTCATCCGGGAAGAGCCAAAAGAAAAAGAAAGCATAGATTTTTATGAGAGAGAGAGTGGACTTTTGGCAATTATGTGTTTTCGATCTCTGTGTATATATATATAAAGGAGAGATGAAGAAAAGTAGTGTTTAATCAAAATTCAACCTTAGAAAATCTTGTAAAAACCACCCCTCCCATTCTTATCTTATTTTATTCTATATCCGATAATATTTAATACAGGATTTCCACTCCAAAAGTTATATTTTTTTTTTCAAACTATATATTTTGCAAAATCAAAACTTTCATTTTGTGCTCCGACTATATATAAAAAAAAATCAATTTATTTTTGGCTATTTGTACATTGGGGGAAGAAGCTAATGCTATGATCAACCCAGCCTTGGCAGTTTTCCATAGCGATATGGCGGGAGCACTCAGCAATATACTTCAAGAATTGACCACATACCAACCCGGGCTTTCTCTTGACCAGTGTTTTGAGTTTGGAGAAGCACTCTTCAATCGGGTTTAGGAAAGGAGAGTATGGGGGGAGAAAGTGTAGGTGGTGTCGTGAATTAGCAAACAATTCAGTGACAAGATGGGATCTATGGATCGAGGCATTATCCATAATGAAGTTGTGAGGGGCAGCATTACTGTGGTCGAGCGAATCCATAATCGTCTTTACAAATTCAACGAAAATTGGTCCTGTCGTGCCACCAGGGGTCAACTTCGCCTGCACACTCTCAACACCTTGGTAAGAAATACCGGCAAGAATTGAGATGTTTAGTCCCCTTTTCGACCTCGTCTTCACAATGCTGGTCTCGCCTTTCTTGGACCACCCTTGTCCTCTGATCAGGTTTGCATTAAAGCCTGCTTCGTCCACAAAAATGCAATTGGTTTTATACGATAAACCATTCGTGTGCATACTGTCTACGTATACTTTTCTCAGCTCAATAGTCTTCGGGTCGTTTCTTTTTTCCTCGACCGGCTTGGTTCTCTTCAATGTGAACCCGATGTTGTTGATAATGTGCTTATGTAAGCCACTGATGCTCAAGTTCTGCTCTTGAAGCTCTGGAAATTTTCTAAACAGTTCCTCTCTCATTTGACCAAGAGTCAAGGTGCAGCATTCGTCCAAGAGGTCTTGAATGAACTTCGAATGCTCATCGGTTATCTTAAGACTTTCCGCGCGCGAGCCGCCTCGCTTCTTGGGCTCTACAGTAGCATCCCTCTCGAACTTGGTGATGATGTTGTTAATCGACACCCATGAGACACCAAATGCCCTGGCTGCTTCGGCTCGGGTCATGGACTCTTCTATATAACATTTCTCCACAATCATGTTCTTGATGTGGATCGGAAGAACCTTTTGTGGTCCATTTCTCTTTCTTCTCTTAACGATAGCGATTTGATTGGGGTTCATGTTGGAGGATTTGAGTATAGAAAAAGATAATAGATAAAGACAGTTCTCAAAACCATATTACAAACTTAGCATTATATACTTTTCTTATAACAATATATTGATATTGCATGTTTTCTTATATTATTTTTAATAAACAGTGTAGACATTCTTTAAATACTTTATCGCACATATTAGCATTCTTCATGCTCTTTATTAATTTGCTTTAAATTTCTTTCTATCCGCATTAATTAATTTATTTTTTTCATATATAGTCGGAGCACAAAATGAAAGTTTTGATTTTGCAAAATATATAGTTTGAAAAAAAAATATAACTTTTGGAGTGGAAATCCTGTAAATCTCGACATCCAAGCATCTAACAAAAAGGTTGGGTGCTTTGATGTCAATGCTCTCATTTTTAATCCATTTCAGCATTTTTATTGTAAAAATGCTTCGATGTCAAATGTCAAGCATCGACAATAATAAACCCTCTTACTATGTAAACCTAATCTTAAGTATATTTCAAATCCAATTAACGTAAGCATCTGTGCTTCCAAAACTACACCAAGGGAGAAATCTGGAAAATACTGAAATTGCATTGTATATTTAGTGCTTGAACTTGGGTCTGATGATATAAATGAAGAAAATGAAGGAATATGGAGATCTCTGGGTCTTACAATATGATTTAATATAACACACTGTAAATAAGCACTCCAAAAAAATGTCAGAAAATTGGGTTAAAATTCCTAAACCCAAGGAGCAAATATTAAAACCTGTATAAATATGGATAATTATCAAAGAAAATATTAGAAGGTTTTAAAGAATCAATGCTTTTCTCAAAAGATATATATTCTTCTACGATTCCAGAAATAAATAAATAAATATCCTAATGATGAACACCAATGACATCCAGTTTATATACAGTAATCCGTCCGTAAAAGTCCGTGCTCTCTTCAAAGATAATCTTCAAACGCTGGATAGGCTCTTTGTGTTGTATATCAAATATTTGGGTAGGGTTAATGTCTTCCGGGTAAAATGTACTGAGCTGTATATTATAGTTATTTGGAGAAGACGGGGAGCTTCCAAGGGCAACACATGTTTTTCCAACAAAACCACCCTGAAAAGTTAAGGCGATCTTTTGCACTTCAACAGGTGATCCGAAATCCAAAAGGATATTTTGGGGAAGACCCTTTTAAATGAATAGACAAACGAAACTCAATATGCATGTTGATCGAGATCTCGAGTAGATTTAACTTACTTGCTCTGAATTCCAGCAAGTTTCCTCGGATCCATCAATCAGATGTTGTTTTCCATAGCTCACCGTGTCACGATTTAAAACAGAGCTGACCCTATAGTAAAGATCGAAGCGTTCAGTTTCTAGAAGAATAATTCTGCTATAATAATTGCGATGAATAGTATATAGTTACGCACTTGATGCGAGTGTCAGGAGAAAGTAGACTTGTCATGGATGATGAATGAGATAAAAAGAGAGGTGAAATCATTCACCTCCACGTGACTTTTACTGACCAACTGTTCATGGTGCACTAAGAATTCTAACTTCTCTTTTTTAACTTCTCGTCTGTGGTTTTAGAAATGTACTGGCTTAACGGCATTGCCAGTCAGCTATCTCTTCGTAGTGCCTCTCATGGGATGGTAGCCTCCTCTGTGGAAGGCAGTGACCAACCAGCAGGTGCACAGCTTCCTCTGTCGGCCGACATCGTCGCAATGAAACCATCTCACCACGCGTCATTGTTCATTACCTGTACTCGATCGGCCATTTATCTTTGGTCTGTCAAGGTAGAATATCGGGAAATTTTGAGAACTATTCAAGAGCTCTTAAAGGACTCTTGTCATATCTATGTCCAGACACAGTTATTGACGGAACAGAACCCCCCTTTCCATAGCCAACAACTATCCTATCTTTTGTAGAGCGCTCAGAAAAGCATATAAAAGAGTTTGGCGAAAACAATTCTATCTTGTGGAAACCAGATGGATCAGCAGTTGTGATATTTGTACAGTATCAAATGTTCTCTAAACAAACGAACGTCTTGAACTCATGTTGCTGCCTCTTATTTTTATTTTCTTTCGATGCTCGTTAAATATTCCATAGACAAACAAAAACTATCTTTTACTTTATGCGATTCTTCCATTCGAACAGCGGTCCTTTGAGTTTAGTTTTGCTCATTCAAACCATCCTTATGTAACAGGGCCTGGAGAGGGGAAAGGACCAAAGACTATGATCCTAAAATTTCGACTTGCTATTCGTATCGATGCTGGCATTGCGTGGTAAGAATGATACGATGATCCGAAGAGTAAAACTGATTGCGGAGGTGTTGCCTGGTATTCAAACTCTTTCTTTCTCAGCGGCACTTCATCTGAAGATACGCTTATAATCGCAACACAAACGCCTGCTGCGATCCAATGTATTTCATGGAACCCACAACAGGTCAATGCAACACAAACTTCTCTCCAATCCCGGATGAATATCTTTGTAGACCCTTTGGGTAAATAGTCACAAAATATCAATATAATGGTGACTTATAAAAAAGTTGTTGATATATACATACATACATACATACATATAGAAAGGGTGACTAGTATGATATATGACAAACCGACAAATGTGTCTGTCTGGGTCACAGATAAAGGCAGAGCTTATTTTGTTCACAATATACCCGATATTGACAAACAGAGCAGTACAGGCTCAAATGGGGTAAGCGATGGATGGGAATTTATTGGGCACTTTTAACACTAGCCTATCTCCCAAAGCTAACGTCTCCTACCTCGCCATCAAGTCAATTACCTCGTGGATCTAATACATTGACAACGGAAACGCACTTTGGTGGAGACACAGCTTCTTTTGCACCAGCATCACCTTCATACACAGAAAAGGTTCATTGGAAAGGCGTTGCATTTCATGGTATAGAAGAAGATATTTTAAAAGGAGAAGAAGCGACATGTGTTGCTATTAATGCCAAGTTTTCTCTTATCGCTGTCGGAACTAAGAGGTAAGTACAAGCTACATATCATTAAACAATTTGTTATGTTAAACATATACTTTTGTTTATTTAAAGTGGGTTAATTCGCATATACTCTGCAAACCACTATTTGTCTCCACCCGAGTACTCTCATACTCTTGAATTGGAAACCGGAGGAGCAACCACATGGGGGTCTATTAATAATAAATCAATCTCAAGAGATGCTGTCCAATCACTCGCATGGACTTCTGATGGATATGCTATTTCTGTTGGCTATGAATATCGGGGACTTGCTATCTGGAGCGTCTATGGCACCTTGCTTTCCTCTATGAGTGAATTAGAAGAAATGTTCGGGGAGAGACAGAACAATCCAAATATTATAAACAGGTATATATATATAATTCAAGGATTATCTGTTCGAGAAATTGAGTGCATTTTTTTAAGGATAGATATAGCCATCTTCAAGATACTTACATACATGGTGTGTACTCCATGGTAAGATCAAATACATTATCAACACCTTGTTTTATTAAAATATTCTGACATACTTGGTTATATTTCAGTTCTGGGGCCCCGGAAACTATCAACTTTTTGTATTGGATACCTGGGGGTGGAAAGAGAAGCAAAACGTAGAAGATTCTGTAGTTTTTGATGACATCCATTTGTTCTCTTTACCCTTCTCGAAGTTGGCTATTACATCACTTCATAATGCAGTAAGGGATCTTAAACAATTTGGGTACACTATAAAGCCTAACTTAACCGTAAATGTATAGGATAATGCACGAAGAGGTCTTTTACAGGCAGATGACCGACTTCTTTTATACAACAGCGGAGGAGACTACCAAGAAAACAACACTACGACTATCGATCCTGACGCCGTAGCATGGACTCATATTCTTGTAAGTTAAATTAAGTATATCATTTCATATATTCTTACTAAATTCCAAAGTAAATAGTATCCTACTATGTACATAACAGACCATTGGCCAATTAGGGTAAGGAATAAAATAATTTTGAAAAAAAAAACATGGTGTGTATTTCATATAAAGTGTTCTTCTGTTAGTCGAGACGGAAAATATATAGCAATTGCCGGTAAAAGAGGTTTAGCTCATTATAATACAATCTCTGGTCGCTGGAAAATGTTTGGAAATCAACAGCAAGAAAAGAGTTTCTTGGTACGAGGTGGTCTCGCATGGTATAAACATGTCCTGATAGCTGCATGCGAAATATCGTCCTTGCATCATGGAAAAACATACGAGGTAAACGGTAGTATAAAAAAAGTAGAAGAAATGTTTCGATATCTATTTGTCTTCTATATTAATATAACTTTACTATATATATATAGATTCGTCTGTATTCAAGAGATAGTAATCTTGACAATGCATATATTCTCCACACGGAAGTGCTTCATCAAATACCCAATTATATAACTATTTGTGGAAATTTTCTACTTGTCTACACTTCCGATAATGTATTGAGTATCTATAGTATTTTCATAGGTAGTGATGTACCACCTACAATGGGAAACTTAAACCCTGCTGCTAATTTAGCCAGGATAAAGCTATCCAGACAGATACGCCTTCATGGTATTATTACCGATGCATCCAGAGTTAGAGGCATCAGTTTGTTTAATCCAAGTCTTGGAGGTATGTCAAAAAAAAGTGGACTTTTCTTTCTTTTCTATAATGCGTTGCCCAATAGATTGTGTGATTATAACAACAATATTTTTCTTATTTAAATATATATATATATAGATCAGCTAAATACGTTGGAGGATGCGATAACTGCCAATATAATATTATTGGTAGATGGAAAAAATTTCATCCTGTGTCCATCTATGGGAGTAAGCCAGAGAATTCAAAGAAAGTGTATATCGAATTTAATGAATCTTGCTTGTGTATTTAAAGGACAGCGAAGACGTTGAAAGAGATGAGATACACAATCAATACGAAATACATATGTTATCTGAAAAAACCGAGTATTACTGGATTGGCCGAAAGAGTGTAGCCAACTTATTAACCTCTCTGTGGGTTGTTGATGGAAAGGGAGTCAAGGTAATTTTATCACGTCAATCTCAATCAGGCTTCTTTTATTATTATTATTATTATTATTATTATTATTATTATTATTATCATCATTATTATCACTATTATTTTCTAACCTTTATATATATAAAGCTATTCACAAATTTGCTTCGTGGTGAAGATTGTGGCTTCAGTACTTTTGGAAAAGACATATATGAAAGTGAGCCTTCTACACCAACCACACCTGGGCTATTTACAGCAAGGGGTTACTCAGGGCGGCCATTTTCTTTGGGCTATCGAATTGGACCTGAGCCTGATTCACCTTCTGCATCTGTTAATATGGAAGGTTTTTCTCAATGGAGAACAGGAGATCTAAAGTTTGCGGACGCAGATGCAATATATATTCCACTTGATTTTTATCCTCATTGTAAGTTAATCAAACGGAGAACTACTTGGGGGAAATATCTAATTTGATGGTCGGTAAGCTGTTCTGCTGGAGAAGGGAGTTATTGTAGGCATAGAACAGAATATGGTTTATAAAGACTTGCTAGGTTTTATGGTTTACAAAATAACAACAAAGGTAATACGTAATATTAAGATTTAAAATTCAAATTCATAACAATTAACATGTATCCCTTAGACACATTTGTTTATACATCATATTCTGCGACACTTGCTGAAACGAGATCTTGAAGAAGATGCAGTAGTATTTGCACGAGTTTATGAAAAGCTAGTGTACTTTAGTCATGCTTTGGAAATTCTTTTGCACACTGTGTTAGAGGAGGAATCTGGTCAGTCTTTAGGAGATGGTAAGTATTACCTAATAAAGTTTCTCTAAGTTATACAGTTTTAGCTCACACAGTATTATTGTAGATGCCATACTTCCTTTGGTTATAAAATTCCTTGACCAATTCCCACACGCTTTGGATGTAATTGTAAGCTGTGCAAGAAAGACAGAAGTTGCTCTCTGGGATCACCTCTTTTCGGCTGTTGGAAAACCAAAGGACTTATTCGAGGTAATGCTGATTTTTACATTTCTTTCTTTTTGTTCGGTTTTACTCAATAGTACTTTTACCAGTTTTGTTTAGAAGATGGGCGCCTTCGAACTGCCACATCATATCTTATTATATTGCAAACTATGCAGCCACTTGCAGTAGGCGGAAAGGTAAAGAAAAAGAAGACTGTCTACATACTTTAATTTTGGTGGACATAAGACCTAAGCATGACCACTGTTGTTGTTGTTTTATATCAGGACACCATTCGATTGCTGCAAAAGGCCATTGATGTGGATGACTATGAGCTATGCAAAGAACTAGTCAGATTCCTAAGCTCTATAGACAGTAAGTGTTCAGAGCAGATTATAAAATTTTGCAAAACTAACTAGTTTTTTGTAAACAGATACTGGAAAAACACTCCAGGAGGCATTGCATGTTATCAAAGCTCATATGAATCCTGAGCACACATCATCACCTAATAGTCAAAATGCTCAGGTTGATAAAGTGGCTCAAAGCATTCAAGACCTGAGTACTTAACAAATAGCTATACAATTACCTTACTCTATTTCTCTATTTCTCTTTATTTTTCTCTTTATCTCTTATATTGATATATATAAATATAAAAGAAGCCAGAATGGCCATGTATTATATACCTTTTTTGTTTGCTACGATTTCTATCTACCAAAAAAAGAAACCAAAAAAAAAGTCAAATAGACAAAGTTGTCTAGCATAGCCCCCCATACCCTGTGACGGTTGATCACGCTACCTAGGTCAAACAGGCAAGTGGAGAAGAAGGGGTACATTACCCACTATAACCATGACAAGGAAGCAAAGCACCCGACAAGACCGTCCTCCAATCTCACATTACCGCTCTCGGGAGTCTCCTGAGGGAAGAACAGAAAGCTCTTCCCAGCAAAGACATCATTCCATATTCCAGCCTTCGAATGGCTACATGAGCATCCCCACTTCTTTGAATGTAAGGTCTTAACAACTTAAATCGCATCCCCCTTTATGCTTCTTTTGCTTTATTTTAGATACCCCATCACGACAAATCAGCCCCAATGCGTGGCCATGCAGTTGAGAGTAGTCTTGTGATAAATGCAGATGACTACCGTAACGGATTACCGAGAGATAGCCAGCTAATAGACGTTGGAATTGATAACACTCAAACTAGCCCATACTTATCAGATGTTGAGACTACTGAAACTGCATCTCTACTGATTGAGCAAGACGTCTGCTTTCCTGCTGTGGAGGAAGAGAGAGGGGAAATAAACTATGCTGCAATGGATGAGTACGTGATTCAGGAAAGACGGGAGCTCCAAAAGACGCAATTACCTCGACGGGCTCATCGACGAAGATTGTCTAATATGCTTATGCCCGATGGGGCCAGGCAGGGTCGGGCTTATTATGGCGAACCTAATGTAAATTATATGAACTGAGATGAAAGCAAATATGCTGATGAATTGGGTGTTTAGTATCCCGCTACTGATGATCTGGATGTCTACCGAATCACATATTATTCCCCTTTTAAAGCCTCATCTATTCATGCGCGTACATTGTGTGAAATACCAGCTGCTGGAGAGAAGTTGAGCGAGATGGCTAAAAAGGGGTGTTTTTGGATTGATATTCTCGATCCTACTGATGAAGAAATGAAGGCACTCGGAAAAGTAAAAATAAAAATTTCAATAACGGTCGCTTTAATTAACATCTCTTTATAGATATTCAATATTCACCCTTTGACTATAGAGGACATTGCTATGGACGAACCTAGAGAAAAGTGTGAAGTGTTTAAGAACTACTGTTTTATTACATTTAGAGCATTTGATCCGAATCCGTCCGCTATAACCCCCCTTAAGCCTCTTGGAATGCATATACTCGTGTTTAAGGAGTGTGTTTTGACGGTAAGAGAATCAATAGATATATATATATATAATATGCTAATTTCATATGCTTTAGTTTCATTTAAGACCCATGAACCATCCTCAGAACGTGCGAAAGAGAATTAAGCTTCTCAAGGACTATATTCATGTCACACCAGGTAATAATAATAAATGCAAAGTCAATTTTTTTGTCTAATAGGCGAATAGATTGGATATGCTATGGAATCTTGGACGATATCACAGACTCCTTTGCACCATTGATCTATGCTGTTGAGTTTGAAGTGGATTCGATTGATGAGCTGGTTCTCATCTTGAAAGAGTCGGAGCAATCAGACATGTTGCGTCGGATTGGCTATTGCAGAAAGAAGATGATGGGACTTTTGCGCTTACTGGTCACCAAAGCAGATGTCCTCAAGACAATGATCAAACGAGGGGAAGCATGGATGGCTGTCGGTACTGAGAAGTCTAATGGTGATAGTGATGTAGCCATCTATCTTGGAGATGTTCAAGGCATGCTTTTGATAGTATTAAATAACTTCTTTATTATTATTTCTTTAAACAGATAGTGAATAACATATCTTTATCTATTATATCTTTAGATCACCTCATAACCATGCTTCAGTCACTAAACCACTATGAAAAAATATCTTCTCGGTCTCACTCTAACTATCTTGCCCAAATATCTATCGAAATGACCCAAACAAATAACGAGATTAATGATGTTCTATCTAAACTCACTGCACTTGGAAGTATAATTATCCCAATGAACCTTGTTACTGGTTTGTGGGGTATGAATGTTCAAGTTCCCGGCCAGGCTCAGGTAAGGTACAGACCTCGTAGCAACAGTATCTGACCGGCTTGGATGTTTCTTTTAGGAGGATCTTTGGTGGTTTAGTCTGATATTTGGCTCTATTCTCTCCTTCTGTGTTTTTGCCATCATACTGATGCGCTGCTATCGAATTATTTAGTGCTCATAATCCATTTGATTCAATTCCCGATTGCTGAGTCCATCAAGGTGTTTACGTTGCTTTTCTGTCACATAGAGTCCGTTCCATTGGTTGTCCCTCCTGACCCTCTCTCTTTCTCTCTTTACAAAACTCACCTATTAAAATCCCTTTTTTATTTTTATTTTTAAAAAAAAACTTCTTTGAGCCATAAAGTTATCATCGCCAAAACGCGCTCTGTTATCATCTTTGAGTTCATTTATAACAAGAAAAAAAATAACAGGAGCTCGGTTCTCATCACGCCTTACTTTTGACTATGGCTTCAGACGACGAAGACTTGGATTGCCCTCTGTGCATGGAGGAATTTGACATTGCAGATTGTAAATTCAGGCCTTGTCCATGCGGCTACCAGGTAGGGGAACATTTCCTCTGGTAGTACTGGGATGTTCACAAGCAAAAATCTTGTGGCTCTAATATAAACATACAATTTCAACAGATTTGTCGATTCTGCTGGCATCACATAAAAACAAACCTTAATGGTCGTTGCCCGGCATGCAGACGAGCATATACTGATCAGATTGTCGAATTTGTTCCTGTGAGCGCAGAGGAGATTTTACGTAGCAAAAAGGAGAAGAAGGAAAAGGAACGCCAGCAGCGTGACATGCGAGACCCGAATAGGCGACAATTGTCTGGTATGCGAGTCGTCCAAAAAAACCTTGTATATGTTCTTGGTCTTGGTTCAAAACATGCTAGCTTAGAGGTAATAATAAATTAATATCTATAAATATATTAAAAACGATATTTAGCTTACCATGGCTTGGTCACAGAGAACTCACTCTTGTCTGTAGAACGAATTCTTTAAGAAGTATGGCAAGATCAATAAACTCGTTGTTAGCAAACGATCTGTTCCATCAGCACAGCAATCATCATCCCAGGTTTCGGTTGGTATATATGTGACCTATGCCCGGAAAGAAGATGCTGCAAAGGCAATTGCTGGACTCAATGGGGCTGTGTGTGACGGCAAGGTTATAAGGTAAATGTATATCCATTAGGAGGACAATCAACCCTATAAAGAAAAGTGGGGGTAAATTAGTCTTTAGTGTATTCACCACTTGGGGAACAGGGCCTCGTACGGAACAACCAAATATTGTACCTACTATTTGCGGAATATGCCATGCCCAAACCCAAATTGCATGTATTTACATGAACCAGGAGATGATGTGGACAGTTACAGCAAAGAAAATCCAGCAATTGGGTGCGTACAAGCTAATATAATTCTTATGAGAGGGCTAATATAAAAATGTATCCGTAGAACCAAGCATCCAACCGGATCAACTACCCAGACTTACCCAAACAAACGCACCGTGGCTACTGTAACAGCTACAAAACCAATAAGTGGGATCACTCTTGGTATAGCGGCAAATGCTGCCGCTGGTGCCAGCTCTAGCTCCACTGGTACCCCTAATACCATTTCTACTGCTACTGCCGGACCTTCTATTGAGGTACCGCGCAAAGCATCACCTTGGGCACCAATTCCGAAGGTTATCGCTGTGAAGCCGATCGATATTGTCAAGGAAGTACCAATGGAGCAAGACCAGGCGCATGAATTTGAAGAAGAAGAAAGACCTTCGGCTGTTTCAAAGTCTGTTCCGTCAACCTCCCTTAAAACACCTTCTACACCCAAAGCACAAAGGTCTACACCGAAAATCCCACACGCGGCACCAAAGACAGTACCTGTTGGACCAAAAATTGTCACACCAACAAAAAGTGTCTCTGAAAATACACGAGTTGAAGATGAGAAACCGGCCCTTCCGGCTACTGCATCATGGGCAAAGGGAGTCAACTGTAGTAGTAGTACGGCCAGTCCAGATAGTATTGTTACACCCGATACATTTGGTCCATCTCTGACAGCCGCATTGACTGCCCCACAAAAACCCAAACATTCCCAAGCACTTCCTCGAAAGAAAGAAAAGAAACTCAAAACAAAAATGGTCCGGCTTGAAGATTTCGAAGAGGCCAAAAGAGAAGCAAAGACTGCTATCGGTACTACTGTTAAGCCAAAATCTAAGGAATCAGAAGCCGCATGGGGTAATACCAACTTTGAGAAGATCCTTCCCAAAATTGAACCAACCGAGACCAGAAAGATTATCTATCTTGACGAGCCATCAATCGATCCTAGACTTCAAGCCGAGGGAACTGTTACATCAGTCAAACCTACTGTTCAACCAGCTGAAATTAAGGAAGAGAATGTTGTTCAGGATGATCCTAAAGAAATCTTAAAGAAACAACTTTCGGAAGAAATCAAGGAAGAGTTGCCTATTGATACAAACGAGGTCTCAAACGAAGAATCTGTGGACACACACAGTGGTGATACTCACCCCAATGATGAGGATGCAAGCATTGGTGAGAGCTTGGACGAAAGCGCGGACGAGAGTGTGGATACGAGTGTGGGAATCAATAAACCTGTTGATACACCAGCTCAATCAAATGAGGAAAATGATAATATTACTCCTAATGACGACAAGAATGAGGCAGAGGAGATGTGTGTGGATAATTTGGCCCGAGAAAACGAAGACCTTAATTATCCAAATGAACATAATTCGCCATCACAGACATTAGACGAGCCTTCTTTTACAGACTCTGAGCTTGGTCATGTTTCAGACAATGAAGCAGATCAAGAATACGAGGATAGTGAAAATGATCTCAGCATCGATGACGATATTACAAATGAACACACAACTATCACTTACCTACCAGATACGGGTGATATTGACAACACCATACAGAATTCTCAGAGACAGACCTATAGTTCCGAAAAGGTTCAGGAAGACCTCCAAGATGACCAGGCCACAAAGTTTGCTGGACTGGGCAAACCTATGGATACAATGGAGAATTCAACTTTATTCGTCAACCAGGACATAGCTGATCAATCCCCTGTGTCTGTATCCGACACCAACCAACCTCCATTTATTGGCAACAATAATCTCTCATTGCCAACAATGGCAAATAATAGTAATATTCGTCGTACTCCCCCTGCTGCTCCTCCAGGCTTAGCTGCTCCTCCAGATTGGTTCTCGCGTAGTTTCGATCCGTTCAACGGCCAAGATCCCTCTCTAATTGCTTCAAGGCGCCTGCAGCATTCTCAACAAATGTTGGAAGCCTCTGGATTATTCCACGGATATGGTCAACCTGTTCCCCGTTTTGGATTCTCACCTGACTTTCATGGAGGACAAACCCCTCCACCATTTCCTACTCATGGTCCTCCCCCCGGTATGTTTCCCCCTCACCCTCATCAGCATCCTATCATGCGCCATTCCCCCATGGATCGACCTGATCTAATGGGTATCCCACCTATGATACCTCCATCTATCGAAAGCCCCAATTTTGCAAATTTGAGAAACGAACTACGTGGTCTGTCTGTTCAAGATGGAGCTCCGCCTGGACATATTCGTGATGATTCTGTAAAGTCTATGAGAGAAGATTTTAGAGCTCTTCTTCCGAATGTAAATATTAGCTTTGGATTGCTTCAAGACGAACTTGCCAATAGGGCAGGGAAGACACCAAAATTTGCCAAGCCCCACACACCTGCCACTGAAGAACATGTCTTTATCCGCCCATCTCCTCAGGCAAGGCATTTAGACCAACCTGCTGGACCAGTGGATATGGGGCCCAATTCAGCACATCAATTATTTGCTGAAGGCCCTAATGCTTCTCATCCTATGCAACATAACCACAACCAAAATCATCACAATCACAACCAAACTCAAAATCATCTCCACAACAACCAGCAATATAATCAAAATCAGCAGAATACTAACTTTTTAGCACCTCTTGATGAATTCGCTCAATTCGGACCAGAAGATCGCACACAGGACCACACATTTTTACGGTCTATGGTGCAACAACAGCCAATTCAAGGAAGTCCAAGAAATAATAATCCTATGAACAGACAGTTTGCTCCCCCTGGCTTCTCTGATATTAGTCCTGAACACTCAGAGCCAAATGCTGATGATAACAAACGATTTGCACAACGGCAGGATCCATTCCATTCAGTTGGTGGTAGTATGCAACGACAGGATGGCTGGCAACCCCACACAGAACCTCCTCGTCAGTTGCAGCAGCAAAGACAACCTCCAATGGAACATGTATTATCTGAAAGAGGTTATCGTGGCAGTCCTTTACGAAGCCATGAACCTGGTCCAATTTCTCAATCTACTGGCCTGCCCTTCTCAGGGGGGAATGGTGGTAGTGGCAATGGCAGCGTTGGTAATAGTGGGATGCTACCAATGGGAAGTATGCCGCCTTCTGGAGGAATGACATCTTCTGCTGGAATGCCCATGAGACCAGAGTTTGAGAACAGGTCAATCTATGGAGAACCTGATGTCAGAAAGGAAGCTCAAAACTTTTTTGGGGAGTTCCTTCGCAAGGCTGCTACAGCACACCCGGCCTACAACGAGAAAGAGGAAACAGGAAAAGGTATGATCCAAGATAAGAATTATATGATTATAGACGGATAGATTATATAGCCGGGGTTCGACTCTAGTCGCTGATGATGATAACCATTGATAGCATTACCATTTCAAGATCCTGCGATTATGTCCGTTCGAATAACTGAAGATTCTAACGGCCAAGAGAGTGATGTGTCAAAATCACAGAGTACATTCCTTCAGATTCTTGGTGGACAACAACCGCCGCCACCTTTGCCAAGAGATCAAGTGGAACCTCGATTTTCGATGGTCGAGCGTCATATCCAAGGTGTGCCTACTGTTTTTGGTGCTTCTGTCCATAACGAAAATTTTGGACAAGATAGTCCAAACGGTTTCAAAATGTTTATGACACCTCCTCATCCCTCATTTCACCCTCAACAAAACCAGCAACCTCAGCAACCTCAGCAACCTCAGCAACCTCAACAACTTCAACATCAACAACCTCAGCAACATCCATTACACCATCAGAATCCTATGGGACATCCTCCTCCCTTCATGGGTGGATTTGGGGAACCCCATATGGGAATGATGGGACGTATGGCTTCCATGTCTACTCCACCTGGCATGAGAGGTCCTCCTCATCCTGGAATGATGCTTCCGCTCCACACCCAATCCCACCCTAACGATATTCCATACAGAGGTACACCATTTGGACACATGGGCAATCTGCCGCCTGGAATATTCCCGGGTAGACCTAATGGTGAAAACCATTAGCTTGATATAAAAAAATAACTTGAAAATAAGATCTCCTCAAGCCATCTTCTTCTTGTACTTTTCCCTAACCTTCCCTTTCCATCACCCTTCTCAAATCCTTGTTGTTTTCTTATTGCTGTTGCTGCTGTTTTTTTGTTCTTATCAGTACGTATATCTCTTCTCTTTCTATACATTTATATATATGTTGTTTTTCCAAGACTTTATTTTTTTAAAAAAAAAAATAACGCACACACACACACACATCCACCCACACATACATATATATGTATATATATATTTGTTTGTTCACCTGTATAATATACACTGTTTCCAGAAAATAAAGTCGCACCATTTGGAAGTTTATGCTTAACTTTAAATGTGTTCATACCTCTTAAATTATTTATTGAGTGTACACAATGACATTAATAAGACGCCATCGTTATTGCCTTACTAGCCCTTATAAGATTCTCTTGTTGGGACCAGTATTACTAATAGAAAAATTACACAAGAAAGGATATGAATTTGCAGTAATTTACCCACTACTATATTCTTCGACTATGCTTCTCTTGGCTTACGTACATCGAAACGCATTTGTAAGTCGCACAATCTAAAGATTTAAGTTGCATTTTTAGGATAAGAATGTTCAAAAGTATTTTTATATTTAAACAAAAAGTAAAGTGCATATTGTATAACAAATTGGTGCTGAAATGTTTAATAGTTTATTTAATAACTTATGAATAATTTTTGGTACTTTTTATTGAAAAAGAAGATCCATTCATAGCAGCTAGTAACTCTTAAAAGTAGGTCTTGTATAGTGTTTTACCGTATATCTGACTTTTATTATTACTTAATACAGAGTGTATTTATAAAAGTATATAATATCCTTTTTAGGGTATAGAAGCTTGATATAAAATTACTCGTTTTTCGGCCTTTTTCCCTAATATACCTCCAAGTACAGCTTTGATCACATTAAAAAAAATGCACCCCCCAAAACACGGATATTTTTTTTCCGTAGTGTTGGTCTAAAGCTTAGTGTACTAAAGATCTCAAAGAGATAGTTTCTTAATTGCATTACGAAAGGAATTGTATTTGTTGATTTGTCTGTAGGTTTTGCAATTAATTAAAGGGAAAAATAGAAAATGAAGTATGGGTCTGGTTATTTTGCCCAATATACAACTTTATATAGTTATAATATTTATGTTGGTAAATACACACAAAGAGAGAAAGAGAGCGAGAGAGATATAGTTCCCCTGAAAGTAACGTCTAAGCGGAGATATTTTACGATATTCAAGTACAAAAGCTGTTCTTAACCAGTTAAGACAAAATACTCACTCTTTGACATCGAATGGAATTCATCCTAGCTTTGCTCTCGTTGGTAAAAACAAAAAACAATAATTATAAAAAAATAAAAAAATAAAGAGTAATTACAACCAAAGAATATGTATATATATATATTGAAAGACGTGTAGTTTCTCAGTATTGTTTTGTGTCTTAGGCGGGTACATGGGTGTCCGTCTTGACCGCAATCCTTCTGCTCTATATTCGTTCACTACACATAGTTTATTTTGTGGTTGGCTCTGTCCTCACTGCATTCGCCGCAAAGATTCTAAAAAACGCAATTAAGCAGCCTCGTCCAAGCCACTCATCAAACGTTCGTAGTAAAATTAGCTATGGAATGCCATCGTCTCATTCCCAGGTCATTGCATTCTTTGCTGTCTACATTCATCTAGCATTTAGTGCAAATGCTATTGAGTATTCATTAGTGCGCTCAATTCTTGTCATATTTGTTCAACTCACTGCTTTTCTTGTCGCATGGTCGAGGGTTGAACTTGGACACCACAGTCTTCCTCAAGTATTGGTTGGGTCTGTACTTGGAGCTACGATAGCCTTATTATGGTACATTCTGTGGCAGGAGATTGGATCCAAATACGAAGAAAAGTTCAAGGGAGACATATTCGTTATTGGATTCGAAAAAGCAGTATCATTAGTTTATCCTTTGTCCTATTAGAATTTCGCGGTTTAATTTATATGTATTTGGGCACCAAGTGATTTTTCTCAAAACAAACAAAATCATTAATAAATATTTATCAACTTGTAATTATCAATAATCTTTTGGGATTTTCTTCTTTAATCTATGTAGAGGAGTTTTAGGTGCGTGCATGGTTTCTTTAAGAGAAAAAGAAAAAGAAGAGGAAGAGGAAGAGGAAGAGGAGGGAAAGAAATATAGAAATGAAGGGATAGGCTTGTAAAAGGGAAGTCTTTTTTTGTTTTGTTTTTTGGGAGGCAAGAATACAAAAAAATAAGGAAAAAATAAAACATATATATAATTATGAGATGGAGATAGTCTTGAAGATATTAAAACCAGAGTTTGATGTGCTGAGAACACATCCGGGAATCTGTCTGTGCCAATGAAGTTCCTTGATCTGAGACTGGCCCTGATGAACGAATAGAAGCTGAGGAGGAATCTCAACACCATTGCTAGTCAGTCTGCCTTCTTCTTCAGTGTCGGGCTCAACAGAGAGATCCCAGAGTGTCAACTGGTCATCATCGCCAGATACAGCCAAGACCGACTCCTCGGTAGGATGCCACTCAATTGAGGTAATGGGAGCAGTGTGCCATTTGAAAGTAGCAACTGGAGAAGGTCCTGCACCTGGCCCACTAAAAGGTAGATTATATATATATTGTTAAAAGGGAATTAGATACCCCTTTCCCCCACATTTTATACTAGATATACTTCCGTGAATCCAGACTTACCCTTTGAACATACGAAGATCCCAGACGCTGAATACACCATCATCATGACCACTAGCAAGCAAGTAGCTTGCTTTCTTGTTCCATGTAATTACGTTTACGTCCGAACCGCTGGCACGAATGCTTACTGCAGAACGCTTTTTGTTACGAGTATCCCAGATCTTGACAGTCTGATCAGATGAACAAGAAGCAAACACATTACGTTCAGAAGGAGACCATTGGAGATCTTCAACTGAAGACTTGTGTTCTTTAAAAGCAACCGAATCGGTGTTGCATCCAGAGGCAGTAACAGTTGTATGGTAGATTAAACCATTGTTGTCACCACTCAAAAGGCTAATAGCACAAACACACAAACAAGGTTTCGTTTAATTTCTATGTAATCCATATCCATACTTCGTGATAAACAATTACTCACCGGCCAGTATCCAGAGGGGACCAATCAAGAGCATAACCTTCTTCACGTCCGTGGTTGTGCACAGTATAAAGAGGTTTTGCAGTCTTTGGCAGAGGAGTAGTAGGAACACTCAAGTTGTTCATATAAGGAGAGAGATCCCAAATGTGAACCTTACCAGTCTCTGACCAGGTTGCTGCAATATGATTATCCTTTTGCTGGGGCATCACTCTCAAACGGTTTACACAACCAACGTGGGGGATAGACTTATACTCCAGCACTGGATCTTCATCAAGAGCATCAGGATCCTCTTCATCGTCAGAATCTATAAAGCATATATATACAAATACATAATACACGAAAATGGTTGAGTAAACAAAGCATTCAATTGTTTGCTTGGCTGATAATGAATATACCATGCTGTTGTGTCTTGTGGAGGTTAGACATCTTCATAACCAAAATCTCGTTGTCGCGTACACCGGGAACAGAGGTACCAGCTGCTACAAATGCAGTAGCAGGGAACTTTTTTTTTTTTACAAAAAAAGTGAATATTATGTCAATTATACAGATATATAGATGGATAACTTATTTCGATAACTATATTTCACGGTATTCAACTCACATTCTTTCGCTCGTCACCCAACTTATCCTCCAAAACATCGAAACTGAGAAAAGGCAAACGAACGTCAAGGTTGTGGAGCATTACATAGACAGACTGATCAGCCTCCAAAACCTCACCCTCTTCCAAGGGTTGCCCCGGAAGATACAACTTCAACTCTTGCTCCTCCTCGTCTTCCTCTTTCTCGTCAACATCCATGCCTTATTATTATTAGGAAAAAAATATATATTTAGATATTCATAACCAATTAATAATTGTGTGTGTGTATTTTGAAAAAAGAAAATGCGCCGGCAGATCTACTATTATTACTATTCTTTTTTCTTTTTTTTTTACCTTCACCAGCCTCCTCTTCTTCCTCCATGCCTTCCTCATTTTCGGACTCTTCTTCAATCTCGTCGTCCCAAGCATCCTCGAATTCACCCATGGCATTACGTTCGGCTAATTGCTTTGCATGACTTTGGTTAGCATTGTTAATTCCATTTCCATGGCCATTCAAATCATCGTGTTCGGCCTGACGCTTTGACATGGTATAATTCTCTTTATATATAAAGATAAAATATAAAAATAAATCGAATAAGGAACAACCTCACAAGTGAAGCTTGGTAGACTATTTGACAAACCTTTTTTTTTTCCAGACGACAGTCAAAAATATTCGTGACTGTTTTACCAATTCTGGTGTATAAGATTTGACCTAAATTGATGAGGCTTTCTTGACATTCAAAAGAAGAAAAATTCAAAAAGCTTATAGTTTTTGCCTATTTAGAGATATAAAAAAGGAATAGTTTATTGTAAATCACCTTATTCATTAAAGCTACTAGAACTTTAAACACGTATTTTTATAAGAAAATAAAAAGATAAGACGATCAAGCGTATTAAATAGCAAGCTACACCCTTTTTTTTTATCAAAAAATTCATTCTTTTAAAGATCTAAGCTACAAGCTAGGATAGAAGAATAATACTTATTATCATTATAATTTTTGAATCACACTTTGAAAGATCTTTAATGCAGACCAATTCCAGTTATTTTGTGTGGCAGTACACCCTAAGAAGCTATTGTTAGGCAAGAGTAACTTGAAGGTTCATATAAATATGTATTTATTTTCAAGATATTTTCAAAGTATTTTTTGGTAAAGAAGTACAGTAGGATAAGCGGATTATCACATTTGTAAAAGAAAAATCTAAATTCCGCATTTAATTTCTTCTTAAGCTATACATATTTTATTTTAGAGTATTACATACTCTAAAGGACAGACCTATCCTATGACTTCCTAAGGTCATATGTCCTTATTATTTTACGGACTCTATTATATAGATTAGAGATATAGTACCCTTTTCTAGTAGGCATTACCAAAAGGAGAGGGTTTTAAGCAGATTGAAACACTTTCAGAAAACACTTTCATTCAATATCTCACATATGAAAATATGCATAAGAGTTTTTTATCAATATAGATTAATAGTTTGTCTTTTATTGATATAATATATCTTTATCAATTCCTTCAAAATTAAGTGAAAAAATAAAATAAAGTTTGTTAGTCGTTTAAAGAAAATTGACAATATTGAAATGACAAAACCATAGTATCTTTTGAGCACTTTTATCTAAACAAACCAAAACTAAAAAAAAATTGACATGAAAATCAACTCTGTCAATAAATCAGTTGTAATAACCGGCGTGTATCAAAACCCCACTCCACTCTATACAATTCAATATGAAAATGTGTCTCTTTTATGATATTTATGTCTTGCTACTCAATATACTTTGTCTGTTAATTTCTATTTAAAGTGTAGAAGAAAAGCTATTTGTAGTTTTTTGACAAGTTGTTTTTATGCAGAATACTGTGAGGATATATTTTGTATTATGTCAATACTTTGTTCACTCTTATTCGAATTCAAGTCATATTCTTCACTGTGAGTATGATTGCGTATGTGTATATGCGTTAACGAATGGAGGGTACGAAGCGTTCATTGATATTCAAAGTGCAAAAATGTCTGTAGATAATAATGCTTAGTTTATAAATATACCCATATTGAACTTCTTGTATACAGTCTGTGTAAATATAATGATAATATTAATTTGTGTATTCAATTCACCGCGCATTTTCTGTGTCTCTTTCAAACACATATTTCTTCATTCCCTCTCATCTCTCTTCTTTTTTTTTACTTTTCTCTCTTTCTCTCTTTCTCTTCTCAATACATCTTTACAATGTCCATCAGGATTAGCTAAATTAAGTAATATATCTCGTACCATCGGCATTCTCAGAAATTATTATGAGGCTTCCTTACAGACTTTATAGACAAAAACATCATGTACAATCAAACGCGGTAATAAACACAATGATAAAGGCATACATGTTATTAGACTATATTGTATCTTTTACTTTGCTCCTTTTCATATTTATTCGACTAGATTAATTTTTTCTTATAATTGAGCCCTCCTAATTACAACATTAACCTCTTCAATCAAGTAAAAAAAGTTTGAACGCGTATTTTTTTTATTAGAGTCAACAACAGCTTAAAAATTATTTTATTTATTTATTAAAGATATACATAAAGAAGCTATTCTATTTTATATGATTTCACTTAATGTTTTTTTTACTAATGTAAAAAAATAAAAAGCATGACACCAAGTTCTTTGTCCCCGCATTACGCGGCTCAATCTCCCTCAGGACGTAAACCTGACTTGATAGCGAAGGAGGTGTGGGAATGGTGTTAATCCGTGGCGTAAGACAACAACCGGGTTCATCCCAACTACCCTATCTCATCACTGAGAAGGGCCTGCGAACGTACCAGAGAAACCTACCACAAAGTAGCAGGGTCCAGCGTGTTCGACTACCAAGCAACGCCGTCAGTTCCAGAGAGCTTCGAACAAGGGTTTCATGAAGAGTCGGCAGTAAACTCCACTTCCTCCCCGTCCTCCACTCAATAAACTTTCATGATGCTAACTCGGCGGCAGCTTTTTTTAAACATTGCTCGTCGCCATTGTTTCAGAAATTATACAATTAAATTCACAATTCAGAACAATGTTGATCTGCGCCTCTAAGAATTAACTAAGAAGCTAGAGACGACGCACTTCCGCTTTTTCCTGCACAGAATGGAAAAAGAATGTCTCCCAATCACCCATAGGTAGCGCGTCAAACTCAACTACAGGCAATCAGGGGGTACCCGTCTCCAGAGTATAAAAAAAGCTAAAGAGAAGAAAACCGTGTCGGTTGAATGGGCTTTATTTTGATATACCCGCAGTCTGCGACTAAAGTTTGGGACTGCGCTTTTTTTTGCCAGGGGTGTTTTTTGCCTCCCACGTCAGAGCAGTGACATAGCTGTATACTCTTTTTAGTAGGATTGTGTAACTATTCTATGACAGTAATAGCAGCTTATAAAATTTAACTAAAACATCTGTGCAAAATATCTTTGCAAAGTAAAGTGAAGCAAAGAAGTAAAGAAGTAAAAATAGTAGCGAATGGTTTAGTTTGGATCGGTGTAGCAATAACTCTTAAAGTGGAGTACAAGTTTCTATAACGGAGATTCGTAGGTTACTCTAAGCTGGTCTGTGCGCTTTTTAGAGTGCCCAGGTTTTTTTTGCTTGTACAAGTAGACACAAAAGAGACCCAACAAGTACTAGAAAATAAATCCACGTATATTTCAAAATGATATTATCCGACAAGTAAGGTGTAGAAAAAGAAGCAGAGTATATATCTATATTATCCGGATCTCATTACAATACGGTAGGGGCGTGATTTTGAACTAAAGGCTGAGTTTTATTGAAATGAAGTTATACCAATAGTTGAAAGTAGCAAGATTTTTTCTCAAGAGAATGGGATTACTATCGGATGCTTAGGTATTATTATGCAAGATATAACATATGTTCACTGACTTTTTTAAGAGCTCTAAATAGGAATGGTAATCATATATAGATAAAAAATGAAAGAAATTAGGAAATTGATACTACTGAAGAAATCGAAGTTTAACATTTTATTAGGAGGGGTAATTGGTACCGGAAAGTCAGCTACCCCAGACTATGTAGTATAAATTAAATACTGAGGGTTCTGTTAGGGATATGGCCAAAATAGAGTATAACCTCACCTTCGGTTTACTCGAGATCAATCTCAAGTTTTTTATGAACAAGGTTGATTAATCGATAAATGCAATACCAATTTTGCAACAACAATGACTGAATACTTCACTAAAATATACAGTTAATGCTATAGTGATGATGCTACTTACAAAAAAAAAATTGAGTCAGTTATTTTAGCAAATTTTAAACTTTACAAAGAGAAATCACATAAAATGATGATGGTGTAATTTTCATAGGAAAAAAAAAAGATTCGTATTATATATCTCTTTATTAAATAATAAAATATTTATTTCTTTAAGCTTGTTCTTTTTGCTTTGCTTTTAATCTATTAGCGTTTAATACTAAAGAATTCTAAAATTCTAAGAGTAACAGGTATAAGCAATATTATTTTGTCTCTTTAATAAATAACACTCTCACAGTATCTACTTATCCCATTATTGAGATACTAACCTAATAACAATCTTGAATACCTCAGCTCTAATAAATTCTCTCAGAGTGGGTAAGAATGCTTGCATCACAAATAGATGATGCTGTCATCTTTATTGGCGTAGAAAAATATTTCAAGGGCATACGCGTTTGTTTATTTGTATTTCCCTTCCTTTAGGTCTGTCTACGTTTACACCAGGTAAGCAATGGATATAAAGACCACTTGCGTGTTAAAGCCAGCTCAAATATGTCTCTTTCGGTGTCATAAGTTAACCTGAACATATTTTCGCCTTTTTCCTCTTTAAAGAGGCGCTCCATATTTTCAACTTTGACAGATTCAAGAAAATGAGAGAATGGCTAATACTACCAGCCTCATGAACTTAACTTTGAGCAAGATCTAACTTTTTATTTGTTATTTGCAATAGACTAACAGTCAAACATAACTAGAAGCCTGGAAAAACAATCCTGTTCTTGTTCTTGTGGGAAAGAATCTGTTGCTAATTGCCATGTTTACTACTTACCAACTTGACGTGAAAAGATGCTAATGTGTTTTGTCTGCATATTTTTCTTCCAAAAAAAAATAGCGGTCCAGCGGGCGAGTTCATTAAAGTGCGCAAGTACTTTGGTGGACTCCATAATCAGTGAGTAATCGTTCCAAAACATAAGCTAAAACAAAACAACTCAGCACTTTACCTTGTTCTTGTTTTGTATATACGAGGTTCAAGCCAACAGATTAACCTTCGGGACCCTGACTGAGCTCTGGTGGTGTCCAGGATTCTGAGTACGAGGCTGAAGGTTTCAAGGATATTAGTTTAGAATTAGAAGATGTGGGTTTAAAGGAATTGCGTCCTCATTACTTTTTTTTGACGATTGGCTAGTCGTCCTTCACTTTGGTGAGCTGATCCACTGGGTGTCGTATGAGTGAGATGGCCCAAACTTCGTAGTGTGTTTTTAGTTAAATTTTTTCTCGTTGGGCTCGTATTTTTTCTCCGTGTTTGGTTTTGCAGGTACATACTTTTATATTTCTTTCTTTCTTTATTACAGCAGATTTTGAAGCACAAGAACAAGATGCGGAACATTGATAGACTCTCCTGGATGGGCATTTAGGATGCATATACTGTATTTTCTTTTTGATCAATAAATAAATCAATGCATATATGAATAAATATTATTTGCAGTACTGTATAAGTTTAACGTTGTGCAGTTCAGTGTTGCTTTAATATCTTTATAATTGCATATCTACAAATCATAAGCTTTTTTTTACATAACGGAAAGGGGTGATTTAAGAGGCAATTATAGTATACGCTTTTTGAAAGAAAGAAACCCTCCTGTCTTGACCCTTTACTTTTAATTGAAAGTATTTTATTTTCGTTCTCTTGCGAAAATGACCTTTTCAAAACACGTCGATATGTACTTTCCACATTTTATAGTTGCATTTTAATTAAATAATATGCCATAATATTCCTTTTTACAATTAAAAATCATTAGCTTATTTCATGGCCATATTCACTTACTATGTGTTCATTTGTATATACTTTTTTAGTTTTAAATTTGAATGGTTGTTGTAACAGAAACCAATTTTTATTTACCATAATTTCTGGCTACTGATGCTCAATCATCGTATGTTTTCATAGTAGGCATTTTATTCAAGTGTACTTACCATGCAATTCTCGTATTATTTGGTATCACATGGAGATACACATTGCTTAGAATAGACAGCTTTCTTCTGTAAGATTCGTTAAAACAATAGGATTTTCTTTAAAGATAATTACACGTTCGAGAAAAACACGCACCTCTTGAACAGTTTAACCCATATTCAGGTAGAAGTCAGAGCCTTGCAAGAAAGAAGAAAGACCAGATATTTATTGAGAAACAACCTAAGAGTATGAAGTGGTCCCTTCTTAATCTTTGGCGAGTTAATTAAGGTTTTGATTTGACTTTGTAAGAATGTTACTATGGAGAAAAATACATGCCTAGGTGTGTACCTTTACTTTCCCCGGTAGAAATATATAAATGTTCATAAAAATGAAGGGTGGGAAAAATACACCCTTAAATATATACCTTTTCTTATAGTGTTAAATAAGGTACACACTAAATAGGCTACAATATTTAGGATTGTTTGTAGTGTACACACAAATAGAGATGAATTATTACAACAAATATTACTCCATACTCACACGCTCATATTAACTATCATATTTTCTGTGTCTTTAAAAGGCCTAATAAACTTTGTGATATTCTTTACAATGTCTGTAAAATGTAATTATGTCTTCTATTATTTTTTGTTACTGATGATTTTTTAAGCTTATTAAATAACAATACTTTGGTCGATGTAATAAGGTAGGGAGAATCGATTCTTTTGTTCTCAGGTTTAGAATGTATAGACTAAATATCGTTTTGTAGTGAGGGGATATTTTTAATGGGGATGGGGATGGGGGGTTTAGGAAAAGAAATGCTTCATTGCGTGAGTGTAGTTAACGGACAAAGTATATGGGGGTGGAAAAAGGGCGACGCAGAAGGAAAGCAAAAATACATGTATGAATACAATAAAAAAAAGAGAGAATAATCAAAGGGGAAAGGGGGGAAGGGGAAGGGGGGAAGGAGAAAGGGGATGTATTTTAAGGAAAAAGATATAGAAAAGAATAAACGGGATGCGTTACCAACCCAGTCCAGCGTCACCTCAAACTTTCTCAATCTTGTATATGTATACACAGAGAGCTATTTACTGGCATGCCCGCTTAATCATCTATTACAAAAAGTCAGTTAAAGATAATACAGTCAGTTACAAAACTACAGACTCAAACGAGCAAATAAATAAAGTAAAGAACCAAAAGTATATACCTCTTTAGCCCATCGAGCAGTCTCCTTTGTAGATTGTCCATAATGACGGCTCACTCTAGCCTCACGCAGGATATGGCCAACCCATTCTGCAGAGTAGAATTGTTTCAAGTGGGTTCCGAATGTCTCGGCAAGATCGCTTTAATCAACACATTTCAGGTCAGCCAACTGTCAATATACAATATTATTTTTTTCAAAGCTTACCCCATTAAGCCAAGCAAAGAGCGTGTAAGAGAATCAGAGCGGTTGGTGTCCATTGCAAGTGAAGACATAAATTGGAAGATGCTAGGAACGTAAGGCAACAATACGGATGCTAACAATGTATCATAGTAAAGTCAATTAGCCTTGTTATATCATGAGGACCTTTTTTTTTTATAAAAAAAATATTTACCTTTTCCACTGCTATTCATTCCCTGAACAATACCAACATATGCCTCAACATTGCCCTCTTGCAATGTGTTTACATAATCGATCATATCATAGTTGTCTGCATCAGCACGCATTCCACCAGCCTGCTGCAAAACCATCATGACAACTTCAAGGAAAGGCTCGAACTTGTCTCCAATGGCAAGTGCTATATCACCAAAACAAGACAGAATGCATGGCTTTACACTACGGTGAAGAACAGGGCTTTGAAGGTTGTTCACCAGGAGGTTCATAAATATATTGCAATAGGGAGCCCATCCAGGTCCAAGGGCACGGCAGATATCGCCAATAATGCCCACAGCAATGAAGCACAGTTGGTATTCAGCAGGGTTTTGCAATGCTGCGCAAAGAGCAGGAGTAAAAGGTTCAACATAGCGATCAAAGTCGTTCTCAAGAGCGCTGGTAAGAGCACCAACAGCCAAAAAGGCATCTTCAGTAGCGGTAGATTGCTTAGGGTTGCTCAACAGGCGCATAATTACGGCCATGATACGATCGGAAACAAAGCTAATATCACGCGAAAGACGACGGATGCAGTTGGTAAGAACACCGAGTAAACTAGATACCAATTCAGAGTGATCTGCTCTTTCATCAGAACCGACAATCTGGCTTTCCAATGAAACACTGGCATCCAGACGGTCCAATATGGTAAGGGCAATGCTCTGAACAACAGTGATACAATCATTGGCTGAGTGCATGACGAGAGTAGCGATTGCTTCGTAGGCAGAGGTTCTGCAATTGGCCTCGTTGTCGCATCGGTCGGTAAACTGCAAAAGAGCAGTGGTAATACCCTCATAGTACATGGAAAGGGGAGAGGTTGGCACCTCGTCACCAAGAGAAGGACCCAATTGTTCGGCCAAACTCATCAATGCCTAAAAGAATTCGAGAAAAATTAAAGTCCAGCTTTTAATAAACCTTATTCAATTAACTAAATAAAAACTTACCCAGCAGCAGTTGCTGACAATACGAGGGTTGTCCTGGAGACCGAGCACAAGAGCAGTGATGAGTTCGTGGAAGTATTCCTTGGGTTTAATGCAGTCGATTAACAATTCAGAAACACGGCCAAGAGTCCATGCAACAGTGTCCTTCACATTAACGACAGGATCTCTCATCATGCTGATAAGAGCAGGAAGGGCCTACGGGTGGGTATTCATGTAAATATACATGTGTATAACAAGATTACAGTGATAATATATATATGTATATAATATTATCTGGATTATTACCTGATTGACCAGAGGCTTGAGCATTTCGTTATCAGGACCCTCAAGAATAGAACCAAAAGCCATAACAGCAGCCTCGCGGTTTCTCCAGTCAGCATCCTGAATGTTGCTCTCAACAAAAGGAACGACAGGTCCAATTATAATATTTCCAACACATTGAGCCAGCAGCGATAAACAGGTTGATGCAGCCATCGAAACAGTCCATTCGTCTTCATCTTCATCTTCCTCTTGCTTGGTGAGCAACCAAAGAAGAACGGGCAAAATATCACCAAGAGCTCTTTCGGCGAACATATGGACAGTGCGCTCTGGTTCTTCACCAGCATCTTGTGCCTAAATGAATCAATATATATATATATATATAAAGTATAATGTGATTAGAAACTTTTTCTTTCTTTCAAAATAAATCCTCAAAGAGCATAATCGCACATTTCTACATCCACACAGAAGTCCACCCAATGATTGTGTTGATTATATATGTACGTATGTATGTATGTATGTATGTATGTATGTATGTATTTATACCTCATAAGCTTCTTCCTTCATAGCCAATTCTTCATCACAGACAGTAGACCAGAACTCAATAGCCTGCAATTGGACCTTTTCATCTGGGTTTCTCATTCCTTGGATGGTAAGCTATTATATACAAAGTCAGAAAATCGTAAAAAAAAAAAGAAACGATGTGTTTTCCAAACAATAACTTACTGCAAACAGAGCAGACTCCATGTAAACACGCATGTAGTCATAGTAAAGTTGCATGATCTTTGCAAGACACTCGAAAGCAACAGCCTGAACTTGGCTGGATTCGCTTTGGGTAGCACCACACATCACTTCCATAATGAAATTTCTCTCAGACTATATAATAATAATAATAATTTTATCAATCTCTGTTTCTACACCCCACTTACTGGTACAGGTTATTTTGAGGAAATATTTACATCGCGTTCAAAGTTGGCTTTAATGAATTCCAAAGAGTTGTACATAGCACGCATAGCAGCAAGTCTGACTTCCTGACTGTAAAAAAAATCATGAGTTTAAAAATAAACAAATCAATAAACTACTTTAAAGAAATCAAGTTTGTCAAGGGTTATTTTTGTTTCCTTACTCTGTCTCCTCCTTGCGAGCTCCTTGCATAATAGCAGTCAAGATCTGGTTAGACTGATTTGCCAAAACGTCGGGGTCCTGATAGAATCATATGTTTAATATACAAAGAGAAATAAGAAAAAAATATTAAGGATATGATGTATACATGTACACATATCACTATCGTTTCGACTTACTGTAGCTTCGCAGATGTAACCAATAGCCTGCAAAGTGGATTGTTTCAAGTTGGTGTTGTTTGCTACAGTCACATTGTCTAGCAGAATCTGGATCAGATCTGGCCACTGGTATTTAGGCAATTCGATTTCTGCAATAGCAGCAACAACCTAAGCCAGAAACAGTAAATGTCTAAATGTCCCTCTGTTTCTCCTTTTCTCTCTCTCTCTCTCTCTATATATATATATATATATATTCGTTCGTTTATGTAATATAGTTTACCTGCCCAGAAATCTTGCCAACTGTCTGTCGTGGCGCAGTCAAGGATACAAGTGCCTATAAAAATCCACACACAAAATCAATATTAATCTCCAGCCAATTCTTATTTTCAGTTATATCACAAACTAGCTTTTAATATGATAATAATAATGGTAATAATAGTGGTTCTTTTCTTGTGTTTTACCAATTGCTTAATGTTGGCTCTAACGTTTTCAGCCATAGCTAACCAGCGGTGAGCACACTCCTGTTTACGAGCATATTCCTATAGATTGTAATAATTAAATCACCGAAATTCTTCAATATCTTAATTTCTCTTTCTATCTCTTCTGTTTTTGTTTATATTCTTATTTCTCTCTTCGCTATTTCTTTATTTGTGTTTTCTCTCTCTTTCTCTCTGCTTACCTTTGCTGTCAACGTGTTCTTAAATGCAAGGCCTGCAGCCTGGCGAATAGCATCGTCTGCTTGGTCGTTTGCCAAAAGTTGGGCTAATAAAAGCGCGTAATTCTCCTAATCAAGATCAATGATTGATAAGTTTGTGTGATTCAAATGGTACATAATTAACCATTGCGTAGTACATACATAGTTTTCTTGAGCGAATAGCTCCAACTTGTGAGTAGCTTCCTCACGAAGAGTAGCATCTACAAAAAATAAAACAAAGAATCAGTTGTCAGAAAATAAAGATAAAAAAGAAAAGAGATAGAGAGATAAAAGAAAAACTGTTGTGTAGGTGAGATCAGATATTTACTGGGAGATAGTGTGTGTGAGAAGAGGGTGGCAATGTCCATGATTGTGTCAAGTCTCAAATATCTATCTGGAATGCAAAATATTAATATTAAGAATAATATTAATATTAATATTAATTATAAAAATAAATAAATAAAATAACGCAAAGTCTGACTAAAGGGCTGGATAGTTTAGGCTTTTTTTAAGCTTTTTTTCCATTGATTATTTCCATAATGTCTAAATATTTGAGTAAGGCAATAAAGCAGAAGCAGTCAAAATGAAAAAGACGTAGAAGAAGGGAAAAAACTCACCAGGACTAAGGTGAAAGAGAGGAAGCAAAGGACGATGAAGCCAGAGACACACGTTTAGGCTGATGTAGGGCACAATGCTGCGTTCTTGATAATGAGTGCGAAAAAAAAATTAGAGTGTTGCGTCATCACAGAATGTGACCATTATTGCAGTGTTACACTTCTAATCGGAGCTGTGGGTGCTTTTGGCAATGAGATCAACTGGCCCATTGGAGCAAAAGTTCGTATCCAGTGCTTAAAATAACAATAATAAACTCAGAAAGAACTTGAGAGAACTTCATTAATACATGTGTGCAAATCATATATGTATATGTATATAATATATAAATATAAATATGCAATAGCTTATGGTTGTATGAATAAAGAAGTAATAGGACCAAAAGAAACTTTCATAGTAACAAAAAAAGGTTTTTATAAAATATATATAATTTCTTTTTTTCTCAAAATCCAGGCATTGATATATATATATGTATGTAAAATAATCAATTTCAATTAAAGAAATCGTCTGGCTACTGCCTTGACCCGTACATCAAATTGCTGACTAGTTATTGGAAAGTTCTTTTCATAAAAGGGGTTCATCAAAATCTATACACACACACCTGTAAGTACATAGATTAAATTTGACCACATAAATTTGCATTACCTTGATGTAAAGTTCGTATATCTCATTAAAAAAGTTCTTGATGCTGTCCTCTGATTTCTGATCGTGTAATAGCATTAATTTGACATCTAGAAATAGACACATTAAAAGAGTAAAGGAGTATACGTGTATACGTGTATATATATATGCATATATATCTATACACCAATATACACAAATGATAGTCAAAAGAAGATTTAATGCCATATGTGCATATAAAAGGATACTTCCAGCAGTAACGAAAGATGACACAAAAAACTCATTGAATCGATCGATGGATTTCAGGTACCTTGAAGTTTTAGACATTTACTTAAGCATGCATAAAAAAACATATAATTATCATTTACATCGCCTGACTGGTCCACTGAATTTCCTCGACAACATCTAATGCAGCATGAGTTATGAATTGGTTGAGGTGCTTGTGGTCGTCTCTCTGCAGGAAAAAATGAGATGGGGGAACTGTGGAAGACCAAGCATATCCAGACATAAAATTATGTCGCTCTTTAATAATCTACCCTGCTAATGTCGATGAGAGTGGATGACCTCGAAGAAGGAGTTATGTCTGCTTCGTAAATTGGATTGTCGGTTGCACCCACGATAGCAAAATAATAGACCGACATGATATGCTTCTTGTCTCTTGACCTTATAAACTTACCCACTTACTTTGGTGTGTGGTGCATCTATCCAAAGTTTAAAATAAAATAAAAACGGGAATTGAAAGCCAAATGACATCAGCGATTTGTTCTGCTTCAAGAGAGATCGCCTTTTTCTTTTTCATTCAAGCAAAAATGATCTTTTTCAAAAAGATAAGTATATATATATACTTATTATTATCATAATGGGCAATTGCGTGTCTGTGTGTATATGTGCTTTTCTTATTAAAGGGCAGAACAAAGTCTTAATCCAATAATGACCAATATGGACAATAGAATAGATAATGTTTCTCCAATAAATGGTTTGAATACATCAAATGTAATTCATAGTAGATAAAGAAGTATATATTTATATATATTTGTGTGCAAGAACCCTTTATTTAAGTCCTGTGTGATTGTTCCTTTCTCTTTAATTAAGAATCGGTGATCATATGTTCCAACCTCAGTGAATTACAAGATATTCTAAAATAAACCTAATAGTTTACTAGTTATCTACAAATAAGCCTTGAATGAACTTTTGTAGAAAGTATAAGTAGCATTATTGGTTATTTCAATTTTACATATATATATATTTATATATTAAATTGTTGATGTATAACGATTGATATCGTCAAAATATTGCTAGTAAGACTTTCTTGTCTTTACAGAGACATTAGTAACATTGGTCAAGTTGGATTGTTCAAAGTCACAGTATAATTTCTTTGAAAGCACCTAAAAAGACAATTCATTCCTCTCATCATGGCCATTATCGAAGAGATTATCGAACAGGAGGTACCAAAGGGTAAACTCATTCCATGTAGATATTCTGGACTCTTTTGGCATGTAATGTATATGTATCTTAACAAACTTTGTAGTCTCCCCTAAAGCAGAACAATCCAAGCCAACACCCGCTCAGAGTGATCAAAATGACAATAAAAAAGACAATTCATCAGCACCATTGTCAAATGACAATAGAGCTGTAGCCGATGAAGAAGATGATCTATTCTTTGATTGCGAAGAGCACCAACCTGAAGAACTAAAGGTATACAAATTACTAAAATTAATAATAATAATAATAATAATTATACTAAACAAAAATAACAAGAACAAGCACCAAGAATGACAATAGTACGAATAATAAGGCTCCTCTTATTTTATCTGACATTCTTTATTTCTTCAGCGCTTGATCGAGGAAGCAAATGAATACAAGACACTTGGAAATCAGGCCTTTGCAAGCTCAGAATTTGAGAAGGCTATTGGGGAATATGAGAATGCTTTGGTAGTCTCCCCGTTGTCTCAAAAAAAAGATAGAGCAATTTACTTTGCAAATATTGCTGCATGTCATCTCAAATTGGTAAATTGGTGATATACAATCATGAATATATATATATATATATATACATAAAAGAAAGACTACTTAATATTTTTATATGGTTTTTTATTAAGGGTAAACCAAAAGATGCAAGGGATATGTGTACTCGAGCCATTGAATTGGATCCTGAATATACCAAGGCTTTATTACGAAGAGCTCAGGCTAATGAAAAGATTGGGTCTTACACAGCACTATCCGAAGCACTAGAGGACTATAAGACACTTGTCAAAACACCTAACTTGGATGCCTATACACGGAAAGAATGTACTAGGGCAGAGAGGACCTTACCAGACATTATCAAGGTCCAAATGGAGAAAGAGAAAGATGAAATGATGGGCAAACTAAAAGATCTCGGAAATACTCTCTTGGGAAAGTTTGGACTTTCGACTAATAATTTCCAGTTCCAACAAGATCCTAACTCGGGCGGTTACAGTATGAATTTTGTTAATGGAGATAATAACCAGCCATCCAAATCATCTTAAAGTTAAATAATCGAGATGAGTTTCTTTATATTTGATTATCCTTTCTTTTGCTGTGTTAACTTTCATGCACTATATCTAGTAAAATAAAGTCGCACCTGATGAGAACATTTGTTGCATTTCCAGTATGTGTGCTGTTAAATAAGTGTTTGCCTTTTATGTATATGTGCTATATGAAATATGTCAGAGTTATTCTGCTAATGTTTTCTCTTTGTATCATAACTAAAAAATGTGCATTTCTCATATTTAGTAGGTAATTTTTTGTATGAATATGTAAAGGAAACTATTGTTAATGAGTATAAAATATCCAAACCCTATAAACTATATTGTTGATGAGGGAAAGTGTAGTCTTAAACCAACACGTTTTTTTAGATGTAATATTTCTCTCTTCTTTTACCAACCCCCTTCTCTGCTCCAAAAAGAAAGAGGGAATACAAAAGCTGGTACCGATATTTTTGGGAGAGAAACATAGGCTTGGTAGAATTATATGCTGTATATAAATAAAGTCTCAACAAGATACTTCAAGCTACCATTTCAAAAAGCATACAAGTGCTTCAGCTGCTACGAGTCACCTGTATTGAAAAAGATGATAAAACAGCCAAGCTAAGTATTCGTAGAATGCAATGTATCCAAAATATGTTGATTTTCTTGATATTATACTGTACTCAATATTATTAAAAGATCTTGTTTACTACCATATAAAATTGTTTTTTTGTGAAAATGTCGGTTTTTGTTAGGATATAACATCTTAATATGGTAGAGAGGGTATAGACCTGGGGGAATTTTCCCATTGAATTACACCAGCGTTCGAATAAGACCCTGCATTTTTGAAGGTAAAAAAAAATGAAAATAAACCAATTTAACTCTCAAACTCACAGAGAAAAGTGTTCAAGAGAAAACTACTAAACCACCAAGAGCTGTAAGAATCGATTGCGCAACAATTATTATAGCGACCGATAAAGAGAAAAGTTTATAAGGACAAGTTATATAGCTATGCTTGCAAGGGAATATGGTGTTGATATATGTACTGCTAAAATATTATGGAAAATTTACAAAAATACTGTGAATGTGTTATATAAAAATAAATTAAAGATTAACTAGTGACCTAAAAAAAACCCTCCTCTAGACATTAAGAACATACATATGGAACATTGAGTAACCAAGATCGTCGATTTTTTGGTCATGAAATCCTAAAGGGCTTGGTCAACTATCTCTATATTATGGCTTAAATACTACAATGTTTTTACTTAACATTAAGATGAATCAGATGTAATGCTTTAAAAAAAATTCAAAGAAATTTAAACGAGTCTGTACTTTTTTTTAGACGAGATCACATTACAAATTGAATCAAACAAGATATTTCATTAGACAGTTTTTTTTGTGCAATTGTTAGTTTGAGACTTTACGATTTTATCAAAATCAACATATAATTGTTTTCTGAGAACATGATCTTCGTATAAATACATTTTATATGATTTTATCCTAGCGTCTTTATTAAAAAATAAATCTCAAAAATGTCTTGTTTATCTCAATTAGCAAGAAGAATAATAAAGCCACCTAAAAAAATATTAGATACACCGTATTTAATGGAAAGGACTGGACTAGAAATAACACAAATTAGAATTCTCTGAATCGTATTTTCTAGCAAGTAAAGCTAATGGGTTAGAATCTAAAAGGCTGTTGACTTGGAGAAAGTTACAAGTCAGGAGCTTTATATCCTGTTATTCCCTTCAGTACCATCTCCAGAAATAATGATACCTCATGATAGTATTAACATTACGATTCACTACAGTGGTCCCTCGATAATTTCAAGGCCAAAGGGGGGACTAGGCGCCTTGAAACTATCGAAGATTGAAATTAAAGGGGATTGAAATTATCGAGGGACCACTGTATTTAAGCGTTGTTTGACATTTATTGTTTGAATATTGATCGAACCGTCCTATTTTTTCACTCTAAAAATCCATATTTGATGCCAACTTTTTCTCAGGGCAAGTACCTCAAAATTAATTGGAGATTTGTGTATTTTTTTTTACTATGTAAAGTTGTGTGAAATCCAAATCAATTTTAGACAGTGCTTATCTGACAAACAGCAAACAAATATTCATGGAGATATCAATAGATTTGAAGATGGAAATGTCAATATTTCCCCCACTAAATAATGTTTTTTAAATGTTCGACAACAAAGTGTGTGCCCCAAAAAATTGGTCTCACTGTGCGATGGCAGACTTTGTAATGATTTAGCACAGAGTGTTATCAAGATAATAATGAAATGTATATTCTTACAAGAGGTTCTAGTATTAGAGTATGATAATTTTCTGCTATATATATATATATATTATGTTTCTTGTTATTATTTTCCAAGCTAATAGGCACAATATCCTTTAAAAAAGCGAGCGTTTCAAGAAATTCACTGAGCGCAATGTAGTGCATATTATGGTAGCTATATTCTTTTTATCACTACCACTATACCGAGTTTTGACTGTTTAGATAATATATACTGTTTTTATAGTTTTTTTAAAAAAGTACTCTGCTGGCAAATGAAAAAGAGGCTTTTTATTGTTGAGATGCTTACCTACAAAAGCCATGGTATCAAATGAGAAGCTTGACTTCCAGGCCTAGGATTTGGGTTTCGTTGTACCGGATTCTTTCCGATATTTTATGGCATTATTGATTGATATTTGAGGGATCCTTTATGTATATCGCAATATTGGTTAGGGTACGATTAATATGAGATAGGCAATCAACAATGGTATGCCTGGGCTCAAGGATCGAATTGTAAAGAAGTGCTTATGTAAATAGAAAAGAGAAAGAAAGAAAGAGATAATAATTTTGATTCGGTAGAATGATAATGATTTTTGTCGGCATTTATGATTTTAAAGCCGAGAGTAAGTCAAAAAAGGAGATCAGTGTGATACAAAAAGGCTATATCTCATTTCAACTGTAGATAAATATACCCTTCGGATACCCTTTCAGTTATCAAGGGTTGGATTTTGAAGTTTGAATAAACATAGATATACAAGATAGTTATAGATACATATGAATTACTAGCCAAGCATTTACTTGACAACCTACCCATAATTCAACAAGGCATACTTTTAGTGTAATGATGTCTTTGATGGTTTGCTTGGCTTATTTAGTCTATGCAACCAAATGCAATAAAGTTTATGGCATTTATATATAATCTTTATCAAATGCAAAATAATAATAATCAATTAAAGTACCGAACCACAATTTAAAAAATAATAATAACAATACGATAATGCAAAGTGTATATATATATCAACTTCTTTTTCCCTCTTTACTCCCTCGACAGTTTCTCTCTCTCTCTCTCTCTCTCTTTCTTTTATCTTGCCCGTCACTTCTCCATGTCTTTTAAGCGTATTGAACACACCGATATCCCAAACTCTGAGCTAGTAAAATGCATAGGTAAATACACAGATACACACACAAATCAAAGGCCTCTACTCACTTACCCTTATTCAATTTATTTATTTATTTTAAAAAAAAATGTGTTTTTAGACTTGACAAGTGCTGCTCTTGGTAGTTCGATTGTTGCTGTCAGTGATGAATTCTTTGGAAAAGCTGAAAACTTAATAAGCCCAGCAAGCCCTATTCATAAACCTGATCATTTTGTTGGTAAATATTCCTTTAAAAGTTATATGCGTGTATGTGCGTGTGTGAATATTTGCTCGGCTCAGTCTATAACACGAATATCCAAAACTTATTTTTATTTTTTATTTTTTATTATTTTTCTCGGCCCTATTTCAGACACCGGTTATTGGATGGACGGATGGGAATCAAAACGCCATTGTCGTACTCATGACTGGTAAAGTAGTAGTTGTAGTAGTCAGCGCATCAAATACTTTGAAGGGCATATAATATTAATATCTGTGCTTGTATCTTCTTTTATGTAAATTCTTAGGGTCATCATTAAACTTGGATTTCCTGGATCTTTGAGTGGATTTGACATTGACACCAGTTACTTTATTGGAAACCAAGCATCAGCTGCTAGTGTAGAGGCTACATTTGCGCTTGATGGGGAGGATGTAGAGAGCAAGAACACCAAATGGACTACAGTACTTCCCAAGGTCGATCTCCCTCCAAACTCTCACAATGTGTTTGTACTTTCCAAGTCAGCACCTGTCTGTACTCACATTCGCCTCAACAACATTCCTGATGGTGGTATTGCTCGTTTCCGTGCATATGGAAATGTCAATCCTATCTTACCCAAGGACCCTTCGTGAGTACATTCGAGCACTTTCCACTTCCCTTATCAAACGAAAAAAGGAAAAAGTCAACGTTCTAAAATAACCTATATGGATAGGGATGTGATTGACTTGGCATTTGTCGGTAATGGAGCCAAGATTACACAAGTCAGCAACCAATTCTACACACCTGCTAGCAACCTTTTACTTCCAGGACGCGGAGTACATATGGGAGACGGATGGCAGACAAATCGATCTCGTCAGCCTGGAAACTCGGATTATGTTATTATTCGTCTTGCGACCAAGGGGCACATTCTCAAGATTGAGCTTGATACTTCTCACTTCAAAGGAAACTTCCCTGACAAGGTTACGCTACAGGGCACAAACTCGGCGGAGGATATTCCTCCTTTAGGTTCCAAATGGACAGTCCTTGCTGATAATGTTGAAACTGGACCCCATGGATTGTTCTATTTTGATTCTCTTGTTCCTAAAACTGCATTCACTCACGTCAAGCTGATAATTATTCCAGGTAAAAAGAAAAAGAAAAAAGACAAAGAAGAAGAAGAAATTGGGCTTTATTCTTATTATTGTATTAGATGGAGGATTGAAGCGAGTTCGTCTTTGGGGTGTTCCTGAGGGTGGAAAGATCCCTACCTTACCCATCAAAATCCCCTCTCTCCTCAACAAGCCCATGATGATAGCTCAACCTTTGACAAGAGAGGATTTTGCACCTTACGGTGATGTGATCCAGGCTAGTTCTGGGATTGCTGTCACAAGTGCCAACCAAGGCACGGCTGAGAAATACCATCAGGTTGGACAGGTTATCAATGAGTTTGCAAAAGGTAGGGGACGGTCCCATCTGTCTGTCTTTCACTGCAGACCGATAACCGAGATCCCTTTTACTGTCAAACTGCTTGAGAGACATCCTTACTCTAGCCAGGCATTTATACCCATGACTGATGGGCGGGTCCGTGGATATCTTGTGGTGGTGGCCTTGAACGGAGAGGATGACAAACCGGACATGAAGACACTCAAGGCGTTTATTGCATCATCGACCCAGGGAATTAATTACAGAGAAGGCATCTGGCATCATCCAATGATCGCCCTGGAAAACGAGACTGACTTTGCGTGCCTGGTGCATGAGAGCGGAATTCCAAAGGATGATTGTAATGAAGTGGATGTAGAAGAGGTTGTGGTGGATATTCCAGGATTCCATGCATAATAAAGAAGAAGAGAATCGTTCACACTAGTTCATAATAAATCATAATAAATCATAATAAATCATAATAAAGCAAACAAGCGAATAACATAACTTCTTTCTCTTTAATTACTTTTATTATTCATTATTTTATTCTCTGCCTAAAATTTTGTGAATCAGATATGAATATGTATAGTACACACAGTTGAGATAATGTATTTCTTGCTTTGATATTAATATTAATATTGATCTTAGTATTGGTGAAATCATTAAACGGTTGTCGTAGGATTTACTGGTACAATTCTGCATTGTAAGGTGTACCAAATAAGTATTCCCAGCTCTTTGGTGGAGTCCATGATCCAGAAGCGTCTACAAAATCCAGGCAAAAATAAATTAATTGTTAATGTACTACTTGCGTTTCATATTTTCTCTCTTTATCTTCCTTATCTTTCTTTCTTTGACAAACTCTTTATATTCCGTATGTATATGTATATATAACTCTACCTTTGTTAGACTTCAATTCCAAAATAGTGTTGACAAAATTGACAAATGCAATACTATCTGATACATTGTCTAAATGAAGAAGAGTATTATCGTTATTATTTGTATTAGAAATATATAAGAGGTGCACATCCTTTTCTTTTCTTTTTTCTTCTTCTTTTGGATTTTATTGTAGCCTGTTTTTATCATTAATATTGTTTTCTTACCACCTTCCAAGGCAAACATACTCAGGATAGTTGCCGGGATACCCGATTCTTTGAATTTACGGAACAAGTGTCGTGCTAATCCTGATCCAGGCAAGGAAGGAATTACAGACTCTTTTTCTTTCTCTTCAGATTCATCGACCTGTTCCAATTGAGGTACACCCAGCGAGATCGCATGCTCACTCAACTGGCTCTTGCCAGTTCCTAGAACACGAAAAGGTACACTACCAGAAAATAACAGGAAAAAGAACAGGAATAGGTAAAAAAAAAAAAATAGAGAGATGTTAAACATTAGACAACTGGATTGGATTCCCATTCATTTACGATTTATTTGTTTTTACCTATTGATTTGTGCGTCAATACGACGAGATGCATCTATGCTTGTCAATAAAACCACCTGGCTAAATTTGTGCACCTTTACAAATTCTCGAATATTCTCCAAGAATTGCTGCTTCTTTCCCTATCAATGTATGTGCACATATGAGTATATATGTATAATTCATTCTTATTCTTATCATTATCATTAAAAAAAAAGAAATGTGCCTATCTACCTTTTCTGTTGGTGCTCTTTGTTGTACAACTGTCCACTTGTGGTCCGAAGATTGAAATACTATAAAGAAAAAGAAAAAGAATAAAAATTATGTTACAATTATAAATACAGGTAAATTTCGGCTGCGGGTAGAATTACGTATACACACACATATATATATATATCTACATTACCTTCAATAGGCACCGATACACCAATACCTCCAGTCTCTTCCCGTGCACCTGCTACAGGCAATACAGAGTCATCGTCGAGGAACCCAACGCGATCGAGATGTAAGGTGTGAATGATGAGGTCGCAAGTCAATTGGGGTACATTTCCAATCGACACTGTTGGCTATTTAAATAAAGTTTTATTATATAAAATCAAATTAAATAAAAAAAAATGGCGATAAAGACTATAAATATATGCGTGTGTGTACATAAATTGTACTTGTTCAAGTATGTGTCTATTCTACTCACGAGTACAAGAGTTGAACCCTCAAGATCTTTTTTATTAAAAGAGGGTGTTGCTACAAAAGTGTCCATGTTCAATAGTAAGAAGATAAAAGTGAAGCAAAGAAATAAGAAAAATAAGAGCAAAAGAACAAGAAGCAAACGCAAACTTGAGAGAATTAGGTAAAAGGGACGCGACATCACTTGTCTCAAGAGGAAAGCAGTCCCACGATCAATGCATCCTTTCACTTTACTTTATTTTTACTTTCATGGCTTCTTCTGTCATACAACCTGACTCCCTCACAGGGGAATATCTTATAAAGGGCCATACAAACACATCATCTACTCCACCCACTAGTTAATCCTATTCGCACACCACCGCACTGGCACTGACTGTCCCGACATTCCGACACACGATCGTACTTGGTTCTACTGACTCGATGAAACTTCGCATTTGGTACGAAAGCATCAGCTCTTTTTCCATTTACTACAACACTCCTCCGGAATTCTCACCTGAATTTTCTACCTTTTTTGATACTCTGCTCCAGTCATTTTCCTCTGGGGAGATTGTCGGCTTGAACCCTGCTAACAAAACTGGACCCCTCTAAGAGCTCCACCTGAATACTAAAGATGTCTGTACTCACGCTGGTCGTGTAGGCTTTAGTTGCAATAGCAATGCTTTTTTTTCCTTCGCCTGCTATTGCCAGTCTTTTCAAGAAATTCAAGTTGGACTTGTTGAAATTGCTTCAATTCGGCTCACAAGACTACAAAACAATTGTTCCTAAACTACGTGTTGCTCTCACTAAATATGATCACGTACAAGACATGTTTATTAACACGTTTTTCAGTTTTATGAGTGGAACTTGGTCTGTATATGTGGAGCACCTCTCATATGAGAAATCCGTCCTCCTTCCACTTCGCTTCAAAATAGATTTTGATGATAACACCACTTTCTTGTCCACTTGGTTCAACATTAGAGCCTACTGTACTCACTGTCAGTCTGTCGCTATAACCTTGATAAATGCCCTAGTCGTCCTCGAGAAGCATGTCTATGCTACGGATTCCATTAGGTCAGTCACTTTCACTCATTATAATATCGCGCTGGAGAGGTCTACAACTCTTGTAAACGGGATCGCAATGTTTCTGAGCCCCATAATCCTCTTCGCACTCTCCCCAGCTAGAATATTAGGGACGTGGAGAACCACTCTGAAGAAAGTTGTATAGACAACCCTATAAAGGGTACCAATCCAGCCCAATCCCAATGCTTATAATAATAATAATAATAATAATCGTTTATAAATTGCATTTGGCTGATTAAACCTGGCGTCCTACAAACATACCCATTATTTATAAGACACCTTCGATTTTGGAGGATTGATTTATTAGCCCTTAAAAAACCCCTATTCAATATTGAACATCTTCAAAAATATGCTTCACACACGATTCATTATACACAATCCCTTATGGCTCTCACATGGCAGCCTTTTTTTTTCTTCCCTTGAATATATATGTTATCAATCCTCTCTTCAGACTTTGTGGCGATAATATTGGGTTTTCGTAATTGATCAAACCAGTATTGCTGCCACCACTGCAGCTAATTCCCTGCTTCACTGCTTACACGCCGAAGAAAGTATTGATCAATGCCCATTCCCAGTCTAGATATCTAACTATTGTATGTTATATTCTATATTTTACAATAAAGCAAACCCCAAAAAATAATAATTAGATAATGGGAAAGCCCAAAAAAAAAAGAAAGCTTTTGCCACCTTTTAAGCCTTTTGGACAAGAGTTTGATAAATAACCCTGAGCTCTGCTACATACAGAAAACAAACAAACAAACAAACAAACAAACAAACAGCTCTGGTAGATTATTTTTTTGACTAGCAAAGAAAACCATGTACATATGCAGTGGAGTAATTAAGCTTATCAACCTTGAGGAGTATTTCCCATTCCACACTTTGGCGATAAGCTAGAGAAGGCTGCGTTAATTATTGGTATTCTTGCCTGTAGGCCGTCCACTACATGGTGATTATATATTGCCTAGTAATATTTATTTAAATCAAACAAGAAAAAAAATGGGTTTGTTAAAATCGTTTCAATTTTTTGAAATAGTCAACTCCTTATATGCTTCAGAAGCAATGTCCACTACATTAAAAGCGCGGTAATCTTACAGAATCACATTCAACAGCATGCAATACTCCTTCGTATTATCATCAGTAGAGTTACTAATGTACGTAGATTGAGTTTTTTGTTTTCAATCTTCCCATAAAGTCTTTTAATGTGAATCGAATTAGACAAGTATTACGCGTAATTGTATTTTGAATGGTGAGATTAAAAGAGAGCCATTCAGTTCTAAAATCAGTCTACTTTGTGTAATAGCACAAATATTCAAAGAACGGGTGTTTTTAGGCGGTACTTATATTCAAGTTTTTTCTACATTTGACTTCTTGTAATTACCGTGTCAAACTTATTCATTACTCATTATTATTATTTTCAACTTAAATGCACAATAAAAGACAGACGTTTTTTGGAGACATGGTTTTAAATACTTTTTTATTTGAAAGAAGGTTTTATTTATTAACATATTTACTTATTACTACTATTCCTATCTACTTTACTTTTCTATAGATATAAAAAAAAAGGATACAAAGGTTGTCAAGCTCTTAGTCCCCACACAAGGTGGCTCAATCTCCCCCAGGACGAAAACCTGGCTTGACAGCGAGGGAGGCGGACAGCAGAGTATTATCTCAGACTGAACTCATTTCGCTTTTACAAGCGGCACGGCTGCAATGCTAATACCAAGGACTACACCGCGGGGTTGCGCATGTAACACATCTTGGCCCTTGCAATTACAGAAATGGCGTCCCATCTTTGGCCCAACCCTGTTAGCACCAGTTCAGGGCAAAGTACCGGCTGTCGTCACTGTTCTGTGGTCATCGGTTTTAGAGCTACATTCCGAGCTAAAAATTCCTAATCGACAGCCGCATTAAAGAAGGAAAAGGAGAAAAAACGGAAGCCAAAAAAAAAGAGGAATATTTATCTCTTTTTTTCTCTCTCTCTCTCTCTCTCTCTCTCTATCAATCAATCAATCAAAAAAAAATAGATGGCACTATCCCAAAAAAGGAATATTTCATATGATTGCTGTGAAAAATCCATGCATAATCAAGTCAATCAATCGATAGGCTACCATAGCAGCAGGAAGACCTATTTGTGCTTTACAAAGAGCTTCCCAATAGTCAGTATACTATATACGTTATACCATTTAAAGTATAAAATGCAAAAGGTTATGTCTAGCACTAATGGTAGTTGTAATTTTGATGAAAATTTTGGGTAGCTGTCAGGAGTAAAGCAAGAAGAAAAAAAAGGGTAATAAATATTCTTATAAAGGAACACGATTCAAACAGCTATTTGGTTTTGGAGCATAGCTATACGTAAAACCGTCTTAATATATCTATAGGAAACGTTGTCTTTATGTTAAGAGAGATTTAAACAAACTGATATAGTCCAACACAAAGATCTGAAAGGTACAAGCAATTAAAGGATATATGAAAGCAAACAGATGCCAAATACTTGACATGTATGGGAAATACGGGTGTATTATCATAGGCTCTTATAAGCTGTGTTTTCTATGGTACGATCATATATATACACAAGTATTGTCGTTATCTACATGGCATCTTCAACTCTGTGGTATCAACTTACTAGCACTTTTTTTTTCTTATAAAAAAAACCCCGCTCATATTAATACTATACATCTTTAAAGTATTTTTCGCACACAATTCCTTATGGCTCCCATACTGTAGCCTTTGTTCTATTTCCCTGAATATATATTTTATCAATTCTCTCTTCAGCACTTGTAGCAGATCCATCTCCATTACTGTCATATATGCTCCTAGAACCTTCCGGGATTGCCTATCTTTTCTTCACTATCTTCTCCGTTAGCCGGTACTCCTTCTTCGCCTCTCATTCCCCTGCATACTGTTGTGTGGTTTTAATTATATCTATCGTCGTGCCTCTCCTAACCCTCGTCAAGTCCCCCTCTAGAATGGCTAAACTTCATCTCCAATCATTTCGTGGATCATATCATACCGAGTGGAAATCTCCCTGGGTCAAATTTTGATGGATAACTATACTCCTCATCCATAGACTATGTATTTGCCTCTCCTAACCTCGCCCCCATGTCGCCATTCCTCGTCTGTAATCTATATTCATCTGATTTTGGTTTCATTGTTGCCTTGGATCCGTTACTTTTGAGTTTATCTCCAACCACGAAACAGGAAAGGAACTGTGGCGCACCAACCCTTGCTTAGCCCGTAACCTCCCAATTTTTGTTTTTGTTTTTTTTTGTTACGACCATTTCCAACCACAGCTACCTTTCTGTTTTCTTTGTCTATATGCTGAAGAAAGTCTCGTTCGATGCCCATTCCCGGTCTAGATATCTAGCAAATTTCACATTTTCATTTCATTTTATTTTGTTTTGTTTTGTTTAAGCTTAGATAAATTATTGTATCAAGTTTGTTATTGAACACTGTCTGCAATATCAGCCAAGAGGCGTTCTCGTTCCTGTCTCAATTCATACTAAAGATTACAGATAGATAAATGGATGAGTATTATGATTAGTATAATAAAAAAGAGGGATTCGGATCAACTCACCAATCGCTCCTCTGCTTCCTGGGTTTTGAATGAAGCCATCACCATATCCTTTATGATTAATGTTGGTATTAAGCATTATTGTACATTTGATTATTGTAGATTTAGAGCCGATTTACTACTGTTGACTTACAGGTGGAAGATCCTTATATCTTTCCAGATATTCTTGTCTATCCGCCAGCTCGGATCGAATAACGCTTGTGTCATGAACCAGTCTTTTCATGGCATTCAGTCGTAATCCATGCTGCTCTACCTTTGTATCATCATACTCTTTCTATAAACAACATCCAAATTTTTAAATTTTTTATGTTATTAGGGTTGTTTGTATCTCTATCTCTCTATATATATATATATGTGTATGTATGTTTGACTTGGTTTCTTACTTGTTTTTGTTTGAGTAGATCCAGCTGCTGTTTAATCTCCTTCTTTTTCTCCATGTTGGTACTTTTCCAGGTTTCTTTTAATTCATCTTCGGTTTCTTGTTTTGCTTCACGCATAAACTCCAGAGTACTTTAAATAGAGTAATATATGTATGTCTGGTTAATCAATAAGAATTAAACCAAAAATAGAAATGTGTACCTACTTTTGTAAATGCTCTTTTTTAGTCTTTAGTTTTGCTATACGTTCTCTGAGAGCATATTCTGATTCTTCTAACAGCTGTTCTTCGATTTCTGATTCCATTGATTCAATTGTGAGATTTGCAAAGGCAGTTTGAAAACTATATATTTATGTAAATATGAATATAAACATATCTTTCTTTCTCTTTCTTTGTCTTTGTCTCTGTCTTACCTGCTTAGATGACATTTATCTACACCCAATATTGTTGCCAGTGAAGAAAGTGTTGTCAAGGCAGAGTAACTGCGAGAAAGTGATGTCTTGTTAATAAACAACTCCAAATCATTCAAGATTTGTCGTTCATTTTGAACTAATAATAATAATAACAATAATTACAATAATAATAATAATTAAATTTAAGATCAAGATATTACACTATGATATGATATGCTATGCTATACTATATTTCTATTATCAAAAATAAATTAATGATAACAATTCTTACATCTTATTCTATTATCTTTTTGAATTTCTCGTTGTGCATTCAACAAGACATGAACAATGTTGTCTGCAGATTCGTTTTGTTTTTGCAATTTTAAAAGTGCGTTGAATGTCTCGGGAGTACGATCGAATAGAGGTATGCGATGAGGATAGAGATGTCGTAGCCAGGTGTCTATCTAACTGACAAGAAGAAGAAGAAGCAAAAAAAAAATGTTTCTACATAAATATATATATATATATATGTTTTTTTTTGTACTTATTACTATTATTATTAAAAGAGAAGGGGAGGTGGAAAAGTGTAATTGATTTTCTTTATTCATTACTTGTTTCCATTCTTCTATGTTGTAGCTTTTGTGAGAGCTTGTGCTGTGTGATTCAGTAAAACTATCGTTTGATTCTCGCCTACTCATTTTGACAAGACACTCCACCCCTCAAAATGAAATATAAATAAATAGACAGAAAGAAAGGAAATATGAGGGGGACAGATATAGAGATGGTAAAAGAATAGGGTCGTGACTGTGATTAAAGGAGTACAGTGCAATACGGTACAGTACAATAGATTACATGATTTTGTAGCGTAGTGTAGTGTGGTTTAGTGTGGTGTGGTGTAAATTAATGATGTTGAATATAAGCTAATATAATACAATAAAAATAAAGGGTTCATAATTGTGTATTATTATTATTATTATTATTGTTGTTGTTATCATTATTTGTGTGGAGAATGTGAATTGAAATTTGAGTGATGATGCGCGTGTGGAAGATAGTAAGTATAGGATGCGTTTAGGGTGTGAGTTTGGATATATATATATATATATATGTGTGTGTGTGTGTGTGTTAAAAGAAAACTATTATATAATTACTGTATTTTTCTTCTTTTGTGCTTGTTTGGCTCAATAGATTTTCAATCTTCTTCAGTTTCAACCGAGAATGATTGATTTTGATATGTAGAGAAAATCAAGTGTATTTCTTGGGGGGGGGGGGGGGGGAGATATGAAAAGAGGAAGAGATTATAAATGTCGTGACTGTAGTATCTGTAGTATCTGTAGTATCTGCCGTGGTCGTGGTCGTGGTCGTGGTCGTGGTTGCGGCTGCGGTTGTTGTATTTTCTTCTTCCTCTTATTTTGTCTTCTTCTTTGGTTAGATAATGAAGTCCGTGTCGATTCCTTTGGAAAAGTCCATAATGACGATCTTTTGATCTTGGCTTGTACTATAAGAGAATACAAAATTCATAAATATATATAAAATGTATACAAGTTAATGCAAGTTAATGCAATGCAATGTAATGTAATGTAATGTAATGTAATGTAGTATAACTTATATATTACCCTTTGAATATAAATAAATATCTATATATCTATTTGGTTTTTCTTTACCTGATAATCTTGGTGGCGTCAAACATGACATCAAATACCCAGCTAGAATGACAGCTCTCAAACTTGCGTAAACAGGCGCCGGTTTCGATGTCCCAGACCCGGATACTTTGATCATAGCTACCACTGACAATCTTGTGTTTGTCAAAATGAAGAGCTCTAACCAGACCAGAGTGGCCTTTATTTGTTTTGTTTTGTTTTGTTTTGGTTGTTGGTATATAGAATGCAAGACAATATAACCCAATTGGATTGTATTGTATTGTGAATTTAATAATGGTAATGGTAATGACAATCATTATGATTCTTTTATATAAATATAAATATAATCTATAAAGATTTCTTGAGAGCATAAAAAAGAAAGTATGGTTGTATCTATATATCTGTTTGGCTGTGTATTTACCTTCACATGTCAAGATGCATTCACCAGTCTCTAGACAGCCAAAGTGATTTATATATATAGATAGAAAGATAGATCATTAGGTAAATGGGACTTTCTTGTTTTGTTTATATGAATTATGATTTTTATTGGTATAGATATATAATATAATAGAATAGAAAGATAGAAAATACCTACCAACATCCCACACCTTAATGTTGTAGTCATTGCTTCCGCTGACGATGCGTCGGCCGTCGAATTGGATACAGGCCAGACCTCTCGAATGGCCCACAAAGTCTCTGAGACACTGGCCGGTTTCCATATCCCAGAGTTTGATGACCGAGTCTCCGGAGGCGGACACGAGCCGGGTGCCCTTGAACTGGATTGCATTGACAGGGCCTCTGTGACCGGTCAAGGTTCGACAGAGGCTGCGGTCGGCCCGTTTCCAGAGCCTGATGGTGGCGTCTTTGGAGCAACTGGCGATGTACTGGGCATCAAAACTGACATCGAGCACGCCCGAGGCATGGCCGTACATGCGATTTGTGATCTGCAGTGTGTGCATGTTCCAGACGACGACCGAGTGGTCCGATGAGCCGGAGACCATGATCTGGTCGTCGTACTGCAGACAGAGCACGCTGGCCTGGTGGCCGCCCTCGAGGGTCTGCAGACACCTGCCTTGCATGTCCCAGAACTTGATTGTCTTGTCGCGGCTGCCGGTCACGATCTTGTGCCGGTCGAATTGGAGACAGTAGATGCTGTCTGTGTGGCCGGTCAGAGTACGGGTGGATGCGAGGCCTTTACGCCACCGGTCTTCTAGAGTCAGACGCTGTTGGTAAAGTATTCGGTAGTCTATTGATAGAGAGGACAGGACACTATTTTTATTATTGTTTTTGTGATTATTATTAATATTATTAATATTATTAGTTATGTTATTAGAGCCAGAAGGTGATGTCGATGTTGATTGTGATGCTGAGGATAAAGGTAAGGTTGACGCAGAGGGTGCTGATGAAGATGAGGATGATAGTGAGTTTGAGAGAGAGGGTGAAAGAGAAAGTGAGGGTGAATCTGAATCAGAGGCTCCGGCTCCGGCTCCGGCTGATAAGGAAGGTGAAGAGAGAGAGAGAGGTAGGGCCGGAGCATTCCAGTGGTAGTGCTGGCGGTAGAGGTGTCTCCAGAGGGTATTGTCTTGGGATAGTTGGCGCCAATTTCTGGAAACTGTTGCGGCAATCAATAGGGTTCCAGAGTCACAAAATGAGAATATCAAGTGAATCAATTCAGAAGGCAGGCGGTCGATATAATCTAATGAATGTATGTATGAGTAAGGGTATGCACTTTTATATATATAAATAAATAAATATGTATGTATGTATGTATGTATGTATGTATGATTTGCGAGTGCGTATCTGCGTATTGTACTGTATTATGTGTCGTGTTCTTTTATACATGTATATATAGCATAATGTATTTATTCATTTATTGTTCTACTTTTACTTCTGCTGTGCTTGTTGTGGGGTTATGTTACCAAGGATAGCGTCTGGGTCTGATGGCCGGGGTTTGTGAGTTTGATGGAATCCTTCGTCGATGCGACCCAGACTGGGCATTGACCTGGGCCGTGATGGAGTGATGTGAATGACGGTTGATTTGCGAAAGTAGCGCAAAAGACGATGTTTAAATGACCCATAATTGTGTGATCTCATTTGAGGATGTTAAAGAAAAGAAAGAAGAGCTGATGGAGTTGTTTCTTTCTTTCTTCTATTATTTTAATTTATTTTATTTTAAAGAAGTAATAATAATAATAATATAAAAGTTAATAAAACACATACACAAAAAAAAAAAACAATGAAAGAAAGAAAGAAAGAAAGAAAGAAAAAGGAGAAGAACAAGAGTTTCGTTCGATCTTTATTTTCTGTCTTTGTCTAGAGATTTAATTTTATTTGACTTGTGATTTTTCAGGGGAAATAATGATGAAAGAGAAAGGCAATAGGAATAGGAAGACAGTGATTATATTTAGTGTATTTAGTGTGTTGTATCTACATTGCGCATGTATTTTATACAAGAAATAGAAAGGGAATTGGAATGGGGAAAACAAGGGGTATTGAGTATTGATAATAGTGATAAAGATGATGATATTGTTATGTTGGTTCTAATAGATAAATAGATATATAGAGAGATACAAGTGTCGCCATAGGACGATAGGTGTATATTAAAATATAGACTTGTTAAGATATTCAAGGTTATTGAAAAATAGAAATATAAAGGAGACCTAGAGGATGAATGAGGGAGTGAGTTATTGAGGAGACAAAAGAAAGAAGATATTCTATATATATATATATTACCTTCTCTTGACTTCTTTTTCTGTGTAATGTATTATGCCCGTTGTATTTAACATTTGCCCTTTTATTTTTTTATTTTTTTGTAACAATTCCATCATTTAGCTTGGTTCAGTTGCTGGATCATTTTTTATTTTTACAAGCCATTTCCTTTCTCCGATTAATGCGTACCACACCACACTTTTTTGTTTTTTGTTTCCATAGAAACATATTTATATTTATATTATATAAAAAATCATTTTAATTATAATTATTATTGAATGCACCCTCCCTCCAATTTTAAGCTGTCTACAAACAACCAAAGAATATAATATATATAAATAAAAAGTAAAATAGATAGATTAATAATACAAGGAAAGAAATATAATATATAAGAATAAAAAAAAAGTGGAGTGAGGTTATTTGTGTATGCAAAAGAATATAAAATAAAATAAACTCTAGGGACAGTCAAGGGAATAAGCGCAGGGTAAAAAAAAAAAAAAAAAAAAAAAAAAAAAAAAATTGGTTTGTTCTCGGCCCTATAAATTAAGTATATACGTGTAATTTGTTCTTATCCTTTGACCACCTCTCTCTTTCTTTCTTTCTTTCTTTCTTTCTTTCTTTTCATTGGCTAATATACTTTTTGCTTCTTGTTTTTTTCTTTAGTTTGTTTATATATATATATATATATCATTATTCTTCTTCTACCCTTTTTGTGTGTGTATTGGTTGGTGGGTTGGTGGGTTGGTGGTGGGGTTTATAGGTGGGTGGGTGGGTGTGTATATATATATGTATATGTATATGTATATATTGTGTATGTTCCTTTTCTTTTTTCTTTTTTTTTACATCTCTCTTAGTCAGAGCTACTGCCAGAATCCTCAGAATCTGATCCAGATGAACTGTCCGAATCACTTTCACTTGATGATGCGTGTCCTGAAGCAGCTTTTTTTTTTGTAAGAATAAAAAAAAAAGATATAATATAGTATATTCACTAATTGTTTTTTTTTTGGGAGGGCTTACCTTGGAATTGCTTTGGGCCATCAAACTTTTGGAGAGTCTTTTCGAGTTCTTGGATTTTGCGGTCTGCGTCTTCCTGAGAGTAATGTGTTCTTCCTCTCTTGTGAGTCTGCTTTCTGGGATTCAGCCTCTTGCCGGTCACAAACTCGTGCAGGCGATGAAGGGTCCGTCGATCAAGAGCGTCGATATCCAAGACAATCTCTTCTTGTCCCTAATTAAATACATACATATTATTAACTAACACCTTAGGAGACAATTGACTTACTTCATCAAGGTTAGGCATCGAACTCTGGATGATTGTCACCACAGTATTCAACTCTTCTCCACCCAGACTATTGATCCGTTCACTCAAATCCTTCTTTTGTTCAAATGTAAACTCTGCCAATTCCTCTCTTTGTGCCATTGGTCGTTTCCGTTTAGTACTGCTGTTAGTACTTTGGTTGGTTGATCTTGATCGTGGTTGCTGACTTTGTTGACTGTTATGATGATGATGATGATTATTAGTGTTGTTATTATGATGATGATTGTTGTTATTAGTGTTGTTATTATTAGTATGATGATGATGAGTATTATTGGTTTGCTGTTGTTGACTTTGTTGTTGATGTTGACTTTCTTTGGGCCGAACTTTTCCAGTAGATCCTGATTGCTTCGATACACTACTCTTGTCCTTTCGCTTCTTGGATGACTTCATCGATGCAATTTGTTGTGAAATGGTGGCAATGTGACGTTCCAACTCTGCTATCCTTTCTCTCTCTATTTTATATTCATTCATTTAGTTTCTTTCTTTTGGTTGTTGTACAAAACACATACACACTCTGTCTCTTCTTTATATATAAATATATATAAAAAAAGGTCCACTTTTATAACTATTACCTTCTTCATCTGATTCATAGTCATCTTCTTGCTCAGATGGTTGTGGCTGTGGCTGTGGTGGTTGTGGCAGTGGCTTCTGCTTCCACTTTTCATCGAATACCTTTTCGAGTTCTTTTCCCATCTTGTGGACAGGGATTGCGGGTGGGTTGTAGAGATAGCAGTTCTTGAACATCAGACGCACGTCGGCTTCAAAGTCGTCGGGTGTGTCGTACTCTCCCTGGTTGAGCTTGCGTTCTATGGTCGAGAGATCCATTGGGTGTTTGACGATGGTTGGGTAATCAGGAATGTGGAGGGCGACGATGTCCACGGGGGCAAGGAATGGGTAGTTGATGTCCCGGTATTTTGATTTCTTCATCTCTCGCAACGTCTGGCCGCAGAACTTCATCTGGACATCGTTCTTGCGTGGTGCGAGTCGCTTGGTCATTGGTTCGGGGTAGTCCTTTGAGGCAGGTGGGTGGATCTCTCGCTTGGGTCGCAGATCTTCAGAGATTCTTCGGATGTTTGAGCTACTCAGGCTTAATGGCGAACCTGGTCTTCTGGAACGATTGTTAGTTTCATTGTCGTCTCTTGCTTCGTCTGCAGATCCCGAAGAGTTTGTAAGAGGTGGTGAAGGCTTTATTTATTTATTTATTTATTTATTTATTTATTTATTTATTTGTAAATAAAGAAAATATTAGTAAAATATAAAATACAATTTTTTTTTATTTACCTCTTTGGATGGTGGCATCTGTCGCATACTCTTTTCAAATGCGGATTCTACATTTTGGCAGAGCATCGAGATCATTGCTTCAGGGCCATTGAACTTGTAGCAATTGTTGAACACTAGTCTGACATCGGCCACAAAGGCATCCACGTCTACATATTGGCCTCGGCTTAATTTGCGATCGACGGTTGTGAGATCCATGGGGTGTCTGACAACCTTTGGATAGTCTGGCACGTTCATCTTGACATAATCTACGGGGTGTAGGAATGGGGCAGCGTCTCTGTGTTTCTTGAGTTCGCGAGTGATTGCAGCAGAGTATTTGAGCTGGTCTCGGGTCATCTGGGTGGGTGGATAGAATGAAGGACTAAAGGATGACGATGAGGGCGATGATGATAATAATAATGAAGAGGATGTAGATGTTGATGATTTTTGTTGTTTGTTGCCATTGGTTGTTGTGGTTGAGGATGGTTTTGCAGCTCTTAATTCACCCATAGATACTTCTGCTGCTGGGGAAGGTAAGGCCATCATACTGACGGCGGTTGTCTCATTCTTTTTTGTTACTGCCATTTCTTCTTCACTTCCAGACCGTCTATTTGTGTTTTGTTTATTTAAAAAAAAAATAAGAATTTCTTATCTACACTCCCTTCTTCTTCTTTTGTGTGTATATTGTACTTACGTATTTTTTGGTGATCCTGTTTGTTCGTTTGAAGGGCTATTCATTCTGTCGAATTTAGTGCTCATAACAATTCAAAGAGATAGATAGATATTGTTCTTCTTCTTCGTCGGTTGGTTGGTTGGTTGGTTGGTTGCTTGTCTTTTTCTGTTATCTATCCACATTGAAAAATAAATATTAAAAAAAAAAAAAGTCAATTTTTGTGTGTGTGATTTTTTTTTGTTAAATAAAAGAAAAGAAAATTACACCCTACACCCTACACCCTACACACAACAATTATAATATATAATATAAATAAAATAAAATAAAATAAAAGAAGAGAGAGAGAGAGAGAAAAGATGATGATAATTATACCTACATGTACAAATAAATAAATAAATAAATAAATATATATATATATACTATACTATATTATATTATATTATATTATATTATATTATATATAAGAAAATGTAAGAAAGTAAGAAAGAAAGAGAGATAAATGATTGGTGGCGTCAGTCGACAGAAAAAGAAATAAAAAAATAAAAAAAAAGGGCAATTATTATTATTACACTAAAAAAATATATTCTTTTGACGACGAAGCTCCGGTTTACAAAGGGGAAGGGGGTTAAGGGTGGGGGTGGGGATTGAAGAGGAAAAAAAAAATAATTATTATGATTATGATTATTAAAGAAATATATATATATAAGAAAAACCTTTTTTTTTTTTCTCTCTCTCTCTATATATATATATATTATATTACAATACATACAAATACACGTTACAGGATATATAATACGAGGTAGAAGAGGTGTATTGTGTGTATATAGGTAGTTGGATAAAATAAAGAAGTAGAAAAAGAAGAAGAAGAAGAAGAGTAGATTATTCGTGACTTGTTTTTACACCTTCTCTTTATTTATTTTCTCTCTCTCTTTATTTCTTACTCACTCCACTTTCTATCTACCTATTTATCTTTCCGTTTATTTATCTTCTTCTTTATTTATTTATTTATTTATTTATTTATTTATTTATTTATTTTATGATTTTTTTATGACGATGATGGTGTCATTTTTTTTTATATTGACAGTTTGGTAGCTTTTTCTTTTGACTTTTTTTTTTTTTTTTTTTTTTTACTTCTTTACTTTTTTACTTCTTTACTTCTTCTTCTTCTTCTTCTTTATATGAATAAAAGGTATAGAAAAAAAAGCATATTATAAAAGAAAAGACGAGATAAGACATATAAAGATAAAGGGTGACAAACAAGCAACAAGCAACAAAGTAACAAAGCAATAACAAGCAGCAAGCAGCAAGTAGCAACAAAAAAAATGAAATAAAAAGCAATATCAATAGTAAAAATAAAAAATAAAATATAAAATACCTTTTTTTTTTTCGTTTAATTTCTTTTTTTTTTTTCTTTTGGGGTCGGTGATGAAAAGAAAAATAGAATAGAATAAAATAATAAAAATAAAAATAATAAAAAAAAAAAGTTCTTTCTTTCTTTCTTTTTTTTTTTTTTTTTGAAAAAAAAATTTTTACAAACAAGAAAAAAAATATCTGGCGAAAGAACCATTAAAAAGGGAGATTGTCTAGGCGCACCCCAAAGCGCAAATCAAAATATTTTCTGGCTTGCGTCACTCATATTATTTGCTGCGTCACCACCCATGTCCTTCCCACCCTCTTTTTTTTTTTCTTTTTTTTTCTTTACTATTATTATCACCACTTACTATTTTTAGTATCAATACTATTATGATCACTATTTTTTATTTATATATATTTTTTTATATTCTTATTAGATTTTGGGTGTATGTATGTATATATACATACATGGATTTTTTCTTTTTTATTTTTTATTTTCTTTGGTCCTACACTTTGGAGATTGAATACCTTGCTTGCGTCACACCCTGACTCAATTCCTTTTCTTTTTTTGGTATTATCACCAGAATGTCAGCTCCAATCCAATCCAGCCAAGTAAAGATTAAAGACAAGGCCAAGGCCAAGGCCAAGGCCAAATGGAGACCCTCTTTTTCTTTTCTTGATAATAGAATAAGCCCACATTTTATCATATTATATCAAAAGGGAAAAAAAAATTATGTTTATTTATTTGGTACGTTTGGAAGATTTATTTCTACCAAAGAATGCCTTTCGCAGTGAATTGCTAACAGGATTGGCACGGTCTGAGTCTTCTCTTGATTCATTTGTAGGCACTGCTGCCATGGATCGCCAGGACTGAAAGTTTTCTACGTCTTGCTTTATTGCAACCGTACTTGTCTATAGAAAAAAGAAAAGAAGATAATTAATTATTTAATTTTAATATTATTTTCTTTTTTTAATTGAATTTTCACTTGCATGAATACTATTCCACAATTGGTTTGTTGTTCTAGTGGATTCTGGCTGAAGTGCCTTTCGATGCGCATCCTATTTATTTATATATAGAAGAAAAAGTTATTTAAATCAATAATAATAATAATAATAATAATTACTTTTATGTATTCAGCATCTTCTTTTAATGAACTTGACAGGAGCCACGAACTGTCATTATCACAAGGTTCTATAGATTGAAAGATATTTAGTGTAACAATACAATACAATATTATTATTTTTAATTTCTTTCAAGCTTGCCTTCTTCAATGGAATGCTGTTTTAATTGGGCACGCAAAGAAGCCACTCTGTTCTGCCATTGTGCCATAGCACAAGACAAAGACTGGATCTTTTCGAGGTGAACTTCCTTGAGTAACTTGACTTCTAGTAGCATTATATCCTTTTCTCTGGCGGCCTTTTCTATTAATGACATTTACTGACATTAGCCATTATGCAAATATATATATAAATATATTTTTTTATTTGATTTACCTTTACAAGCAAGTTCAAATTCTTCACGTTCATTTGTTAGTAATAGACATTTATGTCTCCAGCTCTGTTGGTCCTGAGTTACTTTTTTCAATTGTGCCTATGATTAATATATCAATAAATATAAAGTCTGACAAATTCTTTAATGTTTATTTTATATTAAAATGAAAAGGAGAATTACTTGAAGATCATCTATGTGTGCTTGAAGAGCAGTTGAATCTGGGGTTGACTTTTCCTTTGGAAACAATGCAAGTGAACTTTTTTGATTAATACGATTATTATTACTGTAAAATAAAAATGCAAACTATTGCTAAATAGATAGAGGTCAGGCTTTATAATTTTACCTGCTTGGCACCAGAACATCTGGGTTGACCTGTTTACGCTTTACATTGAACGGTGTAACTGACACTTTGCGGGGTCGAAACGGGGAAGGTTGATATCCAAAAGACATTAGTATTAAAAAAAAACTGTATTATTGAATTATTGAATTATTGAATGCTTTTTATAAGAAAATAGATCAAAGGGTGAAAGAACCAAAGAATGACTGAATGGCATAAGAGAAAGAGAAAGAGAATGAGAAATTTTGGTTGTTGTATTGGCTAGGACTAGAATTATGCTTATCTACTATGTATTAGATTTGCTGTGAATGGAAGACCCATATTGGCTTTCAGGCAGTCACAAAAAAAATTCCTTTTTTTTTAAAAAAAAAAATGGGTTTGGCAGTAATGTGTCTTTGGTTGATTCAAATATCTAATTATTTATGTTATGGGTATAAAGAAAACATGCTTTATATTTCGATCATTATTATTGATAGTATTACTATCTAAGGTACCTTTGTACCTATTGATAATCAATTGAATGAGAGATATTATATTTTATGTATTTTATGCACACACACACATGTATAAATATAGTTTTATTCATGCATCGATATATGCATTAAGACATAAGAAAAGATGCCTTGGATTTTGAAACCGTAATTCATATTTTTTATTTTTTTTTTGGAATAGCTTGGGCTTGTCCTTCAATAACAAGAAGAAGAAGAAGAGTAGGAATATACTTCTTGAAATAAGCAAGAAAAAAAAACTTTATAAAGTAAAGGCAGAATTCAAGGTACCAAAGATAAGATATATAAAAAAAAAACAAATTTTGTATATGATTTGTCTGTGGACGAATGAATTAATGCATCAATATATATTTATAGTAATTATCTTTATACTCACTAGAATTCCAATTAATTTTTATAATTTTTTTTTGCTGTGGCTTTATTTTTTCTTTTCTCTCTCTCTTTTATTATTATTTAATATTTTATATAATATTTTAATATTTTAATTATATTTTTTTTTCTTTTCTCTCTTTCTCTCTTTTGCTGGTTGTTTATTTTACTCACCTTATTTCTTAATATAATATATATGCATATATTTTTATATATATAAAAGCAAAAAAAAAAAGCAAAAAAATTTATACACATTAAATATATATTTTATATATTTATATATGTATTTATATATATACTGTATATATACATAGTAACGTTTATTTATTTATTTTATTTTATTTATTTATTTTATTCTTGCAATGGACGTCCAAGGTTACATGCACAATTCAGAAGATGCCAAAGTGACACATTATGCAGAACCAATTGGTCACTATGATCACCCTACAAGCAAACAAGACTCTTCTTCTTCTTCTCCTCTACTGACACCCATGAGCATCTCAAACCAACAACCACAACCAGAACAACAGGTTATACAAGAGCCATCTGGGTCATCTTACGACGAAAATAACAGTAACAATAACTTCCTCTCACCACCATTACCACAATCCCCACAACCCTCACAGCCACCATCTGCACATAACCCGGCTATCATGAGAGCCTTGAAAGACAAACGCAAGAGTAGTCCGGCAATTCTTGGTCTATTGGGTCTTGGAGATGAGGCAGAAGCCCAGCTTAGTATGCACCTATCTCAACACCGAAATTCAATCGAAGCAGCCATGTTATTAGCCAATTTCAATAGACTTCAGACTACATCTGTAAAGTCTTCTCCTGATCTTAAAGGTAAGAAAGATATATATATATATATATATATATATATATGGGTATAGAATTTATAAATATAAATGATTTTACTTTATTTTATTTTATTTTATTTTTTATTTTTATTTTTATTATTATTATTTTGTATGTTTTTATGCGCATAATAATAGTCAATTTTTTTTTTAAAAATTTATTTATTTATTTATTTATTTATTTATTTATTTATTTATTTATTTTCTTTAAAAAAAAATATTCTTCTTTTTTTTTATATATATTTTATTTATATTATAATTCATTTATTTTAGCTCATGGCGGTCAATGGCAGGATGACATGTCTATTGCCTCTCACACTCAGACGGCTCTCTCCAATGATGGCCCGACAGAATCCACACGCCGCTACTCCTACGATGCAACCATGTCCTGGAATACGATGCCGCCCGCCTTTGTAGATCGTGCTACCCTATTGCAGGACATGTCCCCCCAAGATGAACATCCAACTTCTTTAGGCCACCCCCACCAAAATCACCTTGACCAACATAGTCAGCATAATCAACACAGCCACAACCACAACCAAATCCACAACCAAATCCACAACCACAACCGCAACCACAACCAAATCCACATTCAGCACCTCAACCAATCCCAACACCACCTTGGGTTTAGCCATCAAAATCATAGTAACACCAACAACTATCACCACAACCAAAATCATCTTCATCTTCATCACCCTACTGCCACTAATGCTGCCAATACTACGGCTAATAGTACAGGTACTACTGCTAGAGATTATTATACTTCCGGTCATCCACACAGCATTCAGGGCTCACCATCTGCAAAACTAACCTGGTATCAAAATGGCCGAATTCAAGAACATCACCACCTCGGCGAATATGGCACCAGTCAGTCGGATTACGCACAGCATCCAACAGCATCAATTCCACCCAATTCAGTACATTATTCACTAGACAACATTGGAAACTCACCTCATCATCAACAACAACAACAACAGCAACAACACCATCCTTCTTTACAGCCAGTACAACCAGCTCAAGTACAACAACAACAACAACAACAACAACAACAACAAGCCATGTACCCACACTATCCTCCTTCTGGTCCAATACATCATCATCATCCTGGTGTACCAATGGTACATCCTCTCGCTCGTGGACCTCCTCCTCCGCCGCCTGATCTGAACCAGAAACGAGACCATGATCCTCAAGCACAACACCACTTTTATCCATCGTATCCTTACCCCAATAATAGTAGTAACAACAACAACAACAACAACAACAACAACAATAATAGTAATAGTAATAATAATAACAACAATAGTAGCAGTAGTAGCAGTAGTAGTAATGGCGGAGGTGCTGGTGGAGGAGGTGCAAATGCACAATCGTCACAGACACCACAAACACCAACACCATCATCACAACAACCGCAACAATCACAACCACAACCACCTCCACCTCCACCGCCTATGCATCCCCACCATCCTCATCCATACTATTACCACCATGGTAAATTACCGATTCCCAGCTCAGCCGATGCCGCAATGATACAGGCACACAATGCAGCTGTCGTTGCTGCGGCTGCTGCTGCTGCTGCTGGAAAGCCGAAGCGAAGAAAGACTCGGAACGATCTGGATGATGATGAGATGCTTGGGGTGGTTGAGCCTGGTGATGCAGATTTCCCCGACATGTCACTACGAGACATCGAGGCTGCCCGGGTAGATCCTGAGGCAAGACCACGTAGACAAAAGTTGCGGTATGTTGGTGATCTGTACACTCCCCAATGGGTACGATACAACGGACAGGCCAAGGAGGGTTTGTGTGACACATGCAAGCCAGGAAGGTGGCTTCAGCTCAAGAATAGTGCATTCTGGTTAGTAGTAGTAGTAGTAGTAGTAGTAGTAGTAGTAGTATTTGTTTTGCATTCATGCTTATATATTTGTTTGTGTTTGTTTGTTTGTTTCTTTAGGTATCACAAACAATTTTTTCACGGTATATCATCTGTGTCTGGTAAAGAATTCATGCAGCCATTGGAGACACGGTGGGTAGATCAAGATCTGGTAGAAGGTTTATGCCACCAATGTCACCAATGGGTATCTGTGAGCAATGTAAAGAGAAAAAACAGTGTACTATGGTACAGACATGCGCACAAGGTATGTTGTTCAACAAATACATCGATTTATGTGAATTCTAATGGCTGTGAATTTATAGTGCCATGTTTATCACAAACCAAAATCTGCAACGCCAAAACGACGCTAATAATCACACATATAATTCTCACTTGCACCCATTTCACCCACACTTTCTACACTAAATTACACTCACTTATTACAGCCATCTAAACACAAACACACGCCACCTTACTCACACGTAAACTCGCACTCCATCACTCCATCACTCACTCACAATACATATACATACATATACATATACATATACATATTGTGTAAAAAAAAAACTTACAAAAATTTCCTTTTTTTTTCTTTTTTTTTTTTTAAAAAAAAATCAATTCAATTCAATTCAATTCAATTTTAAAAACAAAACAAAAAATCAGCGTCTACAATAATCGCAAATAGTCAAACAGAGCCAAAGTACATTGAACCCCCTATAATTTTTATAATTTTTATGATTATACACTGCGATATGTAATTTGTAATGTTTCTGTAATTTATAATCTGTATACACAATATACACAATATATAAATTACATAAAAGGGATCGCCCGAGTTCCTAAAGGATGAATAAAACCCCTCTTTGGTGTTCTGATCCATGTGGTAATTTTCATTCCCAATCTTGGTGTCAATTAGCAAACCTCGTTTACTTGTTCTCGATTCTTTCCATCTCATCTTTCCTATGTACATATTTACATATCTGATATCCATTCATTTCTTTTAAACTATTTTCCCCCACATGAGTGAATCATTTTTGTTCTTTCTTCCGCGCTGGCAGCCTCTTACTTGGCTGTGTCACTTTACTACTTATTCTCGATCAAGCCAATCGTTCTTTCAGTTCATCAAGGTGAGCTTATAATGCCACAAGCCAAACCAATACATAAATGAATATTCTCTCTATCGATCTACCGATAAGACAATATGTATATCTTTATATAGATATGCACACAGATACTTGGACGCACAGACATTATTATAATAAGCATTATTACTTGAGTTTCTTTTTTTTTTATTTTATTTTATTTTCATATATTTTATTGTGAGCTTAGAATGATTTTTAGCTGTATGTTGGTGGGCGCGGTAAGATGTTTGGAACATCCCGGTCGGACTAATTAAACAAAATAAAAAAAAAACAGAACGAAAGAAAGAAATTGATAGATATAAATATTATTACCCAATTATTGGATGTATTTATAATTTATTTATTTTATAAAACGCAAATCATCTGGGTTTTACAACAACAACAAAATATTAAACGGAGTGTTAACTTTATATTAATCGGCATATCAATACTTTCACGATTAAATCTGGGTTTATACTCGTTTATCAAAACACGACCTTTTTTTATTTTATTCTCTAAAGTACTACATGACTCAAATTTATTCAATTCAAATTCTCTCTTTCTTTCTAGGAAAGTAAAAGGTATAAAAAATATAAGACTTGATAGTATTTTCTCTCTTGTTCTCTTTTGATGATTGATACTATATATATATATATATATATATTCATTTATTTATTTATTTCAAATAAAAAGGTCGTGTCTTGAGAATGGTAATGAAACCCAGACTTTATTGCGAGTATATTCACGTTTCGTAGATTAAATATTTTATCGCCTACTGTATTATGTACATCTCAGATTATTTGTGTTTTTGCGACCACTTTATACATATACATATGTATATTTAAAAATAAAAAACAATCGATTGAAATATGATTATTTTTACATTGACAGACCAACATTTATGTATTTATATTTATATATATATTTCTAATAATAGAGAATTATGATTTATTATTAATATTATCATTATAAATATATATATATATATATATATATATATACAAAATATAGCCAAGATTAAATGATAATCACATCAATTTTTTTTTGAAACATGAAAATATTGAACATATTATATATTATTATTATTATATAAATATATATAAATATATAAGAAAAAAAAAGAAGAAAAAAAAGAAAAAAAAGAGTTACAAAAGGTGGGGGAAAGATTGAGGAAGAAATTGATTGTGTGTTGTAAGAGAGAGAGAGAATTCATGCCGTAAAAAATAAAATAAAATAAAAATCAAATTGTTTAAGTGGTGTAGTTTAGATAGAAAGGGTGATAACAATAATAAAAAATAATAAAAAAAAAGAGCCTAAATCTTTGAGTTTCCTTTTTCTGTTTTCTTAAAAAAAATAAAAATAAGAAAAATCAAAGAAAAGATATATAAAAAAAAATAAAAAATAAAAAACATAGTAATAATAGTAATAATAATAAAGGGGGATTGAAAGTATACAATTGAATTATGAAAAAGAAATTAAAATAAAGATATAGGCAGCCAGGCCATATAACTTATATAATTAATTAATATTCTTTTTCTGCAGATGATGATGTTTGAATACAAAAATAACAGTAATATTCTTTTTCCTCTTCTTTAGCATATAAAAAGGAAGAAAGAAAGAAAAGCTTTAAATCAATCAATCAATCAATCAATCAATCAGAGGAAGAAGTTTTGTGGATTCGTAACAAGCGTTGTCTTTCGCGTGTGCGGATGGCCTGGCGTCTGTTCTGGAACCAGATCTGGACAGTTCTGGGACTCATGCCAAGCTGTCTGCCCAATTCGACTCTCATCTGAGTGGAGGGGAAGAAGGTGCGTTCGAATACTCTATTCAGGACCTCGAGCTGCTTGGAATTGGCTCTTCTGCGCTTGGCCTTCAAGGGAAGGTTACCGTGTTCATCAAGTTCATCGGTATCATCGTCGTCGTCGTCTTCATCTTCTTCTGACATTGGGGTCGAAGCTCTGGAATTGTCAAGGAGCATCTTTTGGTGGGAGTGGTGGTGGGGGTGGTGGTGGTGGTTCCAAATGACAGGTTCTTGGATTGGTTTATGAGAGTTCCAGACAGAGGTGGGGGGAGGGGTATTACGGCCATTGTTCAAGGGGAATGGATAGCTGGTGTATGAGGATGTGACACTGGCAGGTGAGGGAGTGAGTGAAGGAGAAAGCGAAGGACTCTTGGGTGAATCGTAGGAACAGAGAAGGTTGGAGATGTCGAGTACAGCTGGACGCCTGCGTGGCTGTTGATGTTGATGTTGATTTTGGATTTGCTGTTGCTGTTGCTGTTGTCGAGCTTCGCAATTCAAGAGATTTGATACAGAAAGCATGATTTATATGTATTATGTTGAAATGTTGATGTCTTGATGTGTGTGTATAATATATATATATATATATATAATATATATTCTATATATTCTATATATATATATATATTATGAAAGATGATTGATAATAAATAATAAAAGAAGTAAAAACAAAAAGATGATGAAATAAAAGAAAGGTTTATAAAGAAAAATAAATAAATATAATAAAAGCAACACTAAAACTGGTTCCCCAAATGTGGGCCGATATTTGCCCTTCAAGTGTTACAAAATACGGGTCTGGCACAACGGATCTAATATATATTTAAAAAAGATTTTATTGTATTTTTATTGTATATTAGCAATAGGAATAACAATAGTAATAGTAATAGTGTGTAGTATACGTAGTGTGTTTAATAAATTAAGGAATTGAATGACACGTTTCTTACTTATATAAAGTATAAAATAAAATTTCCCATCGATGTATTTATTTATTTATTCTTTCATTACTTACACATCACCCACACAGCTAGAGGACTTGTGTTTTCCGGAGTTATCCGGTTCATTGATAATTTCCTTTTCCGTCCAGGTGGATTCTACACAGACAAATCTCCGCAAGAAAATAGAATACAAAAAAAAAATGAGGACCATCTTTTCTTTTCTTTTTTTTGTGTTTTAAAAATAATAGTAATATTTATATTATTATTATTATTATATGTTTTTAATAAGATTTGTATATAAATAAAATAAACCGATTTACTAAGAACACGCACTATAGACATTACATACAAATCAGACAAAAGTATATATTTTTTCTCGATTGAATTTCGATTCAAATATCAATAATTGTTATTTATTTTGACTTACACTTTGACTTTATTTCTTTCTTTTTAAAACTCACCAATAACATGTGGTTATCATAATAAGAACAATAACATCAAGATAATTTATTAGATAGTTAAAATAAAATAAAATAAAAGTAAGCAAAGTGGCTTTTTTGGTTATATCTTATATCTTATATATATTCAGTATATCCATACAGGAAATGATTTGCGCAAATTATTATTATCAACGTATTTTATATATTTAGATACAAAAACTAAAAAAGCAACAACAACAAACTCTTTCTCCCCCCAAGATTTCTCTTTTTTTTTTATTTATTTATTTAGGATTTTAAAATAAGTTTTTTTTTTTTTTTAAAAAAAAAGTGGCGTGAGCTTTTTTCATTTTCTTTTTAGTTTAGTTTTTTTTTTTTTTTTTGACATTATTTCAGTTACCCAGGCAACCAAAGAAAAAAAAAATATAATTCTTTTTTTACCCTGTTTGTACCTCCACCATGCACTACAAATACCTTTACTAGTCAACCCAATTCTGCATTTGTTGTCTTTCTACACTTGTTCAAGTGCCGGTGTACGTGGCAAACTTTTACTAAAAGCGGTTAATCACCGGCTTATATGTTCAAAAGAACAAAGGAAAAGGAATAAAGAATATTGTTGTTATTATTATTATTATAGATAGACAGATAGATAAAAGTTTCTCTTTTCTTTTTTTAAAAAAAAATGTTTATTGTACTAATATTCATAAATATTGAAACAATTGAAACAATTGAAACAAGATGATAACATTTTCATTTTTTTTTTTTTTTTTTTTTTTTTTAAAAATATTAAATTAAATTTAATTTAAATTATTTATTTTTGACTGTCACAAAAATAATAAAAATATAGCTTCTTGAATTTGCATTGCATTAATCAAAGCATAACAAGACAAACAACAACCTTAACAACTTCAAGGCACGTTTATACACCTTGTTTATCAATCAATTAACCAAATAATTTTAAGATTTACATAAGCAAATAATAATAATTTCAACTTTATCTTGTTTATTTATATTGCTATTACTATCCCTATCATATCATATTGTATTGTATTATAATATATATATATATATATATTTAATAGTCTCCAAGAACAACATTTTTACAATTAGAATTAGATTCCATTGTAGAATCAAGACACAACCAATCTAACATGGTAAACCGTCAAACAAAATAACAATAATAAAAGTAATGGTGCTCTGACTACTACATTAATTCAGGATTCTACAAATGACAATGAGAATAAAATAGCAAAGAAGCGTGCTTTGGAATCCGACTATGCATCTAATCATGACAATCATTCAACAAAAAAGAAAATTAAAAAAGACAAAAAAGACAAAAAATCTAAAAAAGATAAAAAGGAGAAAAGAAAGAATAAGGATAAGAACGACAAGAACGACACAAAACACACAGACATACCCGTAGACACACCAAACGTCAAATCTGTCCAAAAGCCCGAGGACAAACCTATTGCTAAACCTATTGCTAAACCTATTGCTAAACCTATTGCTAAACCTACAGCAGCAAAATCTAAAGAAAAGTCATCCATCAGTAATAAGTACAAAACCTCGGCATATATTGATAGCGACAGTGACGAGGATGATAGTCTTACAAAGAAACCCAGTCCAGTAAAAACGTCAAACAAAAACAAAAACCCTAATCAGATCTACAGTGAAAGTGATAGTGATAGTGACAATGACAATGACATCAATGAGAATATCGCACCTAAAAATACGACTAATCCAGTAAAGCCATCAAGCAGAAACCCTAATCAGATCTACAGCGAAAGCGAAAGTGACAGTGACGGTGACAGTGAAAAGAATCCTGTCCCCACAAACACACCAAAAACAGTAAAGCCATCAAGCAGAAATCCTAATCAGATCTACAGCGAAAGTGACAGTGACAGTGACAGTGACAGTGACAGCGACAATAACAATAACAATAACAATAAAAAAAAGGCTTCACTTAAGAAAAACACATCTACAAATGCACCTAAAAGAAAATCTGCACCAGAATACAAATTAAAGGTCAATCGTATTGAGCGACAGGTCCACCGTGAATACACAGGCCCGGTCGATGCAAAGACAGCATTTGGTGATAGAGCCTTGAGTGTCGTCAAACATCAAGTATACGATGACTTTTTCTACTCTGATTCTGAGTCTGACACGGATTCAGATTCGTCTGATGACGAGAGCGACAAACCCTGGCACAAGAACATGATGAGTCTTCAGACTGTCAACAAAATGGTCAATGATGGACTGTGGAATGTAAAGACTGGATCCTGGGACAAACAAGAACTCTTGGCTGTAGAAAAACGAGTAAAAAAGTTATGCAGAGTAAGTTTGTTTTGCTTTTTTGGGAGAAAGAGGGAGTGTTAATCTTATTTTTCTTCTTCTTCCTATTTTGTTAGAGAGAAACGATGTCTATGGCAGATTTTAGAGAATTGCTAGCAAGTGATCACGGTAATAATAATATTGATTTATGGAAGAAGATTGGTAAGAAATAAATGTATAGTGTATTACGAATGTTAAGCAAAGTATTCTGTGCTTATTATTTATTTATTTATTAGCCAAGAAGTGTCCTGATCGTACACTCCATCACATCAAGAAATTAGTGCTTCGTATATACTCCAAAAAAAGCTACAAAGGACTTTGGTCAAAAGAAGAAGACGAAAGATTGCTCGAGTAAGTTTATATCTGGTGGTACTTGGATGAATCAATGGAACACAATATCTTTTGTATACTAATTTGGGAGTTGAAATAAATAGTCTAGTTGAAAATCATGGCCTAAGTTTCAAGGAGATCGAAGAAGAACTGGGCCGAACTTCCCAAATGTGCTCGCAAAGAGTACGAGACCTTAGGCAGCAATCAGGATCTGGTAAATATAAAATACGCAAATCTTGTTGAATATTTTTTATTAACTTGGGATCAATGGCTTTGCTAATTGGCTATTTCTTTATATATAGAGAGGCAGAAATGGACTGATACCGAGACACAGCTACTGATCAAAGCAGTCCAAAGAGAAAAGCTGGTTAATGATGATGTTATCTCCTTTGACAGTATTTCTGTAGCTGTTTTCAATGGCAAACGATCACCAACTCAATGCAGTTACAGATGGTAATTTTTAATTTGTTTGTTTGTTCATTTATCAGAAACAGACACTTGTTATCATTATCATTGGTATTACCCTTTACCAATCTATTGATTAACTTGGGTGTTTGAACTTTATATACATACATAATTAGGAGTGCTATTAGAGATTCAGTCCATGGAGGTGTTCTTGAGAAACAAACCTTAGTTGGCAATTCTCCTGAAGTGTTTAAAGCACAAATAATGTTGTTGGAGAGGTAAGACAATAGAATCACACACAAATTCATGTATATATTTATATAATACAAACTAAAATCCTTATATGATATATCTATTAGATTAAAGAGTCAAAAATGTAATCATGAATCAAACCTGGACTTTTCAAACATACAAGACAAGGATTATCGTGTGTAAGTCTTGCTGCTGTATAAATTGTATTAAAAAAAAATTTGTATTAATTTTTTCTATATATATAAAAACAATAGAAACCGTTTACTTTCAAGAAAATTTTACTTTAAGGCTCGATCAGCTTTACCCAATTTTGAAAACAGATCTTTAGATGGTGAGATTTTTTCATCTATTTTTTTTTTGGGTTAAATTATCTGAGAAATAATTTTTTTTTTATTTTATTTTTTTGAAACTCTCTTTCTCATTTTCATTTCTTTTTCCTAGATATTTTGGACACTCTTTTGGATTTACGTCGTGCAATGTTGAAAAGTGTCGAATAATTAAAAAAAAATAAAAATAAAAAATAAAAAAAATTATAATTATAAATGTTCACCATTTCTCAACCCCCCCTTCTTTATATTTTTATTTTATTCTCATAATAATACTAATAATAATAAAGCAAGAAAAATAAAGATCCAATGATGTGCTGTTTTGGTTGGTTTTTCTTTTCTTCAGTCACCCATCTATTCGTGAGACCTAAAGGTCAGTTGGCGGTTGATTATAGATCGTATCCATCTAAAGTTGTACAAACTTTTGGGATTGTATATGCCGCACGTTACACTGTGGAGGATCTTGCCAAACCAATCTCTTACTTCAATTGCAACATCTACATAAT